TAGAAAACAAACCATAAGGGCTAGGGACACGGGGTTTTCACCCACGCACTCCTCCGGACCTGGGCTACCACCGGGGCGGGCTTTGCTCCCGCTCAGATCCGGGCCTGGGCGCCCATTCCCGGGGGAAGAAAGCCCCGCTTTCCGGGATCCTCAAAGCCGAGCCCAAGGGGGTAGAGACACGGGAGTTGGACCCAAGGACTCCCCTGATCCCGGGCTACCCGCGGTGTGAATTTGACGCAAGGGGGACAAAGGACCAGAAAGTTATGGCCCTTGGAAACCACGCGTCTGCCACCCGCCCAAGAGCGCTCATTCTGGGGGAGGATAACCTCGGCTTCCAGGGCTCGTAGAAAACGAACCATAAGGGCTAGGGACACGGGGTTTTCACCCACGCACTCCTCCGGACCTGGGCTACCACCGGGGCGGGCTTTGCTCCCGCTCAGATCCGGGCCTGGGCGCCCATTCCCGGGGGAAGAAAGCCCCGCTTTCCGGGATCCTCAAAGCCGAGCCCAAGGGGGTAGAGACACGGGGGTTGGACCCAAGGACTCCCCTGATCCCGGGCTACCCGCGGTGTGAATTTGACGCAAGGGGGACAAAGGACCAGAAAGTTATGGCCCTTGGAAAGGCCGTGGGGGGCGGCCTGGATCTCCGTGGGGGTTAAGGTTAGGTGTGGGGAAGCCCAGGACCTCCAGGGGGGCTCTGTGCAGGCTGCTGCCCGACCACAGCACCCCACACCCCCGCAGGCGCACCTCCAGGGACCGCCGGGGCCGGGGAAGACGTGTGCACCAGTCGGACCCGGGTACCCACTATTAAGCCCCCCCCTCGGACTGCACACCCTTAAGCGCTGCTGGAAAAACCAGGCGTGCCTGGGACTACAAACAGAACAAAACGTGCCTAGTACTACAAGCTAGACACTTAGTCTGATTTTCGAAGTGTGCCTGGTCCTACAGCCTAAACACTTAGGTTTTTTCTCAAAACACTTAGTCTGATTTTCGAAGTGTGCCTGGTCCTACAGCCTAAACACTTAGGTTTTTTCTCAAAACACTTAGTCTGATTTTCAACGTGTGCCTGGTCCTACAGCCTAAACACTTAGGTTTTTTCTCAAAACACTTAGTCTGATTTTCAACGTGTGCCTGGTCCTACAGCCTAGACACTTAGGTTTTTTCTCAAAACACTTAGTCTGATTTTCGAAGTGTGCCTGGTCCTACAGCCTAAACACTTAGGTTTTTTCTCAAAACACTTAGTCTGATTTTCAACGTGTGCCTGGTCCTACAGCCTAAACACTTAGGTTTTTTCTCAAAACACTTAGTCTGATTTTCGAAGTGTGCCTGGTCCTACAGCCTAAACACTTAGGTTTTTTCTCAAAACACTTAGTCTGATTTTCAACGTGTGCCTGGTCCTACAGCCTAAACACTTAGGTTTTTTTCTCAAAACACTTAGTCTGATTTTCAACGTGTGCCTGGTCCTACAGCCTAAACACTTAGGTTTTTTCTCAAAACACTTAGTCTGATTTTCAACGTGTGCCTGGTCCTACAGCCTAAACACTTAGGTTTTTTCTCAAAACACTTAGTCTGATTTTCAATGTGTGCCTGGTCCTACAGCCTAAACACTTAGGTTTTTTCTCAAAACACTTAGTCTGATTTTCAACGTGTGCCTGGTCCTACAGCCTAAACACTTAGGTTTTTTCTCAAAACACTTAGTCTGATTTTCGAAGTGTGCCTGGTCCTACAGCCTAAACACTTAGGTTTTTTCTCAAAACACTTAGTCTGATTTTCGAAGTGTGCCTGGTCCTACAGCCTAAACACTTAGGTTTTTTCTCAAAACACTTAGTCTGATTTTCGAAGTGTGCCTGGTCCTACAGCCTAAACACTTGGGTTTTTTTCTCAAAACACTTTCTGCACACCCACACATACACGTTTTTGTTACCTGGTGGGTCCCTTTGACAGGGCCGTTCAGAATGGGACCCATAGACATAATCTTTTTTTACCAAGACTTTAAGTAATACAAAACAGTCAATAGAAACCAAACAACTATTTTAAAGGAATTTTATTTTAGATTTTGTTTTCGAATTGCAGTGATTCTATTTTTGACATAGAATTTAATGCCACTCCATGTCCGATGTCTAAGGTCATCTGGTGAGGCATTAATGCAGGCCAGGCAGTGAGACTTCCCAGGGACCTTTCCAGTCTGTATGAAAGGTGTCATGGTCTTCTCCACAGCCTTCACCTCAGATGCAGACCATGGCTTTCTTACACGTTCTAGGGAGAGAAATAAAAATATATTAGCAATATACACTCCCAGGGTGAGGACCAAGCAGCCTGGCTGTAATCCCCCACCTGGTACACTTACCAGAAGGGGCACTGCCACTACCATGGGGTGCATCTGGATGAATGGTTGAAGGTTCTCCGCTTGAAGTTTCTTTTAGCCCGTCCGTTTGTGAGAGGATCTCTACTGCTCTCCCTGTCGCACAGAAAATAAAAATACAAGTGGCCTTTAGGGGAAAAAAATCATACATATTTTAATAATATCAAGAATTACCTTCAGGCTCAATTTGTATCTGGTCGAGGCTCTTTCCTTCGAATTCCGTCACTCTTCCCTGCTCCATGGCCATCAACACTTTGCTGATTTTGGCCAGCTCCAGTGTCCCCTCTGGTAGTCTGTAATATTGCCTGTGGATGCGAATGTCATGGCCGAGGAAGTTGGCAAGTATGTCCATCTCATTCTCTTTCATATTGAGAACTGTAGACATAGTAGCTATGTGCTTTCTAAGTTTGGTTGAGGATAGCATCTCTGGATGCACCGCACCACATTCTTTGGCTACCTGGCGTAGGGAGTCTGATCCCCTGATGTGGGTGTCTGCGCCCCGGGCGGGAAAAGAAGTATGGGTTATGGTCAGAGATGGAACAGGCCCTTCTGTTCTCCACCAGCACCTCCATCGAAGCAATCATTTCAGGAGTCAAAAGAACCGGCACTTTCCGACTTCTTTTCCCTTTAATTTCAATGCGTTGAAAATGCTGACACAGCTTTTTCTCAAGTTGGGACAGTCCCAGAGCAATGTCAGAATGGATCCCAGTCTTACTTCTTAAGGTAAAGGCTGTCAGTGGCATCTTTGAAACCTCACCTTCCCTTCTTCGATTGAAAATGATGACCTCACAAAGAGTCAAAACTGCCAGTTTAGACCAATGCTTAGACGTTGGCTCACTTATTAGGGTTTGCACATATTCAGGTCGACATACCTCAATATGTGCATGCATGGCTCTAACGTCCTCAGTCAGAGGGAGCAGGTCCGGAGTGTTCCACTTGGCTTGCCGGAGGGTCTGTAGGGCAGCAGAAGAAACACAGACGTCCCACCTCTTCTCAAAAAGCAGCCGGCTTCGTTGGAGGTTTTTAATAAATAGTTCATCAACACAATGCTCCATTTTTGAGTCACATTCAAGAATATCTGCTAGCTTTCTGAGGCTATGGCCGAGTTTGAGGGCCAAGGATGGAGTCTTGTATTGATTTGTTTCCTCATCATATCCAGCCACAGACCTGACTGCATCAATCACATGGTTAAAGTTGGAAGGAATAAAGAAATCCTTAATTGTTTTCAGTTTCCCTGCGGTTTTTGCTTCGTTAATTAACCTACCGACTTCTCTCATTTTCTGCCTAATGTAATCATGCTTTGTCTTATCATGCCCGTGTTTTAAGTACAGGTGCTCTCCGAGTCTCAGAATCCCCTTTTCTGCTTTGACAACACCCGTGACCTCATCCTGATGCATTGCCGAAATTAAAGACCACAGCTTTTTGCTGATGCCCTCCGGTACAGGCTGGGCTAGGGAGCAGAGGGACTGGACCCTACTTCTACCTGGTTTAGCCTGGGCATCTTTCTGTGAAAGCCGGCACCTGGCCACATGCCTCCACAGCGACTTTCGCTTAAGCAATGCCCCACAGTCTATACAGTGCAAAAACTCACTGGATTTAACTGGGCAATTTGGCTGTTTAGCTGGGACTAAAGTTCCAATGCCGGCCTTTAAAACCTCAAAATTGTGCTCACGGTTTCCACTATTCCTGATCAAATCAAACTGAAGTTTACGTGCTTTAGATTTCACAGGTAGAGCCAATGCTCTGGCTACGTCACTTTCATTTCCATGTTTTCTAGTCAAATGACGGGACATTTTGTGGCAGGACATTGAACAGTAGAGGCAGAAGTGTCTCTTGCTGTATACTCGCCCCCCATTTTTCTTCTTTTGCAGCTGCATGATAACAATCTTATTTGCCTTTGGTTCGTCACTTTCCGAGTCTTGAAGAAAAGTGTTTTTGATTTTTCTTTTTCCATACTTTTTTACAGGTTTCTTCTTGACAGTTAAATCGTCAGAATCTGAGTCGACTTCATCAATTAGGGACTCTTGACTAAGCTGCACAAACAACAAATAATTTGTAATCATTCTATATAACAATTTGAAGTCATGACTTGTAGTCAGCACTTACCAGTGGTTTGTAAGCGTGCGCTTCAGTGTGCTCCTCCATGATTTCTTGCAGCCTAATGAACCACACACTTGCACCTTTTTCTAGCCTGACACCTGATTTCCTCTGTTGTGCTGCTCCATGATTGGCTCCAGCCTGCTGGACTGAAATTGCCCCAGTGTGCCCCTCCTTGATATCCCGCAACCCACCACCAGGGTTCCGACACATAACACACTTTTTTCAGGAAAGTAAACCTCCAGGGGTCCTTTCCATATTTTTACAGAGACTGCATAAGGACCGTTAGAAAAGCATTACCCATTGATTATTAAGCTTGGACCAGTGGGGTCCGGTGTTCGGGCCCCACCACGTAAAACCAGTCCCCATGACGTGAGTGGAATCTCAGGTTATGGAACCCACCAGGAGTTGAAAACAAGTGCACACACACACACACACACACACACACACACACACACACACACACACACACACACACACACACACACACAAGAAACATACACATCTCTCCGATCTAATCTCATTGAGGCTCAAACCCAAACATGTTCAGGTTCGACTGTTCAGACCGAGTTCATCAGATTCTGCTGTCGCCACGGAAACACAAAGGTACGACCACAAACACACAAACCCACGCACACTATCATACATGAGAATAATCTGTTTGAGAATCCAGCACCAGGGTCTGGACCATAAGTCTGGACCTATGATTCCAGCACCATGGGTCCAGACCTGAGACACGGTCTGTCTCTTCAGAGTGATGTCAAACTCGTCACACTGCGATCAGTCTTTCCTCTGTTTTAAAGAGATATGGTTGTATAGATTCACACGCTCTGAGCCCAAAGAGGCACACAGTGACTCACACGGCACCTGCCGCTCCAGAGCTCAGTCCTGTTTCTATAGTCTAATCCTCACATTCCACTGTCTGAACCAACAACCACAGACAAAGGTCTGAGAGTGTCCTGCCCCAGGGCACAGAGGCAGAGACCAGAGTGTCCTGCCCCAGGGCACAGAGGCAGGAGGGTGTACCTGTTTGTGATCTGCTCTAAATATAATTCACTGCAAATGTACCAACACACACAGACATACACACACGCACAAACACAGAAGCAGACACACACACACACACAGATTTACACACATACAAACACACACACAGAGACGTACACATACAGATACAGACGTACACACACACAGAAACAGACACACATACACACACGTACACACATACAAACACACACACAGACACACAAACACGACACACACACGTACAAACACACACACATACACACACACACACATACATACGCTATACCAGTTTAGCACCTTTACAACTGTAGTCGCATGTTTCCTCTAACACAGACACAGAGCAGGTCGCCCACAGGGGGTGCACTCACACCTATTCTACATGCTTTGGTGGGGTGAGAAACCGGAGCACCTGGAGGAAACCTACACAAACACAGGGAGAACATGCAAACTCCACTCAGAAAGGTCTGCTGTGAAATGCTAACCACTCTGCTACAGTGCCCCAGTGTTTATCCTGCAGACGATGGAGATTCTCACCCGTTCAGCGCAGGTGGAGTCCAGCTTCATAGAGACTAGGACCAGGACCAGGACCAGGATCAAGACTTCCATTTGAGCTCTGGGTCCAGTCCAGGTTCAGTTCCAGATCACTTCTTGTTTGGTTGTTTATTATAGACCTGCTTTAGTCCAGCTTTAATCCTGCTTTAGTCCTGTTTTAGACTTAGTTCAGTCCCGGTGCAGTCCTGTAGACCATCCTTGTCCAGGTCCAGTCCCCTTTGAGCGTTTCTCCGGGTAGCGCGCCGACGCTTGGCTCTTTCACAATAAAATATCCGCGCTCTTTTCTCAAACTGCAGCTTTTACTTTGCGCTCGTGCACGCGGACCCGGAACAATTGCACGGCCTCACGTGAGCGCGCTTCACACAAAGAAGCGCTCAGTCTGCAGCCGCGCGCGTCTATCCGCACCAGGACTTTCTGAGGTCTCTGGAACTGGGACTAAACCAGGACTTTCTGAGGTCTCTGGAACTGGGACTTAGACCGGGACTTACCAAGGTCTCTGGAACTGGGGCTAGACCAGGACTTTCGGAGGTCTCTGGAACTGAAAATGTCATTTTGAGGTCTTTGGGACTGGACGAGGTTTTTCTGAGGTCTCTGAGACTTTTAATATTTCTACGGAACTGATTCCACACGGACTGCACCTGCGCGCGTGCACGCGACCCTGTAAGTGATGTCACTGATTAATACTCAGTGCGCGCGCGCGTGTGTGTGTGTGTGTGTGTGTGTATGTGTGTGTGACTGAGTGTGTGTGTGTCTATATCTGATTGTGTGTGTGTGTGTGTGTGTGTGTGTGTGTGTGTGTGTGTGTGTGTGTGTGTGTGTGTGTGTGTGTGTGTGTGTGTGTGTGTGTGTGTCTGTGTGTGTGTTTGTGTGCGTGTGTGTATGTATGCGTGTGTGTGTCTTGAGTGTGTGCTTGTGTGTGTCATCAACAGTGTGACATCACAACAGTGTGACATTCAATTCAATTCAATTACATTTATTCTTGTGTAGCCCTAAATCACAACAGAACTGTTAAATTAGCTTAGGCTGTAACAGGGGCAGGCGAGCTGGAGCTGAATGAAGGCCTCTGATTGGTCAGTCCTTTTGGATTTATAAACAACATCACATATAAACAGCAGGATCACAGAGAGCGATAAACAACACATTTTTCCCCCCGAAATGTTGATGTCACTTTCCAGAGGGGTTTACAAGGAAGTAATTAGATTTCCCATGCATCTATAATAATAATTCGATAGGGTATTGCTAGCTCATTGCTGTTCCACCACGGGAACAGTGGGCGCCTGAGGTACTGCAGACTAAATTCACAATATCCAGAAAAAAGTCCCATAGAACTCAATGTAAACTAAAACAGCTCGACCTCAGCTGACAGAGAACCTACAGCTTTCATAAAGATAGGATTTTGTGGGGATTTTAGTGTCCCCTGTCATCCTGAACTTTTTTTCTTTTTAAATCCTTCTGTTTTCTAAAAATCTACACTTTAATATCACAAACTCTGCTCCTTTCCTTCCCGCTCTGACTCCGCTCTGCCGCTGCTCTGATCAGCAGTTCTGATTGGTCAGAGCGCGGCCGAGCCCCTCTGTCCACGTGCATGAGCGCCACACAAGTGTATTTAACGCAAAGCATCATGGGATGCTTTGCTTTCCACTGGACAGAACCGGGAGGATCAGACGATGCCCAAATATACGATGTTCCGTGAATCTTTCAGTCCCCGTGAAGTCCCATGCGCTACATGCGCTACTGAGCACAAGCCATTCATTTGAATACGGCGCCATCTTGGATCACCGGGGCTTGGGTTCTGCACAGTGGACGAGCTCCCATGATGCTTTGCGTCAAATACACTTGTGTGGCACTCATGCAGTAGAGCCAGAGCGGGCAGTAAAGTGTGGATTTAAAGAAAACCGAAGGATTTAAGAAAAAAAAAAGGCTGACAAGGGACACTAAAATCCCCACAAAATCCTATCTTTATGAAAGCTGTAGGTTCTCTGTCAGCTGAGGTCGTACTGTTTTAATTTACATTGAGTTCTATGGGACTTTTTTCTGGGTAGCCCTCGTGAATTTAGTCTGCAGTACCACGGGCGCCCCCTGTGGCCATGGGTGGGACAGCTATGAGCTAGTAATACTCTATCCAGTTATTATTATCGATCCATGGCAGAACCTGGACGAACAGACTATGCCCAAATATTGGCAAGTTCCGCTATTCTTTTGGTCCCCGTGTAGTCCCATGCGCACAAGCCATTCATTTGAATAAGGCGCCATCTTGGATCACCGGGGCTTGGCATTTCCCTACTGGGCGAGTTAGCATTGAGCTAGCAGGTTAGCATTGTCCAGTCTCTGCTAAGTGTTTAGTGTGTTCCTATGGGACACGTGTCGCCATAGTGACAGGACCATCTCCAGATGATGCTCCTCAAGACCAGAAGAATTTCTCCTGTTGACCTCTCCAAAAATCTATGGCCACAGCTGCCCTGGGGCACACTGACAGAAGCGAGGTAAGCAGTCTGTGCCATCAACACCTCCCACCACCACCAACCAATCACACACACCAGACTCATTCTAATGTGGCTAACCACTCTGCCACTGTGTCCCTGTTCACTGCAGCTCTGAGGTCAGAGGTCAGCTCTGAGGTCAGCTTGGAGGTCTGAGGTCAGAGGTCAGCTCTGAAGTCAGCTTGGAGGTCTGAGGTCAGGGGTTAGCTCTGAGGTCAGAGGTCAGCTTCTGAACATGTTTAAATCTTCTGTGTCCTCAGGCGGCGGTGGGTGGGGCTTCACATGGTCAGCTGACATGATCCATCCAATCACCATCGGGTAAATATTATCATATTACACAAACCAGGAACGTCTGTGTGTGTGTGTTTGTGTCTGCGTGTGTGTATATATGAATGTGTGTGTGTTTATGTATGTGTGTGTGTATATTTATGTGTGTGTGTGTGTGTATAAATAAAGAATATTACTGTAAATGAGCCTATTTCATGTTTCAGGCTCCTGCTGCTGTGGGTCTCAGGGCTGAGGGTGAGTGACACACACACAAACACACACACACACACACACACACACACACACATACACACACTCACACAAAGGGTTTTGTCTTATGTTTAGACTCAGGTTTATCTGCTCATCAGTGTTTAGTCTCTGTGATAATCCTCTGATCTTACAGACCAGAGAGAGACCAGAGAGGGAGACCAGAGAGGGACCAGAGAGGAACCAAAGAGAGAACAGAGACCAGATACCAGAGAGACCAGAGAGACCAGAGAGAGACCAGAGAGAGAGGCCAGAGAGACCAGAGAGAGAGACAGGAGAGGGACCAGAGAGGGACCGGAGAGAGGCCAGAGAGAGACCAGAGAGAGACCAGAGAGAGACCAGAGAGAGACCAGAGAGAGACCAGAGAGAGACCAGAGAGAGACCAGAGAGAGACCCGAGAGAGACCAGAGAGAGACCAGAGAGAGACCCGAGAGAGACCCGAGAGAGACCAGAGAGACCAGAGAGAGACCGGAGAGAGACCAGAGAGAGACCAGAGAGAGACCACAGAGAGACCCGAGAGAGACCAGAGAGAGACCAGAGAGAGACCAGAGAGAGACCCGAGAGAGACCAGAGAGAGAGACCAGAGAGAGAGGCCAGAGAGAGAGGCCAGAGAGGGACAAGAGAGACCAGAGAGAGAGGCCAGAGAGGGACAAGAGAGACCAGAGAGAGATTAGAAAGAGAGACAAGAAAGTGACCAGGGAGAGACCAGTCCCCCATTCTCTTCCTCTTCCTCCCACTCTCTCCTCTCTCTTCCCCTCTCCCTCTCCCTTTCTCTCTCTCTCTCTCTCTCTCCTCCCTCTCCCCCCTCTCTCTTCTCCTCTCCCTCCCCCTTTCTTTCCCTCTCTTCTCCCTCTCTTCCCCTCTCCCACACCTCCCTCTCTCTCCCCCTTTCTCACCCTTCTCTCTCTCCTCAGGGGGAGGCTGTGCCCTGTGGAGGTCGTGACTGTTCGTTCTGTGCGTGTGCAGCGGCTAAAGGAGCTCAGGTCAGAGGTCAGAGGTCACAGTCCAGTCTGAGGTCCTCACCCACTCTCACCCCCTCACCTCTCTCACACTCTCCCCTCTCCCACTCTCACACTCACCCCTCTTCCACTCTCACACTCACCCCTCTCCCACTCCCACACTCTCCCACTAACCCCTCACCCACTCACCCCTCTCCCACTCTCACTCTTACCCTCATTCCCTCCCACTCTCAAACGCACCCCTCCCCCACTCTCACCCTCACCCCCTCACCCTTCTCACACTCACCCCCCTCCCCTCTCCCACTCAACCCCCTCACCTCTCCCACTGTCACTCTCACCCTCACCCCCTCACCCTTCTCACACTCACCCCTCTCCTACTCACCCCTCGACTGCTCCTCCCTGTCACACTCACCCCTCTACTGCTCCTCCCTCCCCCATTCACCCCCTCATCCCTCTCCCACTATCACACTCACCCCTCTCCCACTCACCCATCTCCCACTATCACACTGTCTGTGTGTGTGTGTGTGTCTCTGTGTGTGTGTGCGTGTGTGTGTGGTGCTCACCAGACCAGGTTCAGACTCTCTCTGACAGCAGTGATCCCTGGTCCGGTCCACAGTCTGGTCTTTAGTCACTCCCTCATGTGTGAAATCCTGAGGGTCATTTCTCACGCTGTCCCCCCCTCCCGACCTGAACAAACACACTTCTATTAGACCTGGTTTAGACCTGGTTTACTCACTTGGACCTTGTCATGGTCCTGGTCTCGGTCCAGGTCTCGGTCCAGGTCTCGGTCCAGGTCTCGGTCCAGGTCTCGGTCCAGGTCCAGGTCTCGGTCCAGGTCTCGGTCCAGGTCTCGGTCCAGGTCTCGGTCCAGGTCTTGGTCCTGTATGTATGTACAGTGCTGATACCAGACCTGTCCAGCAGGGGGCGCCACATGCATGGAAGATATATTCAGTCTATGATGGAAGATCATCTGCTGAAGTGAAGACTGATTCCACCGTAAAAGAACTACTGCACTTTAGGACTCTGTAGTGTCACGTGTCAGGGATTTAATACTCACAGGGACTAAATACTCACGGGGACTAAATACTCACGGGGACTAAATACACACGGGGACTAAATACACGCGGGGACAAAATACTCGCGGGGACAAAATACTCGCGGGGACAAGATACACGCAGGGACAAGATACACGCAGGGACTAGACACACGCAGGGACTAGACACACGCAGGGACTAGACACACAGGGACTAGACACACACAGGGACTAGACACACACAGGGACTAGACACACACAGGGACTAGACACACACAGGGTCTAGACACACACAGGGACTAGACACACACAGGGACTAGACACACACAGGGACTAGACACACACAGGGACTAGACACACACAGGGACTAGACACACACAGGGACCAGACACACACAGGGACCAGACACACACAGGGACCAGACACACACAGGGACCAGACACACACAGGGACTAGACACACACAGGGACTAGACACACACAGGGACTAGACACACACAGGGACTAGAGACACACAGGGACTAGAGACACACAGGGACTAGAGACACACAGGGACTAGACACACACAGGGACTAGACACACACAGGGACTAGACACACACAGGGACTAGAGACACACAGGTGAATCACATTTTGATAAACAATCAACAGGATCTAAAAAAACACACATTTATATTTTTTATTTATTTCAAACGTTCAATACATTTTATTACATATCAATATAACAGACAAATACACTTTTACCTGGTTCGAAAAGAAGTTGGATGAAGCAGACACACACATACACACACACTGAGACACACACACATACACGTTTTTGTTACCTGGTGGGTCCCTTTGACAGGGCCGTTCAGAATGGGACCCAGAGACAATCTTTTTTACTGGGACTACTTTAAGTAATACAAAACAGTCAATAGAAAACAAACAACTCTTTTAAAGGAATTTTATTTTTGATTTTTTTTTTCGAATTGCAGTGATTCTATTTTTGACATAGAATTTAATGCCACTCCATGTCCGATGTCTAAGGTCATCTGGTGAGGCATTAATGCAGGCCAGGCCAGGCCAGGCCAGGCAGTGAGACTTCCCAGGGACCTTTCCAGTCTGTATGAAAGGTGTCATGGTCTTCTCCACAGCCTTCACCTCAGATGCAGACCATGGCTTTCTTACACGTTCTAGGGAGAGAAATAAAAATATATTAGCAATATACACTCCCAGGGTTAGGACCAAGCAGCCTGGCTGTAATCCCCCACCTGGTACACTTACCAGAAGGGGCACTGCCACTACCATGGGGTGCATCTGGATGAATGGTTGAAGGTTCTCCGCTTGAAGTTTCTTTTAGCCCGTCCGTTTGTGAGAGGAGCTCTACTGCTCTCCCTGTCGCACAGAAAATAAAAATACAAGTGGCCTTTAGGGGAAAAAAATCATACATATTTTAATAATATCAAGAATTACCTTCAGGCTCAATTTGTATCTGGTCGAGGCTCTTTCCTTCGAATTCCGTCACTCTTCCCTGCTCCATGGCCATCAACACTTTGCTGATTTTGGCCAGCTCCAGTGTCCCCTCTGGTAGTCTGTAATATTGCCTGTGGATGCGAATGTCATGGCCGAGGAAGTTGGCTAGTATGTCCATTTCATTCTCTTTCATATTGAGAACTGTAGACATAGTAGCTATGTGCTTTCTAAGTTTGGTTGAGGATAGCATCTCTGGATGCACCGCACCACATTCTTTGGCTACCTGCCGTAGGGAGTCTGATCCCCTGATGTGGGTGTCTGCGCCCGGGCGGGAGAAGAAGTATGGGTTATGGTCAGAGATGGAACAGGCCCTTCTGTTCTCCACCAGCACCTCCATCGAAGCAATCATTTCAGGAGTCAAAAGAACCGGCACTTTCCGACTTCTTTTCCCTTTAATTTCAATGCGTTGAAAATGCTGACACAGCTTTTTCTCAAGTTGGGACAGTCCCAGAGCAATGTCAGAATGGATCCCAGTCTTACTTCTTAAGGTAAAGGCTGTCAGTGGCATCTTTGAAACCTCACCTTCCCTTCTTCGATTGAAAATAATGACCTCACAAAGAGTCAAAACTGCCAGTTTAGACCAATGCTTAGACGTTGGCTCACTTATTAGGGTTTGCACATATTCAGGTCGACATACCTCAATATGTGCATGCATGGCTCTAACGTCCTCAGTCAGAGGGAGCAGGTCCGGAGTGTTCCACTTGGCTTGCCAGAGGGTCTGTAGGGCAGCAGAAGAAACACAGACGTCCCACCTCTTCTCAAAAAGCAGCCGGCTTCGTTGGAGGTTTTTAATAAATAGTTCATTAACACAATGCTCCATTTTTGAGTCACATTCAAGAATATCTGCTAGCTTTCTGAGGCTATGGCCGAGTTTGAGGGCCAAGGATGGAGTCTTGTATTGATTTGTTTCCTCATCATATCCAGCCACAGACCTGACTGCATCAATCACATGGTTAAAGTTGGAAGGAATAAAGAAATCCTTAATTGTTTTCAGTTTCCCTGCAGTTTTTGCTTCGTTAATTAACCTACCTATACTTCTCTCATTTTCTGCCTAATGTAATCATGCTTAGTCTTATCATGCCCGTGTTTTAAGTACAGGTGCTCTCCGAGTCTCAGAATCCCCTTTTCTGCTTTGACAACACCCGTGACCTCATCCTGATGCATTGCCCAAATTAAAGACCACAGCTTTTTGCTGATGCCCTCCGGTACAGGCTGAGCTAGGGAGCAGAGGGACTGGACCCTACTTCTACCTGGTTTAGCCTGGGCATCTTTCTGTGAAAGCCGGCACCTGGCCACATGCCTCCACAGCGACTTTCGCTTAAGCAATGCCCCACAGTCTATACAGTGCAAAAACTCACTGGATTTAACTGGGGAATTTGGCTGTTTAGCTGGGACTAAAGTTCCAATGCCAGCCTTTAAAACCTCAACATTGTGCTCACAGCGAGAGTTTCCACTATTCCTGATCAAATCAAACTGAAGTTTACGTGCTTTAGATTTCACAGGTAGAGCCAATGCTCTGGCTACGTCACTTTCATTTCCATGTTTTCTAGTCAAATGACGGGACATTTTGTGGCAGGACATTGAACAGTAGAGGCAGAAGTGTCTCTTGCTATAAACTCTCCCATTTTTCTTCTTTTGCAGCTGCATGATAACAATCTTATTTGCCTTTGGTTCGTCACTTTCCGAGTCTTGAAGAAAAGTGTTTTTGATTTTTCTTTTTCTTTACTTTTTTACAGGTTTCTTCTTGACAGTTAAATCGTCAGAATCTGAGTCGTCTTCATCAATTAGGGACTCTTGACTAAGCTGCACAAACAACAAATAATTTGTAATAATTCTATATAACAATTTGAAGTCATGACTTGTAGTCAGCACTTACCAGTGGTTTGTAAGCGTGCGCTTCAGTGTGCTCCTCCATGATTTCTTGCAGCCTGATGAACCACACACTTGCACCTTTTGTAGCCTGACACCTGATTTCCTCTGTTGTGCTGCTCCATGATTGGCTCCAGCCTGCTGGACTGAAATTGCCCCAGTGTGCCCCTCCTTGATAACCTGGCAAAAGCCAGATTGATGATTGTGTAGAACTCTAACGCGTTCTCCGCGATATCAATCTGGGATTTCTCCCGGAGAATCCTTTCGGGGAAAGGAGGGGTAAGCAGCAGAATACTTGAAGCTGATTGGGCGAAGTGACGCTGTGTGCCCGCCTACCAAGGTTGCCGTCCAGAAATGTACAAAGCGCCTCTCGCTGTTCATCTTTCAAAAAAGAAATTGGAGATTCTGCTAAAACTGACTTTGCGTCCGTCCTCCTGCGTAGCCATGTTTGTTTTGCTTCGGCCCGGCACTTCTTGCTTTCGTCAAACCCGGATATCCCGCCCTAAACCCCCAGACTGGCGCGTGATTGGCTCGCACACCCAGTGGTTCGACTCGAAAAGTGTAAGCGGGAGCGGTACAAGATGTATTCTCGAGTGTTTGTGAACTCGCAAATACCGCGAGAATTCAGCTTGCAGGCAAGGTTACCTCCTTGATATCCCGCAACCCACCACCAGGGTTCCGACACATAACACACTTTTTTCAGGAAAGTAAACCTCCAGGGGTCCTTTCCATATTTTTACAGAGACTGCATAAGGACCGTTAGAAAAGCATTACCCATTGATCATTAAGCTTGGACCAGTGGGTCCGGTGTTCGGGCCCCACCACGTAAAACCAGTCCCCATGACGTGAGCGGAATCTCAGGTTATGGAACCCACCAGGAGTTGAAAACAAGTGCACACTGAGACACACACAGAGACACACACAAAGACACACACAGAGACAAACACATAGAAACAAACAGGGACACGCACAGAGACACAAACAGGGACACACTGAGACACACACACTGAGACACACACAAAGACACACACTGAGACACACGGAGACATACACACAAAGACACACACTGAGACACACTGAGACACACACAAAGACACACAAAGACACACACTGAGACACACACAGAGACACACACACGGAGACACACACAAAGACACACACTGAGACACACACTGAGACACACACAGAGACACACACAAAGACACACACTGAGACACACACAGAGACACACACAAAGACACGCACTAAGACACACACTGAGACACACACTGAGACACACACTGAGACAGACACAGAGACACACACAAAGACACACACAAAGACACACACCGAGACACACACAGAGACACACAGAGACACACACAAAGACACGCACTGAGACACACACAGAGACACACACAAAGACACACACTGAGACACACACAGAGACACACACAAAGACACACACAAAGACACACACAGAGACACACACAGAGACACACACAAAGACACGCACGGAGACACACAAAAAGACACATACAGAGACACACACAAAGACACACACAAAGACACACACAGAGACACACACAAAGACACGCACTGAGACACACACAAAGACACGCACAAAGACACACACGAAGACACACACAGAGACACACACAGATTTGAAAGTAGTCCTACATTTAGACACATTAACTTTTTTCTGTGGTTTTATTTTGCTACAAATATTTAGTAAAATAAAAATATGTCAAAATATTTAAAGTCCACGTGACATAAGGATCCACCGAGCGCAGTGAGAGAGTTCAGTTGTTTTTGTTGCCCATACAGTGTTGCTAGGGGCCCTTACAGTGTTGTTAGGGGCCCTTACAGTGTTGCTAGGGACCCTTATAGTGTTGCCAAGGGCCCTTATAGTGTTGCCAGGGGCCCTTACAGTGTTGCCAAGGGCCCTCATAGTGTTGCTAGGGGCCCCCTACAGTGTTGCTAGGGGCCCCTTGCAGTACTTTTTTTAATAACTGTTCAATCTCTGTCCACAGGGGGCGCCTGGAGCTGTTGGCTTCCAGGGTCCTCAGGGGCCCCCAGGGTTCCCAGGTCCTCAGGGGCCTTATGGAGAGCAGGGCCTCAGAGGAGATGAGGGGCCCCGCGGAGGACAGGGGCCAAGGGGAGACGTGGTGAGTGAGTCTTACAGTAAACAGTGAGTGATGTTCTAAGGTAACTGTGGCCCCTGTGTTCAGGGCTCTGTGGGGGTTCCAGGGTTCCCAGGTCTGGAGGGCCTCCCAGTGAGTACAGTTTGTGTGTGTGTGTGTGTGTGCGTGTGTGTGTGTGAGCGTGTGTTGCTGACTGTGTGTTACTGACTGTGTGTTGTGTACAGGGCCGCAAGGGGGCCCCCGGGGGCCCTGGGTTCCCAGGAGCAGATGGATGCAATGGAACCAAAGGAGAATCTGGAGCTTCAGGACAAGCAGGGGTTGAGGGGCCCCCTGGAGTCCAGGTCTGGATCAGAACTGGTCTAGACCCGGGTCCAGGCCCAGATCTGGACTCTGACTCTGTTTGTGTTCCAGGGTTTTCCAGGACCCAAAGGTTTCAAAGGACAAATCTCATTTTACTTCATCAACATCCCGGGACCCACAGTGAGTAAGACCTGGTGTAGACCTGGTTCAAACTCGGGACAGACCTGGTTTAGAACTGATTCATACCTTGTTTAGACCTGGTTCAGACCTGGATTACACCTGGTCTAGATCCTGGTTTAAAGATGCTATACCCAATTTATTTTCTAATGAGTTCATAAAAATGTTTATTACTACATACAAATTGTATTATAATCCGTAATTTAATTAAAAACTTTAGCTCATGGATTCAGCTGTGTATGAATTCAGGCCGTAAAAAGTGCTGAGTAGAGACTTAGTGTGACGCTGGCTCTCCTCCAATCACAGAACGAGGCTGCGTCCTCTAGTCTCTACAGCGCTGCTAAACACAGTAGCATGTTAGCATAAGTGGCTATAACTCCTCTGGCTGTAACTGCAGACACAGCAAAACAGCCCAAACGCCACAACAGTGAGGAAGAGAAGAGGGAACTAAAGCCAAAAAATGATCAAAGAAGAAATCAAGCCCAGGTGAACATAGCTAGCTTACATTGTATCCTCTGGAGAGACTTGTCTATGGGAGAGACCTGCGGGACTGCCTTGGACTATCTATGCTCGGACTATCTATGCTCGGACTATCTATGCTCGGACTATCTATGCTCGGACTATCTATGCTCGGACTATCTATGCTCGGACTATCTACGCTCGGACTACATTCGGACGCGGAACTAGCGGTGATCTTTCAGTTATATATTTTGTTAGCAGTGCGTTGCTTTTGTACCATTTCATCGGCACGGTGGCTGAGTGGATAGCACTCTCGCCTCTCAGCAAGAAGGTCCTGGTTTCAAATCCCGGTTGGACCAGGGCCTTTCTGAGTGGAGTTTGCATGTTCTCCCCGTGTCTGCTCCGGTTTCCTCCGGGTGCTCCGGTTTCCCCTACCACTAAAAATATGTACAATAGGTCTGGCATGTGCCTCCTGTACTAGCACCCCCAATCCCAAAAGTCACAATTGTAAACTGCTTTGAGACTCCGATGTGCAGTGAAAAGGCGGTATATAAATAAAGATTACTTAATTACTTATTCATCAGTGATTGTTGTGCAGCTTAAGTTGCGTTCATGCTAATGTTAGCATATATATATATATATATATATATATATATATCGCAAAAAAAAAACTAGATGGCTCCGTGGGATGAGAGCGTAGGGGAAATGAGAAGCCTGTGAGCGAGTTGGGGGGCGGTGCTAAACATTCAAACCTCACAGAAACGGGTATATCTCCTTTAAGATGTGGTTTCACACTGATTTTTAACTTTCTATTTTTTAGGGCGACATCGGACCCCAGGGCCCCACAGGACTCCGGGTGAGTCCACATCTGCTGCTGGTCTAACCCTGGTCTAGTCTTGGATTTAAACTCTTGTATGTTGTGTTGCAGGGGCCCCTGGGGACCAGAGGAATACTGGGTGCAGAGGGACCTGAGGGCCAGCAGGGGGAAACAGTGAGTACTTTGGTTTGAGTCGTCGATCAGAACCTAGACCTGAGCCTAACTCTGAGTGTGTGTTTCAGGGGCTGCCAGGTCTACGGGGCCTCAGGGGCCCTCCAGTAAGTATGGGGTATAAACCAGGTCTAAACCAGGCGTGAACCAGGTCTGATGAAGCCTCTGTTTCAGGGACAGAAAGGACGCTCTCTGCCCGGAACCAAAGGAGAAGAGGTGAGGAACACACAGGTCCTGGTCTCTCTCTGGTCTTTCTCTGGTCTCTCTCTCTGGTCTTTCTCTCTGGTCTTTCTCTGGTCTCTCTCTGGTCTCTCTCTGGTCTTTCTCTGGTCTCTCTCTCTGGTCTTTCTCTGGTCTCTCTCTCTGGTTTCTCTCTGGTCTCTCTCTGGTCTCTCTCTGGTCTCTCTCTCTGGTCTCTCTCTCTGGGCTCTCTCTGGTCTCTCTCTGGTCTCTCTCTGGGCTTTCTCTGGGCTTTCTCTGGTTTCTCTCTGGTCTCTCTCTGGGCTTTCTCTGGGCTTTCTCTGGTTTCTCTCTGGTTTCTCTGATCTCTTTCTGGTTTCACAGTACCCTGTGTGTCCTTTAGGGGGAGCAGGGACCCCCGGGGCCCCCCGGTCCCTTTGAGCTGGTAGAACCTCCTGATGATTATTTCTCTAAAGGAGAAAAGGTGAGTTTGTTTATGGTGTTTGTTTATGGTCTGATGAGGAGGCGGAGCCTGACAATGTGTTTACAGGGATCTGAGGGCCCCAAGGGCATGTGTGGAGGGAGAGGCCCGCCGGTGAGTGAGGGAGGGGGTGATTGTGGGAGGAGCCTGTGTGATTGACAGCTGTCCATCCTCAGGGTCTGGATGGATTTCCAGGAGAAAAAGGGGAGAAAGGCATCGTGGGATTTCCTGGACTCAGAGTGAGACTCAGACCTGGACTCAGACCTGGCCCTGGACTCAGAACTGCTCTCGCTGATGTGCATGTGTTGTTTCAGGGATCTCAGGGGTTTCCAGGACGACCAGGAATAAGAGGTCCGAGGGTAAGATCTGGAGACACAAGCTGGACCTCTCTCTGGTTACTTCTCTCTGGTCTCTCTCTAGTCTTCCTCTGGTCTCTCTATCTAGTCTCCCTCTGGTCTCTCTCTCTAGTCTCTCTCTAGTCTCCCACTGAAATGGGAGCAGCGTATGCCGTCAGAGCTCTAGGTTTCTCTTCTGTTTCAGGGCAACTCTGGGACTCCTGGTCTGCCAGGTTTGATTGGTCGTGAAGGACAGAAGGTGAGTGTGAGCGACCAATCCCAGGCCTCGGCTCCTCCCCCTCCTATGAATGACAGCTGTGTTGCAGGGCATGATGGGGGACGTAGGCGCCAAAGGAGAAGAGGGTGATGTCACTGTGACAGGTAGAACTGCAACACTATGAATAATGGAATAAGAGATGACCTGGATGATCTCTACAATCAGGTCTAAAGCAGGTCTAAAGCAAGTCTAAAACAGGTCTACATTTTTAACACCTCTCTGGTGTCTTGCCATGTCCCGGCCTGCTTCAAATCCTCCATCATAGTCCCTGTCCCTAAGAAGTCATTTGAGCGCCTCGTCCTCTCTCATCTGAAGTCCTTCACCTCCGCCAACCTGGACCCCCTGCAGTTCACCTACAGAGCCAACAGATCTGGCCCTCCACTCCATCTTACAGCATCCGGACTCCCCGGGGACCTACGCCAGGGTCCTGTTCGTGGACTTCAGATCTGCCTTCAACACCAACCTCCCATCCCTGCTCCAGGACAAGCTCTCCCAGCTCAACGTGCCCGATTCCACCTGCAGGTGGATCACTGACTTCCTGACGGACAGGAAGCAGCGAGTGCGTCTGGGGAAGAATGTCTCTATAAGGGCCCCATAGGGCTGTGTTCTTTCTCCCCTGCTCTTCTCCCTGAACTGCAACCACTCCACCTCCAGCCATGACTCTGTGAACCTGATCAAGTTCGCGGACGACACCACCCTCATTGGACTCATCTCCAACAACGATGAGTCCGCCTACAGGAGGGAGGTGGACCAGCTGGTGTCCTGGTGCAGTGGTAACAACCTGGAGCTGAACGCCCAGAAGACAGTGGAGATGATTGTGAACTTCAGGAAGAGCACAGTCCCCCTGCCCCCACCCTCCGTGAGGGACTCCTGGGCACCACCATCACCCAGGACCTCAAGTGGGAGCCGACCATCAGCTCCCTCATCAAGAAGGCCCAGCAGAGGATGTACTTCCTGCGGCAGCTCAGGAAAGCCAAGCTGCCTGCACAGATGTTGGTGCAGTTCTACACGGCCATCATCGAGTCCATCCTCACCTCCTCCGTCACCGTGTGGTTCGCTGGAGCCACAGTCAGGGACAAACAGAGACTACAGCGCATTGTGCGCTCTGCAGAGGAAGTGATCGGCCGCAGCCTTCCATCGCTGCAGGACCTGTACGTCGCCCGAGCTCGAGGCCGGGCTGGTCGTATCACAGCCGACCCCTCTCACCCTGTACATGGATTGTTCTAACCACTCCCCTCAGGCAGGAGACTACGGTCCATCAGGACCAGAACCTCCCGTCATGAGAACAGTTTCTTCCCCTCTGCTGTTGGACTCATGAACACTTCATAATCCACCACTGACCTCCGACCTTATGACCGTCACTTTATTCTACTGTCACTTTACTGCACTCTACCACACTCTGAACAGTCTATTGTGTGCACCTAGTGCACTTGTAAATAATAAACCAAAAACGTTTATGTAGATTTATATTTATGGATGCCTTCTTGATTTTATTCTGATTTAACTTGTTTGCAATGAGAGCCAAAGCAATTTCCTAGTTTGTGACTTCCTGTTACTCACATGGCAATAAAAAGGATTCTGATTCTGATTCTAAAGCAGAACTAAAGCAGGACTATTCTCGCCCAGGTGCAGACGGAGAACCTGGGAGGTCAGGACCACGAGGACCGCCTGGAGACTTTGGTCCAATGGGAGAACCAGGACTTCCTGGGGAACCAGGCAGAACTGTTTTAGGTAAAGACCATGTCAACCAGGACTGAACCAGGTCCTAACCTGGTCTGAACCAAGAATATGCCCTTATCTCAGGTGCACCTGGAGGGCGAGGACCCCCTGGAGAGCCTGGAGGTGCTGGAGAAAAAGGAGATCCAGGAGAACCCTCCTCAAATCCACGTTCTGAAGGAGAACCAGGCAAACGTGGAGCAGCTGGTGTGATGGGAGCCAAGGGAACCAAAGGAGAAACAGGCATGAGCAAACTTCTCTGGTCTCCTTTCTATCTGGTCTCTCTCTGATCTCTCTCTGGTCTCTCTCTGGTCTCTCTCTGGTCTCTCTCTGGTCTTTCTCTGGTCTCTCTCTCTGGTTTCTCTCTTGTCTCTCCCTAGTCTCTCTCTGGTCTTTTCTGGTATCTCTCGCTAGTGTGTCTCTCTTTGGCCTCTCTCTCTGGTCTCTCTCTCCTGTCTATATCTGTTCTCTCTCTGGTCTCTCTCTCTTGTCTCTCTCTCTGTTCTCTCTCTGGTCTCTCTCAATGGTCTCTTTCTTTGGTTTTTCTCTCTGGTCTCTTTCTTTGGTTTTTCTCTCTGGTCTCTCTCTCTCTGGTCTTTCTCTCTGGTCTCTCTCTCTGGTCTCGCTGGTCCCTCTCTCTGGTCTCTCTCTGGTTGTTTCTCACATGTTCTACTGATGTTCCTCAGGTTTCTACTGTGTTCATGGTTCTGCTGGGGACCATGGAGACCCAGGAGAACCAGGCCTCACCGGGGCACCAGGCTCCAAAGGGTCCAAAGGTAGGTCCATGTCTTGGTGTCAGTTCTGGGTCTCAGTCTGGTCTTCAGGTCTTTGACTCCTCAGGTCTTCCCGGACCCTGCTTCTGTCTTCTGGAGCCTCCACGTGGAGCTGATGGGGACCCAGGACCACGAGGTTTTGACGGAGCCCCTGGTAGACCGGGTCCAGGACCAGGACCACGAGGAGAAAAAGGGAATGAGGGCGAGCGAGGAGACCCAGGACCAGAGGTGAGAGGAGAACCAGAGGACCACCAGGACCGGGACAACCAAATGTTACTCTCCGTTTATGTTTTGTTTATTTGTTTATTGAAACAGTGGAATCAGATGATGTGTTTTGAAGGTATTTATAATGAGAGGCACAAACTACAGGACGCAGCTCTGTTGAGGGACCCTCTTGCTGAGAAGTGCTATACACTCAGCCACCGTGATGCTGTATTTGGTCTCTCTCTGGTCTCTCTCTAGTCTCTCTCCCTGGTCTCTTTCTGGTCTCTCTCTGGTCTTTCTCTGATCTCTCTCTGGTCTCTTTCTGGTCGCTCTGATCTCTCTCTCTGGTCTCTTTCTGGTCTCTCTCTGGTCTCTTTCTGGTCGCTCTGGTCTCTCTCTCTGGTCTCTTTCTGGTCTCTCTCTTTGTCTCTCTTTTTGTCTCTCTTTTTGTCTCTCTCTTTGTCTCTCTCTGGTCTCTTTCTAGTCGCTCTGGTCTCTCTGGTCTTTCTGGTCTCTCTCCTGTATCTGGTCTCTCTCTGGTCTTGACAAGGGTGTGCTCTCTCCAGGGCCTGCAGGGGTTTCCTGGTCTGAAAGGATTTAAAGGACTCAAAGGCCTCCAACAGGAGCGCAATGTGTGGGGTGAGACATCCACCTGTTTATGGTTAGCATTAGCATTAGCATCAGAAATTGCAGTAAACGTAGTTTTAGCATTTGCCTTAGCTTTATTTTTAATTTGAGCTTCAGCCTTAGCTTTGGTTTTTTGCATCAGCATTCGTTTCAGTATTAGCTTTAGTTTTAGTTTTACCATTAGCTTTAGGTTTAGTATTTGAATTAGCTTTAGCCTTAGTCATGATGTGACATCACTAACAGCCGATCTGTGGCTTATGTTCCTGCAGGAGAGAAGGGGGTCCGAGGAGAACCAGGGGCCCCTGGGCTCCCAGGCCTCAGTGGGGAAACAGGACAAGACGGGGCCCCAGGAGCAAGAGGAGACCCAGGACCAACAGTGAGTCTGGTTCTGGTCCAAGTCTAGTCTCACTCTGGTCTCTCTGACTGGTCTCTCTCTCTGGTCTCTCTGGTCGCTCTCTGGTCTCTCTGGTCTCTCTCTGGTCCTCTATGGTTTCGCTTTGGTCTCTATTTGGTCTTACTCTGGTTTCAGGGGGACTCTGTACCTGGTCTGGTTGGAGTGTCTGGGCCTAGGGGCCGGTCTGGACCTCAGGGAGCTGTTGGCGCTGTGGGCTCCGTGGGGCCCTCAGTGCCAGGGGCTATTGGAGATAGAGGGGCCCCTGGAGATAAAGGTCCCTCTGGGGCCCCTGGACCCACCGGGCCCCCAGGGCCACCAGGTGAGCGCTGCTGAGGATTTATATTCATGCCTCAGGTCCAAAATGTCTGTGTTGTTGTTGTTCTGTTCTTGTGTTGTCATCTTGTATTGTGTTGCCACAGGAGAGCTCCTCCCCTGTGTCCCAAAGAATCCTGGAGCTCCAGGAGAGAAGGGGGACGCCGGGGAGACAGGTGAGGGAGGGGCCACAGGTGATGGAGGGGCTACAGGTGAGGGAGGGGCTACAGGTGAGGAGCCACAAGTGGGGGAGGGGTTACAGGTGAGGGAGGGGCTACAGGTGAAGAGCCACGGGTGGGGGAGGGTCCACAGGTAGGGGAGTGGCTACAGGTGGGGGGGGTGCAGAGGTGGGAGAGGGGCCACAGGTGGGGGAGGGGCCACAGGTGGGCGGCCACATGAGAGGGAGGGGATACAGGTGAGGGGCGGAGCTATTATTGAGGCCCGTAATGAAGGGCCCCTTCCACTAACCACTTAACTCCTGATCTAATACAAGTGTGTGTTGTAGGCTTGCCTGGGCCCCTGGGGGCCCCCGGCTTCACAGGGGCCACAGGAGCAGATGGACCCAAAGGTGACAAAGGACAGGAGGGGGTCCCGGGCCCCCCAGGACGACAGGGACCCCCAGGATCCACCGGAGCCACTGGTGATGAGGGAGAGGAAGGCTTCAGCTACAGTGGAGAGCCAGGTCTGGTACAGGGCCCTCAGGGGGCACAGGGGCCTCGCTGACAGATCATGATGAACCTGAAGTATTTTCTCTCAGTGATTATTGTACAATGTGTGATGTCACTGCAGGTTCCCCTGGAGGCCCTGGGGCCCCTGGACTTCCTGGTTCTTCTGGAGATCCAGCTGTGGGGCCCCCCGGGGCCATTGGGTTCCCAGGTCCTAGGGGCCTCCAAGGACCAAAGGGAGTACCAGGTCCTTATGGAGCGCCTGGCTTCAGCGGTAAACACACACACACACACACACACAAGGTCATAGGGGCCACTTTCTGAACACTGTCTTTCCCCAGGGGCCCCAGGACAACCAGGACTCCCAGGACCCAAAGGAGCAGTGGGGTACACAGGGGCCCCGGGTGCAGTAGGGCTCCCAGGACCTGTCCCATACTGTCCCCCAATGACAGGAGCACCAGGGCCTCCAGGCCTGCAGGGTCCCCAGGGGCCCATCGGCCCTCCAGGTATGTATTTGTGTGTGTGTCCGTGTGTGTGTATATGTGTGGGTTTATTGTATGATGTGTGTGTGTTTAGGTTGTACAGGACAGAAGGGAGACCCTGGTTCCTCAGGAGCCCCTGGGGTGGGGCCCCCAGGTCCCAAAGGAAAGTCTGGCTCCTCAGGGTTCCATGGTTACCCAGGACAGCAGGGGCCTATGGGCTCCAGTGGAGACCCTGGCCCCCCAGGCCTCCCGGGGGCCACAGGTGAGAGGGGCCCTAAAGGCAGAGCAGGGGCCCCTGGAGAGCTGGGTTTCAGCGGCAGGACAGGGGCCCCTGGACCAATGGGATTCAGAGGAGAGAGAGGCAGTGACGGGGCCCCGGGGCCCAACGGCTTGAAGGGCCTCAAAGGTGAGACATAACTGACATGTGTAAGGGGCCAATAGGCGCCTCTGGCATGTGCCCGCTCTAACAGAACTGTGTGTGTGTGTAGGAGAGCTCGGGGCCCCAGGGCCAACAGGGGACTTCTCTGTGTTAGCGCTGAAGGGCCTCTCTGGGACCCCTGGAGACGAGGGACCTAAAGGATTCACAGGGCCTCGAGGTAAGACCAGGATGAACCAGGTCTATGTCGATCTGTTCTCACTGTTCTCCCTGCAGGCTTTAAGGGCCTCCCAGGGAGCCCCGGGTACCCAGGTCTCCCTGGAGCTTCAGGAGCCCCTGGCCCCTCAGGTCTCACAGGCAGCTCTGGTATCAGGGGCCCCCAGGGGACACCAGGGAAGAAGGGACACACAGGCCTGAGAGGGGTACAAGGCTTCCCAGGGATCAATGGAGACCAGGTAATGCTAACACTAGTGTGTATAACAGTGTTGCTATTGTAGTGCAATTACCCATTTGAATCTAACACAGGTGTAATGTGTCCCCCTATCCCACTCTCACCTCTCTCCCTCCCTCCTCACCAATAGGGGGACCCTGGACCCCCTGGAGCAAATGGAGCCACTGGGAACCCTGGTGTCCCTGGACCTAAAGGAGAAACAGGAGATTCATCCAGATGCCCCGGAGAGACCGGGGAGAGAGGCTGCGAGGGGGAGAGGGGAGAGACAGGTGAGTTAGGGGAGAGAGGAGAGACAGGTGAGAGAAGAGAGAGAGGTTGTGAGGGGGAGAGGGGAGAGACAGGTGAGAGAGGAGAGAGAGGAGAGACAGGTGAGAGAAGAGAGAGAGGCTGTGAGGGGGAGAGGGGAGAGACAGGTGAGAAAAGAGAGAGAGAGAGGCTGAGAGGGGGAGAGGGGAGAGACAGGTGAGAGAGAGGGGAAGGGGAGAGACGGGGAAGAAGAGAGAGATAGCAGGGGGTAGAAGATAGTGATATATTGATATATTTGTATTTTATTGTATTTTCAGGACCCCTGGGACCAGCCGGGGAGACAGGGGAGGCCGGCCTACAAGGGATCCCAGGATGCACTGGGTGTAAGGGAGACCCAGGAGCCCGCGGGAACCCGGGAGACACAGGTTTGTGCTCTTTATATGTGCTGTGTGAACAATACAGAGAGCGAGACCACCTCAGCAGAGAGAGAGACCCACTCAGAGACCCCCTCAGCAGAGAGAGAGAGAGACCCACTCAGAGACCGCCTCAGCAGAGAGAGAGACCCACTCAGAGACCGCCTCAGCAGAGAGAGAGAGACCCACTCAGAGACCACCTCAGCAGAGAGAGAGACCCACTCAGAGACCACCTCAGCAGAGAGAAAGACCCACATGTGGACCACTGCTGAACCAGGTCTCTGTCTCTGCAGGAGTCCCAGGACCTCCAGGACCCAGGGGAAAACTAGGACCTGCAGGGATCCCCGGCGAGCCTGGATCAGACGGACCCCCGGGACCAGAGGGCAGCCGAGGCCTCAGAGGTACAGATACAGTACACATGGTCCATATGACCCAAGGCAAAGGACGCCATAAAACTGGACCAAAAGCTTTCAGGGAAAATGTGATACGTATTAGTAATAACAACAGTGGTTTTATCTCAGAATCCACTCACAGGTGATAAACTACTACTGTGGCCGCAGCTGCCCTGACCCGGTCTGGACCCAGTCTCATAGTCCTCTGTCCTCAGGTCCTCCTGGTCCTCTGGGACTCCATGGTCTGGACGGGCTGAAGGGAGTGAAGGGTGACATCGGCACCCGAGGTCTGGGTCAACCAGGACCTGAAGGTTCCCGAGGGGCTCCAGGAGACACAGGGGCCCCTGGACCAGCTGGGCCCCCAGGATCCTCTCAGAGGGGCCCCCCAGGACCCAGGGGCCCCCAAGGACTGACAGGTACTGAACCAGGAATGAAAGAGGTCTGAACCAGGTGAGGTCTGTAACACAAGTGTAATGTGAGGTCTGTAACACAGGCGTAATGTGAGGTCTGTAACACAGGTGTAATGTGAGGTCTGTAACACAGGTGTAATGTGAGGTCTGTAACACAGGTGTAACACAGGTGTAATGTGAGGTCTGTGACACAGGTGTAATGTGAGGTCCCCACTCTTTGCAGGGAGACCTGGTTCCCAGGGACCTGCTGGAGGACCTGGTCCGGTTTGTGCTGATCCTAAACTTGGACCTGAGGGAGAAGCAGGACCAGCAGGAGCCGAGGGAGAACCAGGTATGAAGCCACGCCTACTGAGAACTAAGTCCACAGAGACAGTGAGCCTTTCTTTATTCACTTTTATACTTAGTTTGGCTGCAGTATTTATCTAAACCCTGGACGTAGCACTCTGAGCTCTGCCCCTTTAAGCCCACATGGCCATGGCCCTGCACGTTCCGCTCAGACCACAACTCATGTTCCACACACAGGCTGAAGACATGCCGGCTCTGATGAACTCTCTTCTCTCAGGATCCCAGGGGCCTCAGGGGGAGCCCGGTCCTAACCCTCCGCTCCCAGGAGACGATGGAGACGACGGAGACAACGGCTGCACTGGAATCAGGGGCCCCAGAGGGTCTGAGGGCCCTAGAGGGAGAGCAGGGGCCCCTGGAGACCAGGGTCCAAGAGGTCAGTGTGTCTGTGTGTGGGGGAGAGGGGGGGGAGGAGGGGCCCTAGAGAGCACCGAAGCTTCAGGATGTCAGTGTGACATCACATCGAGGATCACTTGTGAGACAAAGTTTCGCAATTTATCAATATTAATAATAAAGTAACATTTAGATCCACAATGTACTATTCTGTCCTTTGTCTCCTTACGATCCCTCTGACTTCTAACTCCTGACCTCTGACCCCTGACCCTAACACCCTGTGCTCTCTCCCACAGGGCCGCAGGGCCAGGCCGGTCTCATGGGGCTCCCAGGCCCCCGAGGGCCCCGAGGCGCCGATGGGTTTTCAGGGCGCCCAGGACTCAAAGGCTCTCGGGGGCCTCAGGGACCCAAAGGAGATCCAGGAGACAGTGACCCCTGCCCCCCCTCCTCCCCGCCCCCCCCAGGCTCCCCAGGACCACAGGGAGAGCCTGGATTCCCAGGGGCCCCAGGCCACACCGGAGAGCCAGGCTGCAGCGGGAGCAAAGGTGAGCAAAACTGCAGAACCAGTGTGTGACATCACCACAGTGTGACATCACCAGTGTGACATCACCACAGTGTGACATCACCAGTGTGTGACATTACTACAGTGTGAGATCGGTACAATGCAACATTGCAACATCACTATAGTGTGACATCACCACAGTGTGACAAGCTGGAGTTGTCCCTGAATGAAGGCCTCTGATTGGTCAGTTCATATAAGGACTGACCAAAGACAATATCACAAAATAAACAGCAGGATCACAGAGAGCTTCGTTGAACTAACAGGTTAGAATTGTGGCAGCAGGTTAACATTGTGCCAGCGGATTAGCATTAAGCTAGGAGGTTAGTATTTTGCTAGCAGCTTAGCATTGAGCTAGAAGATTAGCATTGTGCTAGTGGGTTATTTTTGAGCTAGTGGCTTAGCACCATAGACTGTATACAGTGCCTTGCAAAAGTATTCGGCCCCCTTGAACCTTTCAACATTTCGCCACATTTCAGGCTTCAAACATAAAGATATAAAAATTACATTTTATGTCAAGAATCAACAACAAGTGGGACACAATCGTGAAGTGGAACGAAATTTATTGGATCATTTAAACTTCTTTAACAAATAAAAAACTGAAAAGTGGGGCGTGCAATATTATTCGGCCCCCTTGCGCTAATACTTTGTAGCGCCACCTTTTGCTGCAATTACAGCTGCAAGTCGCTTGGGGTATGTCTCTATCAGTTTTGCACATTGAGAGACTGGAATTCTTTCCCATTCGTCCTTGCAAAACAGCTCGAGCTCAGTGAGGTTGGATGGAGAGCGTTTGTGAACAGCAGTCTTCAGCTCTTTCCACAGATTCTCGATTGGACTTTGACTTGGCCATTCTAACACCTGGATACGTCTATTTGTGAACCATTCCATTGTATATTTGGCTTTATGTTTTGGATCATTGTCCTGTTGGAAGATAAATCTCCGTCCCAGTTTCAGGTCTTTTGCAGACTCTAACAGGTTTTCTTCCAGAATGGTCCTGTATTTGGCTCCATCCATCTTCCCATCAATTTTAGCCATCTTCCCTGTCCCTGCTGAAGAAAAGCAGGCCCAAACCATGATGCTGCCACCACCATGTTTGACAGTGGGGATGGTGTGTTCAGGGTGATGAGCTGTGTTGCTTTTACGCCAAACATATTGTTTTGCATTGTGGCCAAAAAGTTTGATTTTGGTTTCATCTGACCAGAGCACCTTTTTCCACATGTTTGGTGTGTCTCCCAGGTGGCTTGTGGCAAACTTTAAACGAGACTTTTTATGGATATCTTTGAGAAATGGCTTTCTTCTTGCCCCTCTTGAATCACTGTCCATAGGATTGTTGTCCTATGGACAGACTCTCCCACCTCAGCTGTAGTTATCTGCAGTTCATCCAGAGTGATCATGGGCCTCTTGGCTGCATCTCTGATCAGTCTTCTCCTTGTTTGAGATGAAAGTTTGGAGGGACGGCCGGGTCTTGGTAGATTTGCAGTGGTCTGATACTCCTTCCATTTCAATATAATTGCTTGCACAGTGCTCCTTGAGATGTTTAAAGCTTGGGAAATCTTTTTGTATCCAAATCCGGCTTTAAACTTCTCCACAACAGTATCTCGGACCTGCCTGGTGTGTTCCTTTGTCTTCATGGTTCTCTCTGCGCTTTAAACAGAACCCTGAGACTATCAAAGAGCAGGTGCATTTATACAGAGACTTGATTACACACAGGTGCATTCTATTTATCATCATCAGTCATTTAGGACAACATTGGATCATTCAAAGATCCTCACTGAACTTCTGGACTGAGTTCACTTTGGAGAGACCCAAGAGGGAAAATGCAGTTAGAAGTTTGTTGATTGAGTATGTTTGGCGCCCTAGGCCCGGGAGAGATGCTGATGAGTGCGGCGCTTGCTCGCGCGCATAATCCCCCCCCCGGGGCCTAGGCACTGGTGACGGCAGAGGCAGTAGGCAAGCACGCTTCGATGAGAGAAGGAGGAGGTGGGGCGGCGGAGGCTTTGCAAGCTTCAGAAGGCCGGGAAAGTGGGCGTCTCCGGCTTTTAACTTGCTGTCCTGGTGGTTATTGGTGGATTAGATGTGGGCGTTTTGCTGGTGTAATGAGTAGAGGATGAGCAGGCTTGTAGGTCTGGCAGCAGTGGCCGGGTCTACCACAGTGAACTTTCGCGAAGAGCTTCATTTCACTTTGGAGAGACCCAAGAGGGAAAATGCAGTTAGAAGTTTGTTGATTGAGTATGTTTGGCGCCCTAGGCCCGGGAGAGATGCTGATGAGTGCGGCGCTTGCTCGCGCGCATAATCCCCCAAAAACGGGCAGAGTTACCTTTGCGCGCCGGGACGTGAGCGCTCGCTCACGATCGACCGGACGCTGCCTGGGACGTGAGCGCTCGCATCACGATCGATACCAGACGCTGCAGCAGAGTGGTCTTTGAGCGCCGGGACGTGAGCGCTCGCATCACGATTTAACCGGACGCTGCCTGGGACGTGAGCGCTCGCATCACGATCGATACCAGACGCCGTAGCAGAGTTGTCTTTGAGCGCCGGGACGTGAGCGCTCGCATCACGATTTAACCGGCGCTGTCTGGGACGTGAGCGCTCGCATCACGATCGGTACCAGACGCTGCAGTGGAGTTATCTTTAAGCGCCGGGACGTGAGCGCTCGCATCACGATCAACCGGACGCTGTCTGGGACGTGAGCGCTCGCACCACGATCGATACCAGACGCTGTAGCAGAGTTGTCTTTAAGCGCCGGGACGTGAGCGCTCGCTTCACGATCAACCGGACGCTGCCTGGGACGTGAGCGCTCGCATCACGATCGATACCAGACGCTGTAGCAGAGTTGTCTTTAAGCGCCGGGACGTGAGCGCTTGCATCACGATCAACCGGACGCTGTCTGGGACGTGAGCGCTCGCATCACGATCGGTACCAGACGCTGCAGTGGAGTTATCTTTAAGCGCCGGGACGTGAGCGCTCGCATCACGATCAACCGGACGCGCAACAGGGTTATCTTTGAAGAAGTGCGTGCCGCCACCAGAATCTTATTGGTTCACTTACTTTGCTTTGTATTGCTTTGCTGGGAGCTTACGAGGAAGCCAGTAGCCGTTGTGCAGCCAGGATGGCGGACGCGTCTGGCCTGATGTAGGTGGAGAAAGCCGAAGAGGACCAGCGCCCCAGCTGTTGCAGAGAGGTGTGGGGGAGCCCCAGCGAGGCCGCGCGCGTGGCAGCGCCTATCCTGAAGGAGTGAGCTGTGTAGAGCTGGGGAGACAATTTACAGAGGAGCAGTAGGGATCTTAGTTGAGTTCTGAACCAGGTTGCTGTCATGGGAAGAATGTCTGGAGTGAGAAAGACAGGTCCGTTAAGATCTCCTTTTTGCAGTGGAGGCGAGTGTAACGCATAAAGGATTTGTAGGGGCAGAGAGATGTGTCCGAGCGAGCTATTACTATATTGCAGGCTCCTTTGATTTTTGAATGTTTGAGACGGAGGTTGAAATGGTCAGGGGACATTATGTTGGGTGAAAAAGAGCGACCTTTGTGTAATGCTTCCACTACGTCGAGATTATCACACGTGACAGAGATCCTCTTTCTCTGCCACGTGTGATTCCACAGCGCGCAGGCCACGACCACTGGGAATATCACGTGTAGGGCAGAGGAGATGCTCCGGTGGAAAGTAGCGGCCACGCTCGGCAAACCAATGGTCCTGGAAGAATCCCCCAAAACCCACGGAAGGGGCAGCGTCCGTGTAGAAGCGGAGACCTGTAGGGGCAGAGACATGTCGGAGAGGGCCATTGATGTTGCAGGCGCCCTTACGCTTGAAACCTTGGGTTGGAGAGTAGAAATCAGGATAGTAGGATGGTCGGGAAGGCCGTGTCTCGGACCGCATGAAGGTTGAGTGAGCAATGGTGAAACGCTTATGCAGAGAAGCCATAGAAGGAAAGCAGGAAGATGCTGCGAGGAGGGCGGACATGTACTTGGGAGATGAGCCGGAGTTCAGCGCCGCTGCAGGATGGGCAGCATGATGGGGAGCCTGCGATCAGAAGAGTGAAGAATACAGGTATGGATGCCTTTGATTAGGAGTCCGATTGACGGCTCAGCGCAGCTACTCGGCCAGCTGCATCTGATAGAATCAGAAGATTAAGTAGAGAGATGAAACATGACCGCCGAAGCGACCCTGGGAGCATAGGTGCGAGTCCAGCGCAGCGCGGCATGCTCAGCCGGGCTGCGTCCATTAGAAACAGGATAAGCTTCTGAGAGAGTGGGATGCAGCAGTAGCAGTAGCAGCAGCAACCTCAGATAATAACGGCAATAGTCCTGTATCAAGCCGCGACAGTAGCAGCAGCAGCAGCAGCAGCAGCAGCGTCCTTAGAAAATAACAGTAATAATCCTGTATCAAAGCCACAGCAGTAGAATGTTGTAGTAGCTGTTTAGTGTTTCAGTAAAAGAGATGCAAGTGAAGAGAGGTGTCAAAGTAAAAAAGCAGCAGCAGCACGGCAGCAGTAGCAGTATGAAGCAGCAGCGGCAGCAATAGCAGCAGTAGCAGCAGTAGCGGTAGCAGTAAGAAGCAGCAGAAGCAGCATTAGCAGGAGCAGTAGCACCACAATGCGATTCATACGAACAACAGACGTGTCACGCCAGCGTGCGCCGCTTGTCTCCGTGAGCCAGGTTACATACGTGTCTGAAAGAGCCAAGCCGTAGAGAAGGGTGCCGTCCGGGAGCCCGCGGAGCAGCAGCGGCAGGAACAGCAGCAGCGGCACATGTAGTAGCAGGAGCAGCAGGAGCAGCAGCAGGAACAGGCGGCAGCAGGAACAGCAGCAGCGGCACATGTAGTAGTAGGAGCAGCAGGAGCAGGCAGCAGGGACAGGCAGCAGGAGCGGCAGCAGGAACAGGCAGCAGCGGGAACAGGCATCAGCGGGATCAGGCATCAGTAGGAACGGCAGCAGGGACCGCAGCAGCGGCGGTCAGAAAACCATGCCCACGGTTGTTTAAGAGCCTGAGGAAATAAATCAACCCGAATCCGAAACATTCCCATGCGAAAAACAGATATCCCCTGGAGCCATCTTGCTGCTTTGGTTATGGCAGATACGCATGAACGATCACTTTTCCATGCGTTCATAGCTCCAACTCCACTTCGAACCCATTGCAGATTCACATTGGGCCCCTTTTCTTTCTGCTGCACTTTCGAAATGCAACAACTGCAGTTTAGTTACCCAATTTAATACTAGTGACCTAGCTATTTAAATGCATGGCCCCTCCTTCCTCCTGCAGATAGACGAATTTAAATACATTCGTTTAACAATAGTGACCTGCGAGTAATGAGATTAATGCTGTAAAATGGCGCCGTGGCAAGAGTTCTGGTGTGTGCCGTCTGGAGCACGATGGGTAGTCTTTGCACATTTTTTCCAACGTGGTTTTACTGCAAGTGGCAGAACATGAATCTGAATTAATGCACATTGCTCCTCTTATATCCCTCAGACATTGGAGATTGATGCCATTTAAGATGCATTGCCCCTCAGTTAGCTCAAACACGTGTGAAAACGGAGCCTGCAGACCAAGCACGGGGCGAAAACTGACGCCTGCAGTCAAGTGCGTAGGGCAAAAACCAGCCGCCTGCAGCCTAGACTCCGGGATTAATCTGTCCGCGGTCGGCACACTCACTGTACTCACATGCCAGGAGACTTGGGAAAGCAACGGGACAACGCGGCACCGCCAATCGGAGGCAGGGACACGCACGGCACCGCCAGACCGTCTGCGCGCGGCAGCAGACCACGAGGAACGAGCAGCACAGAAACCGCGGAGGGGCCCCGCGGAGGGGCCCGCAGAAGAGCCCGCAGAGGAGGAGAGCAGACCACGAGCAGCCAGACTGAGGACAGCAGGGCCACGCGCACGAGCAACACGTGAGCAGAAGCGACCCCTCCAGAACAACGCATGTATTTGCGAACAGGTGCGTTAGCGACATGCACCTTGCAGGCTTCAGAAGTTTGCAAGCTTCAGAAGGCCGGGAAAGTGGGCGTCTCCGGCTTTTAACTTGCTGTCCTGGTGGTTATTGGTGGATTAGATGTGGGCGTTTTGCTGGTGTAATGAGTAAAGGATGAGCAGGCTTGTAGATCTGGCAGCAGTGGCCGGGTCTACCACAGTGAACTTTCGTGAAGAGCTCCATTTTGCTGCACTGAAAGTAAAGGGGCCGAATAATATTGCACGCCCCACTTTTCAGTTTTTTATTTGTTAAAAAAGTTAAAATTATCCAATAAATCTCGTTCCACTTCACGATTGTGTCCCACTTGTTGTTGATTCATGACAAAAAATTAAAATTATATATCTTTATGTTTGAAGCCTGAAATGTGGCAAAATGTTGAAAGGTTCAAGGGGGCCGAATACTTTCGCAAGGCACTGTATATAAACGGACGTAGTCACGCCTATCTCCGCCGTTCAAACTAATGGGCAAAAAATTGTGCTCTACTGGAGCTATTCAAAATGGCCGCGAGTGGTCCCGCCCACAAGAAAATTGAGAAAAAACGCATCTGCGCATGCGTCAGCCGATGAGAGCTCCATTCATTTAACGAGTGACTTCAAAAATTCACAGCAACTAAACTAGAGTGGTCCAAAAAAATTCACCCTCCTCAGCATTGACACACATGTGGAACGGAGCTTTGGGCCAAGAGCCAACTTTTGGACCATCTTGTAAAGACGTTTTCAAGAGGTAGGAAGATGCTATATGTTAGCATTAGCTAATTCTCATTCTGGGTCCACCCCCATCGGCCCGGGGTGGTATTGCAAGCATGTCAGCGCACGTCATTTTGGTCACTTTTGAGCCGGGACCCTCCCCCACTGGTTAGCACTATCACCGGCCACTTTTTTAGGTACACCTAAAGGTTGGACCCCCTTTTTCCTTCCAAACTGTCTTCCAATCCTCCGTGGCATAGATTCAACAAGGAACTGGACACATTCCTCAGAGAGTTTGGTCCATATTTGATAGCAACATGCGGTTTCTGCAGATTTGTCAGACAAGGTGTTTTATCCTGCAGTAAGTAGCCATCAGAAGATGGGTACAGTGTGGTAATAAAGGGATGGACATGGTCAGCAACAATACCCTGTGGGCTGTGGCAACGATGCTCAATTGGTAGTAAGGGTGCCAAGAAATTGTCCCCCACACCATTGCACCCCCACCACCAGCCTGAACCGTTCATACAAGGCAGGATGGATCCATGCTTTCATGTTGTTGACTCCAAATTCTGACCCTACCATCCGAAATTAATCAAATTGAGACTCATCAGACCAGGCAACTTTTTCCAAACTTCGGTGAGCCTGTGCGAATTGTAGCCTCAGTTTCCTGTTTTTAGCCGACAGGACTGGCACCTGGTGTGGTCTTCTGCTGCTGTAGCCCATCTGCCTCAAGGTCTGATGTGTTCTGTGTTCAGAGAGGCTCTTGCAGACCTTGGTTGTAACGCGCGGTTATTTGAGTTACTGTTGCCTTTCTATCAGCTCGAACCAGTCTGGCCATTCACCTCTGACCCTTGGCATCAACAAGGCATTTTCGCCCATCGAACTGCCGCTCACAGGATATTTTCTCTTTTTTGGACCATTCTCTGTAAAACCTAGAGATGGTTGTGTGTGATAATCTCAGTAGATCAGGAGTTTCTGAAATACTGAGCAGCCCATCTGGCACCAACAACCATGCCATGTTCAAAGTCCCCTTTCTTCCCCATTCTGATGGTTTGAACTGCAGCAGATCGTCTTGACTCTTGACCAGCCTAAATGCATTGAGTTACTGCCATGTGATTGACTGATAAGGAATTTGCAATAAAGTGTAGTTGGATAGGAGTACCTAATAAAGTGGCCGGTGAGTGTATACAGACTATAAGGCAAGGAAAGTTTATTTGTATAGCACAGTTCATACACAAGGCAACTCAAAGTGCTTAACAAAGCAAGAACCCTGACCCTTTAACCAAGCCTCACTCTTGTGTCCAGGCTCTAGAGGAGACCCGGGGGCCCCTGGGTTCTCCGGGGCCCCAGGACCGAGGGGCCCCAGAGGAGGACCAGGAGACGAGGGCCTGAAGGGGGACAGAGGGGAGCAGGGGTGTCAGGGGGATCCTGGGGGACGAGGGGACCATGGACCCCCTGGCCCCTCCCACACAAAGAGTGCTGGCTTCTTATTAGTCATCCACAGCCAATCACTGAATGTTCCAGTTTGCCCCGCCCACATGAGGGCACTGTGGAGTGGCTTCAGTTTATTGTATCTGGAAGGACAAGAGAAGGCCCACACCCAGGACCTTGGTATGTACATACTGAGACATGTATACTGAGACATACTGAGAAATGTTACTGAGACATGTACTGTATACTGAGTCATGTATACTGAGACATACTGAGACATGTTACTGAGACATGTTACTGAGACATGTTACTGAGACATGTACTGTATACTGAGACATACTGAGACATGTATACTGAGACATACTGAGTCATACTGAGACATGTTACTGAGACATGTACTGTATACTGAGACATACTGAGACATGTTACTGAGATATGTTACTGAGACATGTTACGGAGACATGTTACTGAGACATGTACTGTATATTGAGACATGTATACTGAGACATACTGAGACATGTTACTGAGACATGTTACTGAGACATGTTACTGAGACATGTACTGTATACTGAGACATGTATACTGAGACATACTGAGACATGTTACTGAGACATGTTACTGAGACATGTTACTGAGACATGTACTGTATACTGAAACATACTGTGACATGTTACTGAGACATGTTACTGAGACATAAATACTTTCATGTTTGATCAGGTCAAGCTGGCTCCTGCCTCCGCCTCTTCTCCACGATGCCATTCTCCTCCTGTAGCTCCGCCCACTGCTCCTACTCCTCCAGGAACGACAAATCCTATTGGCTGTCTGGCTCGGCGACAGTGCCGGTGCTCCCGGTGGTGGGAGGTGGTATTGTTGAACACATCAGCCGCTGTGTGGTGTGTGAGGGGCCATCCGCCGCTGTGGCCCTTCACTCCCAGGGGCCACGCGCCCCCCAGTGCCCCCCCGCATGGGCCCCGCTCTGGACTGGCTTCTCCTTCCTCATGGTAAGAGTTGCATGTCCTCATACTGTGGTCCTCATACTGTGGTCCCCAGACTGTGGTCCTCATACTGTGGTCCTCATACTGTGGTCTCCAGACTGTGGTCCTCAAACTGTGGTCCTCAGACTGTGGTCTCCAGACTGTGGTCCTCAAACTGTGGTCCTCAGACTGTGGTCCCCAGACTGTGGTCCCCAGACTGTGGTCCCCAGACTGTGGTCCTCAGACATTGGTCCTCAGACTGTGGTCCTCAGACTGTGGTCCTCAGACTGTGGTCCCCAGACTGTTGTCCTCATACTGTGGTCCTCAGACTGGTTGAGGCTGATCTCCCTCATGTTGGTCTCTCTCTGCAGCACACTGGGGCAGGGGATGAGGGTGGGGGGCAGTCCCTCACCTCCTCGGGGTCCTGCCTGACCCACTTCAGACCGCAGCCCTTTGTGGAGTGTCAGGGGCCAAGGGGGACCTGCCATTACTTCTCCAACATCTACAGCTTCTGGCTCACCCGAGTCCTGGAGCCTGACCAAGACCAGAGCAGAGACCACATTGAAGACCGGATCAGAGACCAGACCAAAGATCAGAGTCCGCAGGAGCAGAACATCGGTCGCTGTGTGGTCTGTATGAAGACTCTGTGAGCGAGGCTGAGGCTGAGGCTGGGGCTGAGACTGAGGCGTCTGGAGGACTTGATGACATCATCGTCTCGCAGGGTCAGGGGTCAGCTCGGAAGCAGCTAGTCACGACCTCAGCTGTAATGACGTCACCGTTAGCATGTCAACAAACACAGATCACACATGGTCACCCACATGGTCCTTCACAGAGCCTTGTTCCACATGTGTTTTCAAAGTGAATTTGAGAGAGATAGAGTTTCCCCTAAATTAAGGCCTCTGATTGGTCAATCCATATCTGGATTTACAAAGACAAATATCACAATATAAACAGCAGGTTTGCACCAAGCTAGCTGATTAGCATTGAGCTAGTGGGTTAGGATTGTCCATCTGTATACAATATTTGCAATATTTAAGTCAATGGAATGCGCTCTGGAGGGACTGGAGTTTGACAAGTTTAATTTGATTCAATGTATTTGTGTATCACAGTTAATCCAGGACTGAGTTCTTAGAACCATGACTGTTTCCGTAGATCCAGGACTGTGTCCGTAGACCCAGGACTGAGGCAGTAGATAATGGGACAGCAGGTGAATATCGATGAACAGACTACAGCTGAAGTCATTCTGTTGCCAGATTTCTCCAGCAGGGGGCTTCATATACAGTGTCTGACAATCTGTGTTTTTTAGAATGTATTTCTTACCAGAGTCTTCCTAACCCGAGCTGACAACAGATCCTATTTCATTGTGTTTATTGTAAATAAATGGGTAAAATGTATTTATTGGAAAAACACAGACTTCTTGTTTCGGTGGTTGCCGTGGCAACAACTTTGATGTCACATGTTTTATATTTGGTTCAGTTTTTATTTTCATGTTATTGTAGATTTAATAAAAGTCTGAATAAAAGTGTTTTTTACTGAGACACAAACACACACAGCTCTCTCTCTGGTCTCTTTCTCTGGTCTCTGGTCTCTCTGGTTTCTGGTCTCTCTCTCTCTGGTCTCTCTCTCTGGTCTGGTGAATGACAGTATATTCTTCTACTGCGGTCGCTGTGGTCTACGTCACCCCCTCACATATTGTCATGAGGGAGCAGTGTCTGCAATCAGAGCTCTCTCACCTCTAGTCATGAAGGAGCAGCATCTGCAGTCAGAGCTCACCTCTGATCCTGCTTCACAGTAGTTTCCTCCAGAGTGGAGCTCCCTCAGAGCATGTGAGTCAAACTCACGCCCGAAGGCCAAATCGGGCCAATAAGACCATTTCTAGCGGCCCTAGAAGTGACTCAATGATCATTATCACAGAAACTTGCAGCATTGATGCTAATGGGGGACTTTGGCCTGTTATACTTCATTTAAAATCCTGTTCTCAGGACAACCACTGAATCATTAACCCTTTTCTAAAACGTAAGTTGGAAGTTGTAATTATTTCGATTTTTTACTTATAACTATCTGTCTTGAACCAGTGGGGCCGCGTCCTGGCACAAAAGCATCCATGAACATGCGCTGACAAACTTGTAATCCCACTCCGGGCCAGTGGGGGTGTACCAATGAAAGATAATTGTCCAATGCTTTAGTATGGCGTCTTCTTTCCTCCCGAATATGGCTTTACAGGATGGGCCAAAAGTCGCTCTTGGCCCAATGCTAAGTTCCAAATGCTGTCAATGCTGAGGAGGGTTTTTTTTTTGGACCACTCTAGTTTAGCCGCTGTGGACTTCAGAATGCACTTGTTAAACAAATGGGGCTTCTGCAGCTAACGCATGAGCAAATGTGTTTTTTCACATTTTCCTGCGGGGGGGAGTTTCAATGGCGGAGATATTCGTGACTACATCCATAAATATTTACAGTCTGTTCTTCCAACACATCCTTGATTTGATCATACATTTGTTGAATATGTAAATCTAATTTAAAAAGTATAAATCCACTTTTATACTTCTGGCACTGACACCAGTGCCCAAGAGACAGAGGAGCTCAGACCCACCGGAGGAGCTCGGAGTAGAGCCACTGCTCCTGTAGAGATTTTTATGACCAGGAGGAGACAGGGAGAAGACCAGAGGAAGACCAGGAGCGGACTAGGAGGAGACCAGGGGAAGACCAGGGGGAGACCGGGAGAAGACTCGGAGGAGACCAGGGGAGGACCGGGAGGATGGCGGGAGGATACAAGGAGGAGACCAGGAAGAGACTGGGAGGGGACCAGGGGAAGACCAGAAGGAGACTGGGAGAAGACCAGGAGGAGACCAGGAGACTGGGAGGAGACCGGAAGGAGACCAGGAGGAGACCCAGGACACAGAGGTGTCTCTCAGCTGGGAACGCCTCAGGATTCCCCCAGATGAACTGGAGGTTTGTGTGGAGAGGGAAGTTAAGCCTGATGCCCCGCAACCAAGCAATAGACAAAGCGGAAGAGAATGGAGATGTATTCTGATTATGACTGTAGCCCCGCCCCCTGTCACTCAGCCGCACAAACATGTTTGTGTCTCACTGCGAGGCTAATGTCCTCTGTCCATCAGAAACACTTCCTGCAGAGCGTCTGATTGGCCCACAAGGGGAGGAGGCACGCAATTGGCCGGGAGCACAGCGGGGGGCGGGATCACAGCCATCAAACTCATTTCAATAAACTCAATGATTATTCATGTGACATCACCAAAGACTGCAGGATTCATGTAGTAGCATGTAACAATACTAGTAGTAGTAGTAGTAGTAGTAGTAGTAGTAGTAGTAGTAGCAGTAGTAGTGGTAGTAGTAGTAGTAGTAGTAGTAGTAGTAGTAGTAGTAGTAGTAGTAGCAGTAGTAGTGGTGGTAGTAGTATCAGACCTGATTCAAAGTCTTCCTGGTTCAGACCCGGTGCAGACCTGGTCCTGGCTCAGTACTGGTTAAGACCTGATTTGGACCTGGTCTTGGTTCAGACCTGGTGCAGACCTGGTCCTGGCTCAGTACTGGTTCAGACCTGATTTGGACCTGGTCTTGGTTCAGACCTGGTCCTGATTCAGACCTGGTTCAGACTTGGGTTCAGACGTGGTCCTAGTTCAGTCCTGGTCCTGGTTCAGACCTGGTTCAAACTTGAGTTCAGACCTGGTTTAGACCTGGTTCAGATGTGGTCCTGGTTTACACCTGGACCTGGTTCAGACCTGGTTCAGACCTGGTTCAGATATGGTGCTGGTTCAGACTGTGTTAAATGAAGTGTCTCTTGCTTCCTGCTGTTGCTGTGTACAGTCATTAGTGCCACATTAGCGCCACATTAGCTTCATTAGCTTCATTAGGCTAACGCTAACAGTGACGCGTGTTTGTGCACAGGGGCCCCCCGCCGAGCCGGCCCCCGCGGCACCCCCCTCATCTCCTGTTGGCTTTGCTCTGTGTGAGTGTGTTTTAAATTTGACTGATGCTGATCTCACACATCAGAGAAAAGGAAATGGATTTATACAGCGCAACATCAACTGTGAGGTCTGTACACAGGTGTAATGTGAGGTCCATACACAGGTGTAACACAGGTGTAATGTGAGGTCCGTACACAGGTGTAACACAGGTGTAATGTGAGGTCCGTACACAGGTGTAACACAGGTGTAATGTGAGGTCTGTACACAGGTGTAACACAGGTGTAATGTGAGGTCTGTAGACAGGTGTAACACAGGTGTAATGTGAGGTCCGTACACAGGTGTAGCACAGGTGTAATGTGAGGTCTGTACACAGGTGTAACACAGGTGTAATGTGAGGTCTGTAGACAGGTGTAACACAGGTGTAATGTGAGGTCCGTACACAGGTGTTAGCACAGGTGTAATGTGAGGTCTGTACACAGGTGTAATGTGAGGTCCGTACACAGGTGTAACACAGGTGTAATGTGAGGTCTGTACACAGGTGTAACACAGGTGTAATGTGAGGTCCGTACACAGGTGTAACACAGGTGTAATGTGAGCGATCCATACACAGGTGTAACACAGGTGTAATGTGAGGTCCGTACACAGGTGTAATGTAAGGTCCGTACACAGGTGTAACACAGGTGTAATGTGAGGTCTGTACCAGGTGTAACAAAGGTGTAATGTGAGGTCCGTACACAGGTGTAACACAGGTGTAATGTGAGGTCCGTACACAGGTGTAACACAGGTGTAATGTGAGGTCCGTACACAGGTGTAACACAGGTGTAATGTGAGGTCCGTACACAGGTGTAACACAGGTGTAATGTGAGGTCCGTACACAGGTGTAACACAGGTGTAATGTGAGGTCTGTACACAGGTGTATTAAAATCACATAAGAACATGAGGAGAAAGAGTTAAATAGAGGTCAGGGGTGAGAGTGAGGGTATGGGTGAGTGAAAATGAGGGTGAGGTGAGCGTGTGGGTGAGTGAGGGTGAGCATGTGGGTGGGTGTGGGTGAGTGAGGATGAGGGCATGGTGAGTGAGTGAGTGAGAGAGACGGAGGGAGGGTGAGTGAGAGGGAGGGTGAGTGAGAGGGAGGGAGAGTGAGGGTGAGTAAGAGGGAGGGTGAGTGAGATGGTGGGTGAGTGAGAGGGAGGGAGGAGAGGGAGGGAGAGTGAGTGAGAGAGAGGGAGGGTGAGTGAGAGTGAGGGTGAGGGAGAGGGAGGGAGGATGAGTGAGAGAGAGGGAGGGTGAGGGAGATGGTGGGTGAATGAGAGGGAGGGAGGGTGAGTGAGAGAGAGGGAGGGTAAGGGAGAGTGAGGGTGAGTAAGAGGAGGGTGAGTGAGATGGTGGGTGAGTGAGAGGGAGGGAGGATGAGTGAGAGAGAGGAGGGTGAGGGAGAGTGAGGGTGAGTAATTAGGGAGGGTGAGTGAGAGGGAAGGTGAGTGAGAGGGAGGGAAGGGTGAGTGAGAGAGAGGGAGGGTGAGGGAGAGTGAGGGTGAGTAAATAGGAGGGTGAGTGAGAGGGAGGGAAGGTGAGTGAGAGGGAGGGAGGGTGAGAGAGAGTGAGGGTGAGTAAGAGGGAGGGTGAGTGAGATGGTGGTGAGTGAGAGGAGGGAGGGTGAGTGAGAGAGAGAGGGGAGGGTGAGGGAGAGTGAGGGTGAGTAGAGGGAGGGTGAGTGAGGGGATGGGTGGGTGAGTTGTGAGAGGAGATGGAGGAGTGAGAGTGAGAGAGAGGGAGGGGTGAGGGAGAGTGAGGGTGAGTAAATAGGGAGGGTGAGTGAGAGGAAGGTGAGTGAGAGGGAGGGAAGGTGAGTGATGAGGGAGGGAGGGTGAGAGAGAGTGAGGGTGAGGTAGGAGGGAGGGTGAGTGAGATGGTGGGTGAGAGGGAGAGGGAGAGGGTGAGTGAGTGAGAGGGAGAGGGAGGGTGAGGGAGAGTGAGGGGTGAGTAAGAGGGAGGGTGAGTGAGATGGTGGGTGAGTGAGAGGGAGGGAGGATGAGTGAGAGAGAGGGAGGGTGAGGGAGAGTGAGGGTGAGTTAAGAGGGAGGGTGAGTGAGAGGGAAGGTGAGAGAGGGAGGGAGGGTGAGGGGAGGGAGGGTGAGTGAGAGAGAGGGAGGGTGAGGGAGAGGTGAGGTGAGTTAGGAGGGAGAGGTGAGTTGACTGATGGTAGGTTGAGTGAGAGAGGGAGGGAGGATGAGGGTGAGAGAGGGAGGGTGAGGGAGAGGGAGGGTGAGTGTGAGGGAGGGAGGAGTAGGAGAGGGTGAGGAGGGAGAGTGAGAGTGAGAGAGGGAGGGTGAGAGAGTGAGGGTGAGTAAGAGGGAGGGTGAGTGAGCATTGGTGGGTGAGTGAGAGGGAGGGAGGGTGAGGGAGAGTGAGGGTGAGGAAGAGGAGGGGTGGAGTGAGAAGGGAGGGAGGGTGAGTGAGAGAGGGAGGGAGAGAGAGTGCGTGAGGGTGAGCAGTGAGGAGAGGAAAGGGAGAGTGGAGGGTGAGCAAGAGTGAGGGTGGTGAGAGGAAGGTGTTGATGAGGGAGTGAGGTTGAGTGAGAGGAGGGAGGGTGAGGGAGAGGGAGGGTGAGTGAGGGGTGGGAGTGAGGGAGAAGTGAGGGAGGAGAGGGAGGGTGAGTGGAGAGAGGGTGGGTGAGAGAGAGAGGGTGAGGTGGAGAGGTAGGTGAGATGTGGGTGAGTGAGAGGGGAGGGTGAGTGAGATGGAGGGTGAGGGAGAGGGAGGGTGAGATGGAGGGGTCGGTGAGGAGGTGAGTGAGAGGAGGGAGGGTGAGTGTGGTGGTGTGAGAGAGGGAGGGAGGGAGTGGGAGGGTGAGAGAGAGTGGTGGGTGAGATAAGAGTGGAGGGTGAGTGAGAGGAGGGAGGGAGGGGGTGAGTGAGAGTGAGTAAGAGGTGAGTGAGAGGGAGGGAGGGTGAGTGGGGGTGAGGTGAGGGAGGGAGGGTGAGGGGGGAGGGTGAGAGAGAGGGAGGGGGAGGGTAGTGAGAGAGAGGGAGGGTGAGAGAGAGAGTGAGGGTGTGAGTGAGATGGTGGGTGAGTGAGAGGGAGGGAGGGTGAGGGAGAGTGAGGGTGAGTAAGAGGGAGGGATGAGTGAGAGGGAGGGAGGGTGACTGAGATGGTGGGTGAGTGAGAGGGAGGGTGAGTGAGATGGTGGGAGAGTGAGAGGGAGGGAGGGTGAGGGAGAGTGAGGGTGAGTAAGGAGGGAGGGTGAGTGAGATGGTGGGTGAGTGAGAGGGAGGGAGGGTGAGGGAGGAGTGAGGGTGAGTAAGAGGGAGGGTGAGTGAGAGGGAGGGAGGGGGAGTGAGAGAGAGGGTGAGCAAGAGGGAGGGTAAGGGAGAGTCGAGGGTGAGGAAGAGGGAGGGTGAGTCCCTCTTGCTGTGAGTGAGGGGGAGGGACCGGGTGAGTGAGAGAGAGGGTGAGTGAGATGGTGGGTAAGGGAGAGTGTGGGTTGAGCAAGAGGGAGGGTGAGCAAGAGGGAGGGTGAGTGAGAGGGGAGGTGAGTGAGGGGAGGGAGGGTGAGCATGATGGAGAGGAGGGTGAGCAGCCAGATGGGAGGGTAAGGGAGAGTGAGATGGTGGGAGCGTGAGTCCAGAGGAGGGTGAGTGAGAGGGAAGGTGAGTGAGAGGGAGGGAGGGTGATGGAGAGGGAGGGTGAGTGAGATGGTGGGTGAGTGAGAGGGAGGGTGAGTGAGTGAGATGGTGGGTGAGTGAGAGGGAGGGTGATGAGATGGTGGGTGAGTGAGAGGGAGGGTGTGTGAGAGGGGGGGTGAGTGAGTGGTGGGAGTGAGGTGAGGAGGGAGGGGGAGGAGGGTGGGAGAGGGTGAGTGAGAGGGGTGGAGGGTGAGGTGAGAGTGGAGGGGGTGAGTGAGAGGGAGGGTGAGGGTGAGGGTGGGGAGTGAGAGGGAGGGTGGGAGTGAGATGGTGGGTGAGTGAGAGGGAGGGTGAGGGTGAATGAGGGTCATTATCACAGTAACTTTCTGTATAATTGATGAATCTGTTTTCAGAGATAATTAAAGTAGCAGTATGTAATATTTGCATGTCGAGTCATCATTAAATGGCCCCATATTTCAAAAGGCGTTATTAAATCATGCTCTTTTCGTATACATCTTTAACTGATAACAGTAGTTTAGCCGAGATATTTGATTATCAAAATGAGTTTCACGACCCGTAAAAGTTGTTATTGTTTTAATTTAGATGTCCTACCCTTCACCGTTTCGCCAATCAGGAAGTGAGTGATCCGTGTTGCCAGAACTCCTCGCGGCTAATCTCAGTGGTAAAATACCATGTGGCTGCAGAGCTAAAAAAGGTCAAATCATTAATGACAAAACAAAGACTAAAACGAGGATTTATATCGGGACGCCTTTGAACAATTGAGACAGCGGATAAAAGTTTTTGTGTGATGCAAAAGTTGCTGGATTGAGATCGTTTCCCTGCGAGCATTTCATCATGTCTAATGGTGGCCTTATGGTCAAGTCGTAGAGCTTACGTTCCAGTGATCTGGGTTCGAGTCCGGCCAGTGTCTGCTTGTATAACATTACATTTAATGACAGAGTGCTAAAAATCAGGTAAAATAGCATAATTGTAAAAAGAATCATTTGAGACCACATGTACCCCAATTAAAGTAATGTTAGTCTCTTTTTGATGTGGGACTTAAACATGTTTGTCAAAAAAATAGGGAATAAATAAAATTGAAAGGTGATGTTGATACACTGAAGAAATATGTTCCAACATCCATTCTTCCCACTCCTATTTTGGACATCAATTGCTTATTTATTTTGCATAATCTATGCATAATTAAATTACTTTTATTTTGTTTTTCTCATCTCAAATGTAAAAATAAAAAAAATAAAAAACATTCATTCAAAACATTAATTCAACATTAACACGGCTCATGGCAATGTGAGAGACAGACAAACAACTGATAAAATAATTCCTTGTGTTTGCTGCTGGATTTGGTGTGTATCTGGCAACCTGAGTCAGGGAGAGTGGGAGAGGACTATAAAATATTGACTGTGACTGCAGTACCACTTTTGGCCAGATTTGTACATACTGCTCCTTTAAAGGTCCTATATCACGCTTTTCTTCATGTTTCACACTCAATCCTATGCACATGTGTGATATTAATGTGTATGATACACCACAATCAAAGCTTGTGAGATTAGAGCCATCTCTTGTATAGAGGTGACGTCACCTCGACTCAAACGAGCTGATCCAGAGAAGAGTCTGCTCCTCTGCCTGTGAGCCCGCCTCCCCCCGCCCGCACGGTGACGTAGCATCACGCTTTTGTCGTTTATCGCCTGTACTTAGTAATTTCATACATAAGAATAAACTTTTTCCAACAATGACAATCCGTCACATCGAGCCCTATGTCCTCGATGCACAATCAGAGCCTAGTTATTTAGTTTACAGAAGTATACAGCGAGTTAGCGTCACTACTTACAGATCGAGGGGGTCCGAGTATCGTCTTTTACCGTGGGAATAACGTGTTTCTAGATCCGCTTTTGAGTAAGTCCAGTTCCATTGTCCCTGTAGTTCTGGAACATCCATCCATCCATTTTCTACCCTTTAATCCATTTCTGGGTCAGGGGGGTGACAGTCAGAGATGCCACCCAAGTCTCATAGCACCAGCCCCTCACTGACCCTCTGCAGGTGGTGAGTCCACAGGAGGACGGCTGCTCTCTGAGTGTGAGCATAGCCTTGATCTTTCGCACAGTTCTGGAACAGTCTCAGTGAAGTGTCGCAGATGAACCGGTTTATAATAGATCCATGAGATGAACAGATGAAAAAAGTCGAGCCGCTTTCTTCCTCTTAGGGCCAAATAGTGTGTCACATATTTACACCCATAACACACTTAATTCAAGTTGACGTGATCCTAACACTTTTAGTTGTTGACAAAAGCATAAAAACAGCAGCTCTATGTGGTGTCCGCGAGACCAGACCACAGACGCTGGACTCGGGAGCCGGAGCCTGTGCGCTCTGATTCGCTGTTTTGATCCGTCAATCACCTCCCGCCGGCTTTTAATTTATTTTTATTTGTATTATTTTTGACAAAAAACAGCATACTAATTGTGTATCGTTTACCCCGTTTTGACAAAAGTATTTAACAACTATTTTAAATACAAAGCAAACGGGGTCATGAGCGTCATGCGCGTCATCAGTGTGGTTTTCGTCACTGAAGTGGACCCGAGCGTTTCTGTGCCTCACGCTGGGGAAGGAGACAGATTGCTCTCTTACAAAAGATTGACAGAATCAATGAATAAACTACTGTGGGCTTGTGTATGAAGGCCAAATAGCATTGTAATCATGTTTAAAGCAGAGAAAAGTCAAAAACCGTGATATGGGCCCTTTAAAGAAATCTACCTTTAGGAGGAGACCAGGAGGAGACCGGTAGGAGACTAGGAGGAGACTAGGGGAAGACCAGAAGGTGAGTGAGGATGAGGGGGAGTGAGAGTGAGGGCGTGGGTGAGAGTGAGGAGAGTGAGGATGAGGGGGAGTGAGAGTGAGGGTGAGGAGAGTGAGGGTTGGTCAGGGTGAGTGAGGATGAGGGTGAGTGAAGGTGTGGGTTAGTGAGAGTGAGAGTGTGGGTGTGGGTGAGTGAGGGTGACAGAGGAAGAGAGAGAGTGAGGGTGAGTGTGTGAGAGTGAGGATGCGGGTGAGTGAGAGTTAGGGTGTGTGAGACAGAGGGTGAGAGAGAGTGAGGGTGAGAGTGAGGGTGAGAGTGAGGGTGAGGGTGAGAGTGAGGGTGAGAGTGAGGGTGAGGGTGAGAGTGAGGGTGACAGCTCATATGAACATGTTAAGAAACAGGAGGAAAATGTTGTGAATGAAGGACTTGTTTTGAAGAAGTGAAATTTTATTTGTTTGGCGCTGACCTGTTTCCAGAACGATTAAAGAGCAGATTGTAAATCTCTCCGATGTGTTTCTAATGTCACTTCTCTGTTTGTCTTTGTCATCAGAGACTTGAGTTTCCGACAGAGCAGAATAATGTGTCTCCCCCTCCTCCCATTGGGAGAGCTGGGTTCCCCCTCCTCCCCCTCGAGAGTGCAGGGTCCCCCCCTCCCTCCCCCAGGAGGGTGACGCTGGTGTCTCCAGTGGGAGTGATGCCACAGTGAGTATAAAGCCTGGCTCCTCAGACCTCAGCCGTAGACTGCATACCGCACCATGAACATCTGCAGAAGCTCCACGCGTCTGTTCCTGTCTGCACTGGTACTGGCACTATGTGTGTGCGCCCGCCCCACCACGGACCAGCTGGGGGCGCTGCTGCGGACCGACAAGCACCAGGTGAGACACTACAGAACCAGGTGAGAACGACAGCACCAGGTGAGACACTACAGCACCAGGTGAGACACTACAGAACCAGGTGAGACACTACAGAACCAGGTGAGACACTACAGAACCAGGTGAGACACTACAGAACCAGGTGAGACACTACAGAACCAGGTGAGAACGACAGCACCAGGTGAGACACTACAGCACCAGGTGAGACACTACAGAACCAGGTGAGACACTACAGAACCAGGTGAGACACTACAGAACCAGGTGAGACACTACAGAACCAGGTGATGAAGTTTAGGATCATATTTAACCAACTATTAGAACCACGAGGGGAAATTGTTTTTGGAGCAAACAAAGATTTTAAAACACAGTGAAATCCCAAATAACAAGAAGAGGTGATGTCACATCACCCAGTGCAATATACTGCAGTGCAATAGTCTACACCTGTGAAATGTACTGCAGTGCAATAGTCTACACCTGTGCAATGTACTGCAGTGCAATAGTCTACACCTGTGCAATATACTGTAGAGGGCAATACTGAAGCAAAAGTGGAGCTTCAGTTTGTTTGTAATATGCGATCTTGTGTCTCCTCCTCCTCTTCCCCCATCTCCTCTCCTGATCCTCCTCTCCGCCTCCTCCTCTTCCTCCAACTCCTGTCCTCATCCTCCTCTCCTCCTATGCTCCTCTCCTGTTTGTAATATGTGATCTTGTGTCTTCTCCTCAGGACCTCCTCCTCTCCTCTCTGCTCCTTTCTGAGCTCCTGTCTCTGGAGAACAACTCGGTCCAGGACCTGGACCCAGACTCTGAGGGCATGCATGTGGACCCAGGACGTGTGCACTTGGACCCGGACTCTGAGGGGGTGCACGTGCAGAGAGACACGCTCCTATTGGCTCCCAGGGAGAGGAAGGCGGGCTGTAAAAACTTCTTCTGGAAAACATTTACTTCCTGCTGATGTTCAGCTGTCAATCTTCAATAAAAAACCTTTATGTAAATATGGCTCCGCCCCCTCATTATATATGCACACACAGTAATGATATAGAGGTGGCCCCGCCCCCTCATTATAATATGCACATGTTATGAATAATGAGGGTTATTTATTTCACAAAACGTCATTTTTTTAATATAAATCCAGACAAAGTTCTGCGAAAACACACACAAATATACAGTCAATGCACCCACATCAGAATCAGAATAATTTTTATTGCCACGTAAGTAACAGGAAGTCACAGACTTGGACATTTATTTGGCTCGGTGCATCAGACAGAGAAGAGAGGCATTATACAAATCAGCATACACTTTTAAGGTATATATAAAATAGAAAACCCATACAGTCGCGCGCACACACACACACACACACGCACACACACTTTATATAACACATTATATTCAATAAACTGAGGGTTAATTCAAATAAACAAAATTGACTTTATCACCACTGAGGCCAGGTCCAGGTCCAGTCCAGTCCACTCCAGTTTAGGTCCAGGTCCAGTCTAGTTTAGGTTCAGTCCGGATCCAGTCCAGATTAATTCCAGGTCCAGATGGGAATAGCCACAGCCAATCAGATCCCAGCTTTCTCACATCCTGAAAAAAGGGGGTTGACGTAAGTAACTGACGTCACAGCAGCATGCGCGTGCGCCCTGTGCGTGTTTGCAGCTGGGCGGGGTCACACCGGGACCGGGACGGGGACCAGAGAGCAGGGCACATCTGTGGAGGACAGACCGGGACCGGGACCAGCGAGCAGGGGACATCTGTGGAGGACAGACCGGGGACATACCCGGAGCTCAGCGCCACATCTGTGGAGCGGCATCATGGAGACAAGCTGCGTGCGCATATCCGTGGCGCCGTGAGACGTCAGGATTCACCGGAGACCGGAGCACACCGGAGGACAGGCCGTCACAGCTCTTCCTCCTCCTCCATGGAGCTCCTCTCCCCGCTCCTCGCGCTCTGATCTCGGGGTGCAGGATGAGCGTCGCGCTGCAGGAGCTACGGAACCAAGTGAGTCATGCACGCGCATCACAATCACACGTGCACGCGTGAGTTGACACATACGTGCACGCGCGAAGGTCCCTTCTGATCATGGATCGATACAATCTAGGGGAGGGGGGGGCACGTGCATGTTCACGCACAGAGCTGGACCGACCGAGACCTGGACCAGACCTGGATCTGGGTCTGGATCTGGACCAACTGTTGCTCCTTAGACTGAGAATCACGTGATGAAAATCAAAACAAACGTGAGGAACACCAGAGCGGCGGTGACGTCATCGAGGGAGGGGGCGGGGCTGGTACTCCTTGTAAATGGAACTCTATACGACAATAATAGTAACAGCAGTAGTACCAGTAGTTGTAGCAGTAGTAGTAGCAGCAGCAGTAGTAGTAGTAGTAGCAGCAGAAGGAGTAATAGCCTCAAACCACAGTGGTGTCATGTGACCTGGTGCTGATGCTGCGGTTGCTGTGGAAACCCGTCATCTCCTGTTGATGCAGCTCGACACTTCCCTCCATGACCACAGAGTTGGTGAACATTCTTCTTTACAAAACAGCTCTCTGTTCGATCAGGTGAAGAGGCCTAACACATCCACTTCACATCAACTCTGAAGCTGGAGAAAATCAGCTCCACAGCACAATACTGCCCCCCATATTTAGTATTGGCTTGAGAGAGACCAGAGAGATAGACCAGAACCAGAAAGAGATCATATAGTCCTCTGTGCTTGTCTCCACATGGTCCTCATATGTCTTTATATGGGCGCAACTCTTTGTCCCGGACAGTTACATAAGGAGCACGTCTCATTACACACAGGGTTTCCACGGCGACCACCGAGCCATCAGCGAGGGAGGGGCGAGGGTCTCATTACACAGGGTTTCCACGGCGACAGAGCCATAACTGAGAGAGGAGAGGAGATTTTTATTTTATTTCAACAGACCTTTATTTGTCCAAATAAAACGGGTCAATCATTTCACATGTAAGTTAAAACACAGTTTAAAAACATAACATCACTTTCAGACCACAAATGTGCAATACTGTGCAATAAATCAACAATACATTCAATTCAACTAATATCATTTCATATTCACAAAGATAAAAAGGCAGAAAAGTGCAGCTCCCTGTCCCTCATAGAGGCGACAGCCCTGAGCCCCCAGTGCTCCTCTAACCCTCCTGATTCCCATTCAGCCTTTAGAGCCCAAACTCCTGCCTGAGTCTGGCCTGGACCCTCCTGACCAGCAGAACCCTCACACCTCACTCTGGTCCTGCACCATTCTCCGCCTGCTCACTGCCATCTTGGCCTGTCCTAAGACGAAGCTGAGCCACTGCCCCCTCCTCCTTCACCTCTGTCTTTCCTCTGCACCTCCTTCACCTCTGTCTCTCCTCAGCACCTCCTTCACCTCTGTCTCTCCTCTGCACCTCCTTCACATCTGTCTCTCCTCTGCACCTCCTTCACCTCTGTCTCTCCTCTGCACCTCCTTCACATCTGTCTCTCCTCTGCACCTCCTTCACATCTGTCTCCTCTGCACCTCCTTCACCTCTGTCTCTCCTCTGCACCTCCTTCACCTCTGTCTCTCCTCTGCGCCTCCTTCACCGCTGTCTCTCCTCTGCCCCTCCTTCACCTCTCTCTCCTCTGCACTTCTTCCACCTTTGTCTCTTCTCTGCACCTCCTTCACCTGTCTCTCCTCTGCCCCTCCTTCACCTTTGTCTCTCCTCTGCACCGCCTTCACGTCTGTCTCTCCTCTGCCCCTCCTACACCTTTGTCTCTCCTCTGCCCCTCCTTCACTGCTGTTTCTCCTCTGCCCCTCCTTCACCTCTGTTCTCCTCTGCGCCTCCATCACCTCTACTACACAATTACACCACATGAAACTGAAAGATAAAACGGAATTAAAACCTAACATTTATAATAATATAAAGCATATAAAAAGTCCCATTATAAAAGAAAGGGAAAAGTACCTGTAGTATTGCAAATACTACAAAAGATAGAACTTTGAATACTGTTGCTAAAGCGGTCGCTAAAGCGGTCGCTAAGGCGGTCGCTAAGGCTGTTGCTACGGTAAGTAAGTAAGTAAGTAATCTTTATTTATATACCGCCTTTCACAGACCAGAGTCACAAAGTGGTTTACAATTGTTATTCTTGGGTATTTGTCCACACAGAGATGGAAGCAGGGCCAGTACAGGAGGCGTATGCCAGACCTATTGTACATATTTTTAGTGGTAGGGGAAACCGGAGTGCCCGGAGGAAACCTAGGCTGTTGCTAAGGCTGTTGCTAATGCTGTTGCTAAGGCTGTTGCTAAGGCTGTTGCTAAGACTGTTGCTCAGGCTGTTGCTCAGGCTGTTGCTCAGGCTGTTGCTCAAGCTGTTGCTAAGGCTGTTGCTCAGGCTGTTGCTCAGGCTGTTGCTCAGGCTGTTGCTCAAGCTGTTGCTAAGGCTGTTGCTAAGGCTGTTGCTAAGGCTGTTGCTCAGGCTGTTGCTCAGGCTGTTGCTCAGGCTGTTGCTCAGGCTGTTGCTCAGGCTGTTGCTCAAGCTGTTGCTAAGGCTGTTGCTCAGGCTGTTGCTCAGGCTGTTGCTCAGGCTGTTGCTCAAGCTGTTGCTCAGGCTGTTGCTCAAGCTGTTGCTAAGGCTGTTGCTCAGGCTGTTGCTCAGGCTGTTGCTCAGGCTGTTGCTCAAGCTGTTGCTCAGGCTGTTACTAAGGCTCTTGCTAAGGCTCTTGCTAAGGCTCTTGCTAAGGCTCTTGCTAAGGCTCTTGCTAAGGCTCTTGCTAAGGCTCTTGCTAAGGCTGTTGCTAAGGCTGTTGCTAAGGCTGTTGCTAAGGCTGTTGCTAAGGCTGTTGCTAAGGCTGTTGCTAAGGCTGTTGCTAAGGCTGTTGCTATGTCGGTCTGGAGTTGGCTCCTGAATGAAGGCCTCTGATTGGTTGATCCTTGTCCTGTGTCCCACAGATGTCCAACTATAAGCGGGCCACGCTGGAGGAGGACGATGGCCCAGATGCCCTCCCAGAGACCGGCTCCAGCCCCATGGGGAACCAGGACCAGGACCCGGACCTGGATCAGGTGGAGGTGGGCTTCAGGACCACGCGGCCAGGGATCCTGGGATCCAGGACCAGACTGGAGCTGCTGCTGGGGGGCCTCCTGCTGCTGAGTCTGATGTCTCTGTGCGTGTGTGCTCTGCTGCTGGGACTGAGGCTGAGACCAGGTGAGACCAGAACAGGACCAGAACAGGACCAGACCTCTCTCTCTCTCTCTGACCCCTGACCTCTGACCTCCTGCAGAGCGCTCCGTGTGCCTGTCCCAGTCCTGCGTCTCAGTCGCAGCTCGGATTGTGGACTCTCTGGACCGCACCGTGGACCCGTGTCAGGACTTCTACCAGTTCTCATGTGGAGGATGGATCCGGAAAAACCCGCTCCCAGATGGACGCTCGCGATGGTCCACCTTCAACAGCATCTGGGAGCAGAACCAGAACCTGCTCAAGCACCTGCTGGGTACGTGACATCACCACCATGTGACATCCCCACAGTGTGACATCACCACCATGTGACATCCCCACAGTGTGACATCACCACCATGTGATATCACCACAGTGTGACATCACCATAGTCTGTGTTATGACACACACCTGTGCTATATGAATATGACAAGAAGAGAACTGGCCATATTCATATTCTGTTTTGTCCCAACGCTGATGGCAATAAGCTAACGGCTATAAGCTAGCTGTTAGCATTATGCTAACAGCCGTCCCAACATTTGTCCTATTCACTTATCTCTCTGGTCTCTCTCTCTGGTCTCTCTCTCAGGTCTCTCACTCTGGTCTCTCTCTCTAGTCTCTCTCTCTGGTCTCTCTCTGGTCTCTTTCTCTGGTCTCTAACATGGTTTTTCTGTCTTCAGAGAACGGGACATTCCCTGGAAACTCGAGTTCAGGAGGAAGTGAAGCCGAGAGGAAAACGCAGGCGTATTATTTGTCCTGCCTCAACTCGGCCAAGATCGACGAGCTCGGAGCCACGCCTCTAATACAGCTCATTAACAAGGTAAGCCCCGCCTCCAAAGAAACAGCCCCGCCCCCAGAGAAAGCCCCACCAGGACTGATGCTGTAGACCCAGGACTGATGCTGTAGACCCAGGACTGAGGCTGTAGACCCAGGACTGAGGCTGTAGACCCAGGACTGAGGCTTTAGACCAAGGACTGAGGCTCTCTCCCTGGTCTTTCAGTTGGGCGGCTGGAACATCTCTGGTCCCTGGGAGAAGGAGAACTTCATGGAAGTCTTGAAGATGGTCTCTGGTCCTCTCCGTGCTCAGCCGTTCTTCAGCGTCTCTGTGAGCACCGACCCCAAGAACGCAAACTGCAACGTCATCCAGGTGACCACAGCCGCCATTTTGACTACTCTCATACAAACAATTAGTTTTCTTCTCTCTGGTCTCTCTCTCTGGTCTCTCTCTGGTCTCTCTCTGGTCTCTCTCTGGTCTCTCTCTGGTCTCTCTCTGGTCTCTCTCTGGTCTCTCTCTAGTCTCTTTCTATGGTCTCTCTCTGGTCTCTCTCTGGACTCTCTCTCTGGTCTCTTTCTATGGTCTCTCTCTGGTCTCTCTCTCTGGTCTCTCTCTCTGGTCTCTTTGTATGGTTTCTCTCTGGTCTCTCTCTCTAGTCTCTCTCTGGTCTCTCTGATCTCACACTGATCTAACACTGATTATTGTGTTTCCTGTGTCGTAGGTCGACCAATCAGGGCTCTTTTTACCATCCAGAGATTATTACCTGAACAAGACGGCCAATGAGAAGGTGCGTTGTTTTGATGCGAGGACACATTACCCTTGATGATCTGTGGTGGAACCAGCTGGTGTTTGTGGTACAGTCTGAAAGTTCAAACTCCCTGTCAAACCCAGTGGGGGCGGGTCCCGGCTCAAAAGTGGCCAAAATGATGTGCGCTGACATACCCGGGTCGATGGGGGTGGACCCAGAAGAAGAATTAGCCAATGCTAACATATAGCATTGGCAGACCTCTCAAAAACACCGTTACAGGATGGTCCGAAAGTTGGCTCTTGGCCCAAAGCTCCGTTCCACATGTGTGTCAATGCTGAGGGGAGTGAATTTTTTTGGACCACTCTAGTTTACTCGCAGTGAATTTTTGAAGTCACTCATGAATAGAGCTTGCGCCGGCTGACTCATGCGCAGATGCGTTTTTTCACAATTTTACTTGTGGGCGGGACCACTCACGGCCATTTTGGATAGCTCCAGTAGAGCACTATTTATGGCCCATTTGTTTGAACAGCGGAGATAGGCGTGACTCTGTCCGTTAATATTTACAGTCTATGGTCAAACCCTGAAGAAGAGCAGGACAGATTATAAGGTTTTGTGGTTTTAAACTGAAGCATCATGGGTAATGTAGTTCTCAGGGGGTGTGACTGCACGTCCTGCAGTCACACCTCGCCTCTCTCTCCTCGCCCCCTCTTTCCTCTCTCTCTTCTCTCCCCACCTCCTCTCTCCTCTCTCTCTTCTCTCCCCACCTCCTCTCTCCTCTCTCTCTTCTCTCCCCACCTCCTCCTCTAATCACCTCTTTTCTCCTCACCTCCTCCTCTTTCCTCTCTCTCTTCTCTCCTCACCTCCTCTCTCTCCTCACCTCCTCCTCTCTTTACCTCCTCTCTCCTCTCTCTCCTTACCTCCTCTCATCACCACCTCTCTCATCACCTCCTCCTCTCCTCACCTCCTCTCTCCTCCTCAGGTCCTCCAGTCCTACCTCTCCTACATGGTGGAGCTCGGGACCTTGTTAGGAGGTGAGCAGGAGTCCACTCTGCAGCAGATGAAGAACATTCTGGACTTTGAGACGTCTTTGGCCAAACTCACAGTTCCACAGGATCAGAGGCGGGACGAGGAGAAGATCTACCATAAGGTCACCATCGCAGAGCTGCAGGTCTGGTCTCTCTCTGGTCTCTCTGGTCCCTCTGCTCTCTCTCTGGTCTCTCAGCTTTCTCTCTCTGTTCTTTCTGACGGTGTGTTCGTCGTACAGTCTGACAGTCTCCCCCTCAGACCCTGGCCCCTGCCCTTGACTGGCTGGACCTCCTCTCCTCCTCCCTCTCTCCCCTCGACCTGAACGACACCGAGCCGGTCGTGCTCTACGCCAAAGAATATTTGCAGCAAGTCTCGGAGCTCATAAACCGGACCGACAAGAGGTGAGAGGGGGGAGGGAGTACAGCTGCCCACTAGAGAGAAGGGGGGGGGGGGGGGGGAGAGAGGACCATAGCTACCTTTTTAAGGCTTATGGCCTGTGTACACTCGCGCGGCGCAGCTTACGTTAGCGGTTGCGGTGGACCTACGCAAGCACAATTGGTGGTACACTCGCGCGTTCCCCTTGCGGAGTTTTGAAGAGAATGTTGTAATCCCACAACCAACCACATGATGGCAATCTCACAGGAGTTGCCTTAGAAACCAAAGCCGTCCCATTTACGCTGCTTCTTTCTCCTCTTCAGAACAAAAACATGAGCAAACCAAGCTTCTTGTTGGAAACATAATTATTGTTAAATTGTATTCAGCACAAACAGCAAAACAAAAGTGGTAAATATCTGAGACAAACATGAACTATTTACAAGTGCAGGAGGAATGCAACAGACGCGATGAGCTACGATTCAAACAAAGACGGGAACAGTGCAAAACAAACGACTGCACGGTTTATAAATTATATATACAGTAAGTTAGATATGCAACAGGACTCTAGTCCACAGTCTCCGCATATATCAGGCTCTGCCATGAGCCCAAACTGCTTTTCCTTCGGTTCCTTCGAAGAGCGAAGCGGTCTGCTCCGAAGTGCCTCGCCATGCTCCTGCAGCCACTCCATGCTTCCCAGAAAGTAATCACACACGGACCAATCACAGCGGAGCTTCTCTGCGGCGACCCTTACGTAGTTAGAAATGTTCGAGGGTGCCCGGCAGGCTACGTAAGGGCCTTGCGGTGATCCACGCGTTGTGCAAGTAACGTCAGGTCACCACCGTAAGCTCCGCACCGCGCGACTATATACTAGGCTTCAGAAGGTGCTTATGAGACAAAAGTGTCTCCCCCTACTGTTTGACCTTCTCCCCCATCTCCTTCCCCCTGTCACCCCCACCCACCCACCACCCCCTGTGCAGTGTGCTGAATAACTACATGCTGTGGACCCTGGTGCAGAAGAGTGTGACGAGTTTGGATCAAAGATTTGAGAACGCACAAGACAAACTACTGCAGAGTCTGTACGGGACCAAGAAGGTACACAACATATATATACACGCACGCACACACACACACACAGACAATGCCACCAACACAACACACAAACACACACACAGACACACACAAAGAGACAGACAGACTCACACAATACACACACACACAACCCTAACCCTCGACTATTATTTTGTGATTTGTTTTTGGTCTTAATATTAACAAAGACCCTCCTCCCCTCAGTCCTGTACCCCTCGCTGGCAGACATGTATAGGTTATACAGACGACACTCTGGGCTTTGCTCTTGGTTCACTCTTCGTCAAAGCAACGTTTGACAAACACAGCAAAGGCATTGTGAGTACCTGTCAATCACCCTGACCCCCCTCCCCCCCCCTCCTTGTACCTGTCACTCACCCTGACCCACCTTCTGGCTCCGCCCCTTCAGGCGGAGCAAATGATTAACGAGATCCGGACTGCATTTAAAAACAATCTGGACAAACTGCACTGGATGGACCCCGAGACGCGGCGCCACGCCAAGGAGAAGGTACTTCCTGCTTACGCCTGTGTTCTTCCTGTTCACTCACATTTACTTCCTGTTTATTATTGTACTTCCTGTTTACTCCTGTGTACTTCCTGTTTACTCCTGTGTACTTCCAGTTTAGTCCTTTGTACTTCCAGTTTAGTCCTTTGTACTCCTGTTTACTCTTGTGTACTTCCTGTTTCAGGCTGACTCCATCTATGACATGATTGGGTTTCCTGAGTTCATCCTCGACCCCAAAGAACTAGACGACGTTTATGATGGAGTGAGTGAGACCCAAGCCCTGGTCTTGAGTCATTTTATTTATTTATTATTATTTATTATTATTTTTTCACAAACATAAGTTTAATCCACATCTTTTACATATAGGTTTGTGAAGGGACTCCCATGAAGCACAACTTGGCTTTTATGTAGGGGCCCCAATAATATTCACATGTCGAAAAACAGGACAACAAAAAAGACATCCTCCCACCACCCCAGTTCAATGCATTTTGAGACTGCCAGTAGCAGTCATGCCTTACCCATGTCTGTCAAACATATACTGTCCGCTTCAACACACATCAGTTCTGCAATAACATGGTACAGGAAATTATATTAAAACCTTAAAGGACAACTCACCCTCAAATCCACTTTTTTTTTGCTGATAAACGATATAAATGAGTGTCCAATAGTGTTGTCTACATATCCTGGTCATAATTTTGTCACTTTGGTGCAAATTAGTTGAAAGTTAAACTTTCTGCCTAAAACCGTCTGTGAGGCGCCATCTGCTGGCGACCTGTATTACTACATTTGAATTTTGAATCTGGCGCCAACACTGGCGCGGCAGCAAGACCTGACGTCTGAAGCAAGACCTGACGTCTGAAGCAAGACCTGACGTCAGCAGCCCCCCGCCCAGAGCAATGTAAACGGCCCAGTCTCGTTCACGGCCCCTTTAGTCCTCCAGGCTACGCCCATTTAGAGGAAGATTTGAACAGGAAATGTGAGGGACGTAAGCTCCGAGGAGCGGGGGTGAGAACCACTTTAAGTAAATGAGTTGGTGCTCATTCATTCAGATCTTACAGGGGCCAGGCCAAAATAAAATAAAATGGTAAGATGGCTGTCAGCTATAGGGGGTTGCATTATGCATAATCCAGCAGTAGTTTATGCTTTAGATTCTTTTTAAACATATTAAGAGAAGATTATTCTTTTATGGAGCTGTCCTGCTCATTCCAGATCTCAGGGCCCTTGCATGCTACGCTAAAACTAGTCACTGGGATGAGACTGGAGAGCCTAGCATTTAGATTGTATACTACATTATACATAATGCAAGCGTTATGAAATCTGTTGCACTCAGTCAGCTTCAGTAGCTTAAACCTGTAGAAGAGAGGATCAGAGGGAGCATCATATTACATGTGTTGCAGCACAAAGGTTGACCAGTCTGATCTGGTCCCTTGTCTGGTCTCTCCGGTGTCTCTCTCTGGTCTCTCTATGGTCCTTGGTCTCACCTGGTCTCTGGTCTTTCCCTGATCTCACTTGGTCTCTTGTCTCCTCAGTACGAAGTCTCGGACGACAGCTTCTTCCAGAACATGTTGAACTTCTATAACTTCTCATCAAGAGTGATGGCGGACCAGCTGAGGAAGAGCCCCAACAAAGACCAGTAAGAGGACCATGGAGGACCAGGGACCAGGGACCGGGGACCAGGGAGGACAAGGAAGGACCAGAGACCAGGGACCAGAGAGGACCAGAAACCAGGGAGGACCAGAGATGACCAGGAAGGACCAGAAACCAAAAAGACCAAAGACTCTGCCCCCCTGTCTCTGACTTCACCCCTCTGTCTCTGACTCCGCCCCTGTCTCCCTCTCTACAGGTGGAGTATGACTCCGCCCACAGTGAATGCATACTATATGCCGACAAAGAACGGGATTGTGTTTCCAGCAGGAATTCTACAGGCGCCATTTTACGCACATGACCATCCAAGGTACACACACAGATACACGTACACACGCACACGCACACGCACACACGCACCACATTCACAGGAACACTTACACACACACACTGTGTTCTGTTTCAGGGCTTTGAACTTCGGGGGGATCGGTGTAGTGATGGGCCACGAGCTGACACACGCCTTTGACGACCAAGGTGTGTTTGCATGTTCTCTTTGTGTCCGTGTTTGCGTGTTCTGCCTGTGCCTGTGTTTGCATGTTCTTTCTGTGTCTGTGTTTGCTTGTTCTGCCTGTGCCTGTGTTTGCATGTTCTGCCTGAGTCTTCAGTTTGCTTGTTATTCCTGTGTCCTCAGTTTGCTTGTTCTGCCTGTGTACAGGCCGGGAGTACGATAAGGAGGGGAACTTGCGCCCCTGGTGGCAGAACAGCAGTATTGAGGCGTTCTCCGAGCGCAGTCGCTGTATGGAGCTGCAGTATCACAACTACAGCGATGGGGGAGAGAGGGTGAACGGGAAGCAGACACTGGGGGAGAACATGGCCGACAACGGGGGACTCAAGGCAGCCTACAGGGTGAGGAGGGGGGAGACAGACCTTGGGGATAACATGGCAGATAATGGTGGTCACAGAAGCAGGACCTTTCTGTGTGGAGTTCTCCCAGTGTTTGCATTGGTTTCCCCCAGGTGCTCCGATTTCCCCTACCACTAAAGACATGTACAATAGGTGAGGGTTTGAGAGCGACAGATGGACATAGAAGGTTAAGAGGGGGGAACCTCTCTGGTCTCTCTCTGGTCTCTTTTTCTCTTACATTTACATTTCTTTCTGGTCTCTCTCTACTCTCTTTCTTGCCTCTCTCTGTAGCCTGACTCTCGCCACACCCTTGTAGTTCGCTGCGCTTCACACAAGGATCTAGGTCTTCTTCATAGCGTATGAATTTCAGGGGTGATTGGATAAACCACTTGTCCGTTATCCTGAATGATGTGTTCCTTCAACCACTCGCATAAGCACACAATTCAGCACACTGCGTTTCAGGGTTGCCAAATGCTGGAAAGATTTTCCAGCCCAAAACCCGCGAGAATGCCCCAAGAAAAACACCCAGAATAATTTTTGGGCTAAAAACATAATGCAATCAACTTGGGCTATCATAATTGTTTTTAATGTCTTTCTGTTTATTTATTACCTACAAGTCGCTTGAAAACAAATGATGCAGGAAACCACCCAACCTGGCAACCCTGCTGTGTAGTGTTGTGATGAGCACTTTTAAACCAAACTTTACACATACAAATTGCATTAAAAGTGAAATCCGTGTCTTAATTCGTTCGTATTTAAACTTTTTTTTTAAATTCATCTTTGTTTGATTTGTCTGGTGGTGGTCGGTGCAAATCCGATGTAACACCGGCGATCCTGATTGGCCGATTATTTTTTGATGATCTGAAGGAGTTTGCAATGCTTTCGAGAGTGGCGAGAGTCAGGCTACTCTCTCTGGGCTTTCTATCGGGTTTAGATTAGATTAGATTGGTTTATTTGAAAGGGGACAGTGCAATTTCATGTAACACATGAACAAACATGGTTCAAAAAGCCAGAATTAGCCAGAAGGCTATTTTTCATCTGTAGTCCCCTGGCCAAGATGTAAAAAGGCATTAAAATACAAGCATGATAAAACATTACAATTCTTTGACACATCAATAACCACAAATAAAATATAAATGACACTGTATAATAACTAAAGGCACACAGTACCTGATTGCAATATAAAAACACACAAAAACACTTGTTTAAAAGGATACGTTAGATATACAATACAGCATAACATGCTCAGCTTTTAATGTTGGCAGACGTACATGTTAATGTACCTATTTTTCAATTTTTTCGTAAAGGCCTTGTAAGTGGTGAGCTGTCTAACCTCCTCAGGCATTGAGTTCCACTCAACGGCACCCCTCACTGACCAGGCCGAGCGACTGAAAGCACTCCTGCGCAGAGGGATTACACAGTCGCCTCTTACAGAGCCTCGAGTGACACGCTCAGAGCTGTTTTTTTGGCTGATGAACTCTGCCAGTGGAGCTGGGGCTAAAATTATGTATTACTTTGTATATGAGACTCAGATCTGCAAATCTATGGAGACTGTCCCAGTTTAAAAGGCTGTACTTTTTAAGAATTGTACAGTGATGATAGTGTCTTGGTTTTTTGTCCATGACTTTAATGGCTTGTTTGTATAATGTTTCCAAAGGGCTTTTGGCGCTCTGACTTGCCTGAGACCAACTTATTAGGCAGTAGTTAAAGTGGCTGAGAATCATGGAATGTAGAAAAATTATTGCAGCTTCGATTGACATTTCATTACGGATTGAGCGGAAATTTGCAAGATTAAATTTTATATTTTTGCATAATTTGTCAATATGGGCTTTAAAGGAGAGGTGTGAGTCGATTACTAACCCAAGATATTTGTATTGATTTACAATTTGTAATTTTTTTCCAGCAACTAGTATGTCAGGATTAAATGAGGCTCTATTGGCTTTACTGAAAAACATACCTACAGTTTTTGAAATATTTAGCTGCAGGCAGTTCTCCTGCAGCCAGGATGTGATAAGATTCATTGCTTTAGTGAGTTTAGCAGCAACAATGTCCTTTGAGCGACCGTGAACAAATAAAACAGTGTCATCTGCATACATCAAACATTCAACTTCAGAGCAGACAGTTGGTAGATCATTAATATAAAGGCTAAATAAGAGGGGGCCTAATATTGAGCCCTGAGGAACCCCGGTGGTTAGCCTAAGAGACTCAGACTTGCTGTTGTTAATTAATACAGATTGTGTACGATCATGCAGGTAAGATTCAAACCAACTCACAGTGTCACGAGAGAAATTAAACTGTGAGAGCTTAGTAAGGGGAACAGAGTGGTTAACTGTGTCAAAAGCTTTCCTGAGATCCAAGAATACCGTCCCTACTACTCCACCCTTGTCAAGAGAAGATTTTATTTTCTCAATAAAAAGGCATGTAGCCGTTTCAGTGGAGTGTTTGGATCTGAAACCAAACTGCATGGCGTGAAAAGAGGGGGAGCTATTGTTTAAATACTGGACAACCTGCTCAGCCACCCATTTTTCTGCAACTTTGGAAATGGTCGGAAGAATGCTTATGGGTCGGTAGTTATTCAGAGAGGTTGGAACACCAGATTTATAAACTTTATTTTATTTTATTTATAAAGTTTCTCTCTGATCTCTTTCCGGTCTCTCTCGCTGGTCTTGCTCTGGTCTCACCTGGTATCTGTTGCAGGCATATCGGTCCTGGGTTCAGAAACACGGTGAGGAGAAGCTGCTTCCTGCGGTGAACCTGACCAATGACCAGCTCTTCTTTGTGGGATTCGCACAGGTAGCTATGGCAACAGGTGTCTGTGGTAACTGTGGCAACAGGTGTCTGCGGTAACTGTGGCAACAGGTGTCTGCAGTAACTATGACAACAGGTGTTTTGCAGAGACCACACTGGTCCTGAATCCAGAACATTTATAACTTTTACTCTGTCACTTCTGTACACATTTGACCTTCTCTCCCCCTCCCCCTCCCTCTCCCCTCCTTCTCTCAGGTCTGGTGCTCAGTCAGGACCCCTGAGTCAGCCCATGAGGGTCTGGTCACAGACCCCCACAGTCCTCCTCGCTTCAGGGTCCTGGGGACTCTATCCAACTGTCCTGAGTTCAGTCAGCACTTCCTCTGTCCCCCAGGGGCCCCCATGAACCCAGGCCCCGGCCAGCGCTGCGAGGTGTGGTGAGGGAGAGGAAGAGTGAGGGGGGGCGGCAGTGGTGAGGGGGAGAGGAAAGAGGGCGGGGCTACAGACACACCAATCACAGCTTCACCCGCTGATCACACTGGAACGCACCAATAGGAAGTGTCTTACAGACTATGGACCAATCCCAGACAACTGTGCATTAATATTATCATTATTATTATTATTATTTAACAGGAAGTGAAGTGGCCAATGATAAGTGCCAAACAGACTCAGGGGCGGGGCCAACAGGGAGTGGGCCAACAGGGAGTGGGCCAATCAGGTGACAGAATTGTCCATGTTTGTTTTCTGTGTTTGTCTTAAACTGTGTCAAGTTTGCACTGAGTCAGCGCCCCCTGCAGGTCGCACCAGGAGAGACGTCATGTTCTACCCAGGCCTGGACCAGAGGCCTCTCAAGCATGTGACCAGAGATGGACCACCATCTCTGGTCACATGCTTGCCAACTGGTGGGGGTGTGGTTTCTAGTTTCTTCTTATAATGCTCTTCTCTGAGGATCTACAAATGTGATGTTGATCTTTGTGTTCAGCACGAGTCCACCAGGGGGCGCACCATGTGTGAGAGTCTCCAGACGTAATCAAACACCTCTCGTTAAATATTTTTCTTTTTTCAAAAGATAAAAGTCTAAAATATGTGGAGACTTCAGATCCAGAACTTCTAGACTCTGATCTCTTTCTGGTTTCCCACTCTAGTATCTCTCTCTGGTCTCTCACTGTAGTGTTGCTCATCCTGATCACCAGTGACATGCGGTGAGGTTGGTGATTGGTGAGGCACTGACTTCAGCCCTATCAGATGAACATATATATCATATAAATCAACACGACCTACAGAGCTGCTTATTCACAATTTGTTTGGCTACAGCAGAATATGTTTCATGCCTGCATTGTTAGCTCATACAAAACAAAAGTATGTAAAAAGCACATTTCAAAGTGTGTTATCGGTCTTACTTTAAACCTGTACTGCACAGACCAGTTTCATGTTTAAGTCCAGATAATAGTTTGAGCGCAGATATGTAATCCTCCATTTGGAAATAAGTCCAATGAGTTTTAAAAAGTCCAAAAAACGGGTGTCTCCTCCATAAACTCCTCTGTGTTTCGCCCGAGTCTCGGGCGCATCCAATTTCTAATATCAACCTTCTTACCCTTCACCTCTCTTCCTTATAATTCCTATCATCATTGGAAGCATAAAATTACCCTAAGTGAATTTTTAATAATCTTACAATGTGTTACATGTATTTTAGCCAAACCTTAGCAGAGGAAGAACAAGAAAGGAGCTTTCTGATTAAACTGTATTCAGCCGAATTCTGGGCTCAGCGAAAATATGCAATTTCAAGGTAAATAATGAAATAAGGCAAAGTTATATGAAAATAATACAATAAAATAAATCACTTGATATAATGACCAAGTATTATTATTTCCATTTTATTATTTTTTCTTCCCATGATCGTAGGTGAGGCCAGGCCTCACCTGCCTCATTTGACCGCACGTCACTGCTGATCACAATAGGTCTGGCATGCGCCTCCTGTTCGGCGACCCCGCTCCCATCTCTATGTGGAGTGAGAGGACAAGTGCCCAAAAAATAACAATTGTAAACCGCTTTGTGACTGGTCTGTGAAAGGCGGTATATAAATAAAGATTACTTACTAGATTACTTACCTCTTATTCCATCAAACCTTTTTCAAAGATGTTCAGACACATGTAGACTGTAGCTCCCTCTGGTGGACGCACAGGGAGATGACAGATGCCTTTAAATAAACACAACACCGCCACCTGCTGTGTGTTTTTATTTATCACTTTTTTTAAAACCAGGAGGACAGACAGTGACTGATGGGGAGCAATCCTTAAGAATAGCCTCAGCCCTGATCTCGGCCCTAGTTGCGGCTCTGGTCTATGACATCACAGTTGAATTGTCTTCCTATGGCCTGGACCAGGGGTTGGACAGAGTCCCCCACAGTGATAGTCCTCTGTGTCTCCTGACTGAGGCTGGTCACTCCCCGGTCCCTCAGTCCACACGGGACGATGTTCTGGAACCAGGACAAGTCCACATCACAGTTCAAAGCGAGACCATGGGACGTGACCCGCCGGCTACAGTGGACCCCTGCGGAGACAGGAGCAGGAGCAGTAGTACAGGTACAAGTACAAGTACAAGTACAAGAACTCACCCATGGCACAGATCTTGTTGTCCCCGACCCAGACTCCTGTGTGAGGGGAGGTTTCTGCTTTGAGGCCGAAGTGACGACACACGTCCAACACTGAGAGCTCCAGAGAACTGACAAACAAACGGATCCCCTGCAGAGAGAGACCAGATCTAGAGCTTCAGTCCGGGGTCTACATTCTCAGTCCTGGCTCTACAGCCTCAGTCCTGACCTTGTTGAGTCTGCCCAGGTGCATGATGGGATAGCAGACGAGCTGGCCTGGGCCATGGAAGGTGATGAGGCCCCCTCGGTCAGTCCGGTGGACTTGGGCCCCTGTGGTCCGGAGCTGGTCAAGGTCCTGATCTGAGTACAGGGAACTGCGCAGTCCCACAGTGTAGACCGGCTGGTGCTCGCACAGCAGCAGAGTCCAGGCTGAACCCGGTCTGGTCTTCAGCTGGTCCACACGGGATCTCTGCACCTGCATGGCCTCAGCAAACGGGACCAGACCCAAACGGACCACCTCCAGGACGGGACGGGACATCAGACCTGAGACGAGAGGCAAGAGATGCCATTTTTTATAGTTGTGTTTTTACTTAAGTCATACAGCGCATGTGTGAAAGTGTGTTTAAATCTGTTCAGAGCCAGGCACAATCTCAGCCTCATCTTTAACCACGACTTTTAATCTTAGACTCACAAGACTATAGTGTATAAATAACTATAATATATACAGCCATATGGTCTAATGTCTAACCATAGACTCTAACCACTAGTGATGGCAATATGAAGCCCCATGATGCATTGCGGGTTTGCAACCCATTACTCGGCCCACGGTTTGAAGGCTCGAGGTGATTCATGCTCCACTACGCCATCATGTGGACAAACAATACATAACACTCAAGTGCTTACACTGAATGGTGGGGTCTAATATTAAAATGTATATTTACAATCTATGGTCTAACGTGTTGTGTTTGAAATTATGCTTCATGAACTATGAACTATGAACTATGAGTCTTTCAGTCAATTGTGTTGATACAACAAACACATCCAAAGCAATACAGTTCTACAAAAAGTGTTTAATTGAGGAAAAACTACCAAGAGGTGGATTAATCAAACATAACACACCATTTGCGCGTTCCCGATAAAGGGTGCGAGTGCGTAGGGTGTCCCAATTCTCCAGGGAGGTCTTTGGCCCCGCCCCCTTTGCGCCCCTGATCCACACTTCGCCGTAGCCTGCATCTATGCGCACTCTGGCGAAGGATATTGCCCATAATTCTTTGCGGCTGGGACGTGCGGTGAGGTTTGTGATTGGGGAGGCACTGACTTTAAACAGTCAGATTTACCATCATTATTCTATTAAAATAGCATTAAATCGTCAATGCAAAAACGTCCACAAACATTATATACTGTAAAGATAAGAGAACCAGCATATTATAAAAAATCCCACAACACGTCTAGATGCTGGCTCTCCGCTCCTCATCAAACCAAGTCTTTGCGAAGCACAGGTGCGAGAGAGCGGAGGAGGGAGGGAGGGAGAGAGAGAGATGCAAGGAGTGAGAGATGCAAGGGGAGAAAGAGAGACGCTAGGAGAGAGAGTGACGCAAAGAGCGTGAGAGAGAGACGCAAGGAGCGAGAGATGCGAGGAGAGAGAGAAAGGGAGAGACGCTAGGAGAGAGAGAAACACAAGGAACACAAACAAGAATTAAACAAGTTGCAGAACTTATGAGCAGTGCTAAATCAGTGTTTTTCGGGGAAGCACTTTTATGCAGCTTCTCTAGTAACTCCTCCCCCGAGGCCGGACTAACCTCGTCAGTCCAGCGGTGGTCCTTCAGTCTATATTACTTCTTGTTTTGATTGAAAGTCCAGTTGAGAAACACATCCTCAATCCAATCATCCATTTTCCAGCAGAAGAAATAGCACCGACAGGACTGATTGTTGGTTAGCAAAATATTTACAGTCTGTCAGCAACTCGGGTATAACTTCATGCTCACTATCACCCCTAGTGGTGAGGCACAGACACTGCCTGCCTCACGCTAGGCCTTTCCAATGTGTATTCTTCTCCGATCAAAAGACTTCAAATAATTATATGCAGTACACACATAGGTGCAATACATTACTAAACACTATGACAAGTTAAACAAATGTTTTTCCATCATCCTGCATAGCAGGATGATGAAACAAAAAGGGATATATCAACAGCATGAGCTGAGTGCACTCGCACACACACACACACTATGTGAGAGCGAGCGATCTGGGGGGAGTCAGGAGCTCTGCCTAGGATTTCAGCGATTTTGACTACAGAAATGATCAAAACTGTTCGGAAACAGGCCAAAAATACTTTATAAGCATAGGACAGTGGAAAACAATTATATATTTTGACTATATTAATAATTATTTTTTCAATGATGGCAGGTGAGGCTCTGCCTCCCTTGCCTCCCCTGACTGCACGTCACTGCTTTGCGGTACACACCAACACGTCGGGAAAATGCATTTAAATATAAATGTTGAAATATATATGCAGTATGTGTGTAAATAAGTTTTGCTATGTTACTTGGAAAGAAGCATAAACGTCTGATGAAGAATTACGGACATTGTGTTTTAACAATTTAATAACTTTTTCAAGCAAGCGTTTATATAACATTCAATTTAAACTTTACAATTAGTACAATGATCTTAGAATGTATAAAAACTGACCAGATAGTTAGTTACCCACATTTAACTTAACATTATACAGCTATCTCTAATTAAAAACAACTAATATACATGTATTTTAACGTGTGTGAAGCAATTAATTTTGTTTCCCAAAGGGTCAGACAAAATTACCTTTAATGTTTATAAAGTTTAGGTCTGAAAATGACCATCTCTTGACGAGTCGATGACGTATCCTGCACTCAGTGTGCACTGTCCCCATTCCGCCTTTTTTGCACACTTGTAACCTGCGCACTCCAACCCTGGTGTGCACTTCAAACAAATGCACACTTCGTAGAGGTGTGTAGGGTGCAGTGTGGGTATTGGGACTGGGCCTCAGACTCACTGGAGCTGAGCTCAGCGCGCAGCCATCTTCGATGTGTGTTTTGGTACAGGACGCATGCGCAGTCCTGCTGTCAAATGTGGCCTCGAGGACCTTCTTCTTCTTCTTTGGATGTTCAACGGCGGTTGCGAACTAGTATAACGCATTACCGCCACCCACTAGATAAATTGTGCATGATTCACCTCTATGGCTTACAACTTCAGAAAGCATTTCGTAGCCTGCAAGCTACAATAAATAAAATAAATAACCTATGCAAACACCTTTTAAATTCTACTAATGAGTCCAGTGCCTCGAGGACCTTCTTCTCCTCCGTGCGTTTTTATAGTCTATGGGATTTATCAAGGTGTGTAGTGATACATTTCGCCCTAGAGGAAAATAAGCAACTTTATTCACAATGAGGAATTGTACATGTAGCATTCGGCATAAATAAGTCTCTTTCGCGCAAGGTATTTTAGATACACTTAAGTGAAAAGTGACCATAGAGTTTTCAGTCCTAATGCAGTGGTAACTCATTGTACAGTCTGACAGCGGTGTTAGGTTGGGGTTAAATACAGAATATAATGAGACGGAGTGGGATGAGATTTAAGACTATGTCAAGTCAACTCTTCAAAAGAGATGTTTATCTCAGAGGGGTTTTTATCCATCCATCCATGTTCTTCCCCTTAATCCATTTCTGTGTCGGGGGTGGCAGTCAGAGCTGCTCCCAACTCACAAAAAAAACTCGCAGGTTATTTCAGGTGGTGTTTGGATCATAAATGTAAATGTAGATTTAACATGGATATATTATGAGCTATATATATATATTGTATATATACAATTTCAAACTCAAACTGCAGGAAGAGGCGGGAGGCGCGCGCGGCCTGTGGGCCAATCAGAACCGAGTCTGTCCAAGATGGCGGCGCTCGTCAGATGTTTGTTTACGAGAGAAAAATAATCCGAAAAAATACGATTTTCAGCGATCACAGCACTGCAGCGAACTGGGCCGAACTGAGTCGGGATGCGACACAACCACGGCCCCCTGCTCACGAAACACGCCCAGAAACAGCATGGATCAGGCGGACACAGGGCTCCAGGGAGTCCCCGGGAGGAGAGAGCAGAGTGTCCCCGTCTCAGAGATCTGTTCCCCGGCCTCAGAGCGCCAAGGAGTCTCCGGGAGGATAGAGCAGAGTGCCCCTATGTCAGAGCTCTGTTCAGCGGCCACAGAGCCTGGGAGGAGAGAGCACTCTACCCCGGACTCAGGTCCAGGACAGCGGGCACACAGCAGCTGTGACCCCGGGAGAAGCATCAGCAGAGGAGGTCAGTGGCTGTAGGATTTCCCTCTCGCACTAATAAGAAGTTACAGATATGATATTGGACAACGCAGCACTCGGACATGTCTGGACATCTGTTGGACAGTGATGATCCTGTACATTTAAGAACTTTTATGAACATTTCTGGACGTTTTTGTTGTTATTGCATTTCTGTGTTTGAACTGTTTGATTCTCTGATCTGTTGTTGAATCCACAATTTTGTAAAGTCCAGACTGGACTTAGGACGGAACACAAATCAATTTAATTGAGTTAAGATAGTAGTTTAGCAGTAGTAGCAATAGCAGCAACAGCAGTAGTAGCAGTAGCCAGGGGGGTAGCACCAAATTCTGGGCCCCGGGTACAAACACATTGATGGGCCAGCACTACGTTAATGCGTAATACATAAACATAAATAGACACACTTTAGAGGGCCCCTCCCTGCCTTGGGCCCTGGGTACTCGGTACCCTTTATCCCCCCAGTCCGATGCCAGTAGTAGTAGTAGTAGTAGTAGTAGTATCATCATCAGTAGTTTCAGGACATGTCTGGGCGTCTCTCTTGGAGAAGGCGTGTCTCTTGTTGTTGTTAAATCACACATTATTTTCTCTCCTTCATGTTGTGAACATCAGTTGTGAGTGCAGGTAAGACTGACCTCACAGCCCTCTGACCCCTGAAGCTGTCACTCCTGTTTGTTGCTCATCCTGTTTGTTGCTCATCCTGGTCTCTCTTACTCCATAAACCAGTTGCAGACTTCCTGTGTCCGTCAGAGCGATGGCGCCTGGAGAGAGAGGAGCCACACAGGGCGAACGAGCACACGGTACACACCTCTAACTCAACATCAGCTCTATTATCTCTAACGCTAACATCAGCTCTAACATCTCTAACTCTTACATCAGCTCCAATATCTCTAACTCTAACATCAGCCCTAATATGGTGTGTTCCAGAACGTTCTCTCAGACTCTGAGAACGAGGAGCCGATCAGCAGAAGAATCAGGAACATCTCAGCGTTCATCAGAAAAACCAGCAGCGCCCTCAGCAGGTGAGTCCTGGTCCTGGGAGATGAGAACTGCTGAGTCTGCACAAGTGTCACTGACAATAATTCACTAGTAACTTATTATTACTGCATTATTACATATCCATCCATCTGATATGTCTGTCATTCACTAGACACTTTACTGTTTATTGTTTATTCTACTCTTTTTCTTTGTTGCTAAAGTACAATATACACATCTGTAATTACTTATGAACCAAGTGCAATTATAGCTCCAGAGTTTATATTATTTTATTTTATTCAGTTTTACCATCTTATTATTTTAATTCTACTGTCTATTAACTTAAATCATAGACTGTTTGATGTGTACGTACTGAGTGCTCTAATTTCCTTATTTCTCTGCTGTAATGTGCGCAACGATGACACTGAAATATCCCCTCTGTGAGACGAATAAAGGAATATCTTATCTTATCATGCCTGGTCTAGTCTAGTCCTGGTCTGACCAGGTATAGTCCATGTCTTACCTGGTCTAGTCCTGGCCTTACCTGCTGTTACCTGGTCCGGTCCACAGGGGGGGTCAGAGGAGCCGCAGCTCGGAGCCTGTGGAGGAGAAGAAGACTGTGAAGGTTCTACTGCAGCCGACCATACTACAGGTGAGTCCAGACCCATACCAGGTCCCAGACCAAGAGCGAGCCCAGACTGAAATAAAGTCAATCTTATCTTATCTTATCTTAAAGCGGCACTAACTGACTTTGTGAAATTTTTGAATGTGAGCGCTGGCCTTGCTCTCTCTGCTCGCCCTCCCCGCACGGAGTTTTCGCCCCCCACTACTCCCCTTCCCCCTCAGCCTGTGCTCATGTGCTTATGTGTTTACGGAGCTCACGTCTCACAATATGGATTGCACATTTGAACGTGGATGGCGTGACCATAGAATGATAGAACCGGGTAGCGCGGAGGAACGAGACTTTCTTTCGGATGGATGTTTCGCTGTGTAAGCAGTAACCGGTAACAAAGACACGGGAAGTTTCAGGTTAGCCTTCGCCGCTTGTTTACCTCAGCTGAGACCTGTGGCTTTTCTCAAGAAAGTGGGGGCCAGTGGTCCGCATCCGCTGTGATTGGTCACAATCTGGTCCTGAAACAAATTCTCTTCCTTGTTTCACAAAAATTCAATCTAAAATAAAATGACACGTCAGCACAAATCTGCGCTACTTTTTCTTCAAAAGGACGTATATCCCAATGCAATGCATGGATATGGATTGAATTTTCGTAAGGAATAAAAAAAATATAGGGAGGTGATGCAGCTTTAAATAGTGTCTGTAGAGCTAGCATCAGGAGCATGTGTTGAGTATAATACCACATGTGTGCAGGTGGGGGCTCCACTTTCTCTCACCGCTGGGATCCTCCTCTCCTCTGAGAACAGTCGTTCCGTCTCTGCTCCTCTTCCGCCTCTTCGCCGATTGGCCTGGAGCGCCGTGATGCCTGCCAGCCAATGGGAGCGTGGCGTTGTGATGCCCACCAGCCAAGGGGAGCGCGGTGCTTCCTCTCTGGTCCAATCAGAGCGCTCAGTGAGCCCAGACAGTAACGACTCTATCTCTGAGGAGCTGAACCACTTCAAGCCCATCGTGTCCTCGCCGTGCACGCCGCCACGGCGCCTCGCAGACGGACGCATTCAAGAGGCCACCGTCATCAAATCCACACCCAGGAACCTCCGCGGCATGGGCGGAGCTACTGTGGTAAGGGGCGGGGCTGCTGTGGTAAGGGGTGGGGCTAACTGCTGTGATAACCGTGGTTCTATTTGTAGGGGGCGTGGCCTCAGAGCTCAGTGCTGATGCAGAAGTGGCGTCAGATCGAGTTGGACCGACAGCTGGTTACTGCGGCAATGGAGCGACGTTGTGCCGTCTCCGTGGCAACGCTCACCAGCCCTGTCACCAACTCCAGGAACCAGAGAAGAAGAAAGTTCACCAGGGCAGAAGAAGTACCGCGCAAAGTCCACAAACCCCATGGACGTCATGAACCCGGTCTGACGCTCGTTGCATCATCCTCATTAACGCAATTCACATTAGCATCCTCATTATTAGCGTAATGCCTCATCATTAGCGTAGTGCATCATTAGCATACTGCCTTATTAACATACTGTCTCATTAGCCTATTTCCTTATTATTATAGTGCCATGTTAGCTTATTGCCTTATTAACATACTGCCTCATTAGCATTAGCCTACAGGTTCATTACCATGCTCTGCCATATTTGTGTTGATGAGTTTCTCTCATTCCAGATGCCCTGGAGGTTAGATCCAACAGGAAACGTCAACACAGAGCGGTCCAGAGGCTTCGCCCACAGGCTAATGATAACGCTGTGGTTAATGCTAAACCACGCTCTTATGATAAACTCAGTGCTAAAGCTAATGCTAACGCTCAGGAGCGCGCCGACAGAGCGTTAGCGCTGCAGCTGCAGAGACATTTCGACGGAGTCCCCGACCCTTACTTCTTGCGATCAGCCAATCAGAGCGCAGAGGGGCGGAGCCTGAGGCGGCGGCACCAGCGACATAAAGACTAACGCCGCTGAGCAATTTACATATATGCAAATGACTGTCACATGACCAGCAGCAGCCAATAGAAACATTCCACACAGTCTTCCAGAGGATCATGGAAAAAGGAGTCTTTCATGGTTCCTTCATGCTTTAATTTAATAAAATAAACTTTGTCTTTAAGCAGTGTCTTTGTGGCGCCCTCTATGGAGATTGTCCCACACTGCAGATACCGAGCCTTACCAGGACATATGAGCAGGTCTCCACGGCAACAGAGCCTTAAAAGAACATGCACCATCTGATATGTCCAAGTTTGTTAAAGGTATATGGGAGGACTCTCTACTTCCGGGTGGATCATCAAGACTATTAGTCTTCTCAATCATTCTGGTGATGTGTGCTTGTCAAAAAAGAACAGAGTTTTGTTCAAAAAGTGGAGAGGGTGGCTCTTTCCTAAATTTTGTGAAAATCCTCCTTTAAGTCCAGGATCACGGTTATAGGTTAATCTTAGACTCATGACCCCTGACCTCTGACCCCAGATGCTGATCCTGACCCAGCGGCGAAAGCTGTGCAGTTCTTAGAGAGTTTTGAAAGAGACTGATGTGAAACCAAAGAGGGTGACCTCACGAGTCTCCAGGAGATATATACTGTCAAATTAAATGAATTGTAGATTGTACATAACCCCAGTTTTTTATTTTCTTTGAACATGATCAGGATTTAAACATCTTAAGGTTAACTGTTATATATTAAAGTGAGTGTAATCATGGAAGGTGTTATTTATACCCTTTATGGTTAAACTCAACAACCACTGAAGATAAATGGAATAAAACTCTTGTCTGTGTCTATCTGTCTCAGTGTCTGTCGATCTCTATCTCAGGTGTAGTGTGTCATAATCTTTGTCTCAGGTGCAGTGTCTGTGTCTATCTTTGTGTTTCTGTTTCAGGTGCTGTGTCTGTGAACTGGTACTGACTCTTAGATGCTTTAAAGTTCAAGGCAATTTTTGGTATAGCACAATTCATACACAAGGGCAACTAAAGTAGCCTGGTCGTACAAATTACATTTCTACATGCAGGGAAATGATAATTGAGCAGAGTGTACAGATGGCAAAGGCCAGGCTACAACTAAAGTGCTGAACAAAACAAGATAGAAACAATCATACAAGGCAACATAAATAATCACAGTACATTAAAAAGAAACATAAAAAAATAAAATCCATCTATTGTTGCACAGCTAAACATAACTGTTTTTGACCAGGATTTAAACATTGTCAGAGAAAAAAATCCTGTCTCTCATTTTCAGGAAGATTGTTCCAGAGCTAAGACATGTGTCTGTAGTCCGCATGTCTGTAAGTCTATAGGTATTTCACAAACACCAACCATTGAGCTGAGACCAAGACTGAGGCACGGGGCCCCTCTGAACCCTGACCCCTGGTCTGTTGACAACGAGCTTTGACGATCTGATTCTGATGATGTGTAGAACTCTTGAGTTTCACAATATCGATCTGGGCCTTGCAGGTTAACTGTTAACACTTATGATAAGAATACATCAGAGGCCTCCAGAGTACAGATCACAGACTATTAAGTCCAAAGGTCCTAGAACAGCCTCAATGTGATTTTAACATAATGTTGGCGGCACACAGTGGTAAGAAGATTATTAGTATTACCGTACGTTTGTTTTTGTTTTTTTAAGGGGACTTCCGTTTATGTCAGTGCCGTTTGTCCAATCAGAAGCGTCCAGGTCACACACAAAATGGCGGCTTCACGGACAGGGAAGAGCGGTCTGCTGGAGAAAGTAACGTTATTTCTGCATTTTCTCGTTATTATTGTTATTCTTGTGTTGAATCTGTGTGTGGGAGGGTCGTGCAGCTGTGGCCGTGTCTGTGTCTCAGGCTGGAGGCTCACACCGGCCACGGAGCCGCTCACGTTGGGGTCTGCGGCGGAGGAGACACGTCTCCATCCGAGACTTCTGTTCTAACATGAACACATGGTTCTTATGTTGTTCTAACATGAACACATGGTTCTTATGTTGTTCTAACATGAACACATGGTTCTTATGTTGTTCTAACATGAACACATGGTTCTTATGCTGTTCTAACATGAACACATGGTTCTTATGTTGTTCTAACATGAACACATGGTTCTTATGCTGTTCTAACATGAACACATGGTTCTTATGTTGTTCTAACATGAACACATGGTTCTTATGTTGTTCTAACATGAACACATGGTTCTTATGCTGTTCTAACATGAACACATGGTTCTTATGTTGTTCTAACATGAACACATGGTTCTTATGCTGTTCTAACATGAACACATGGTTCTTATGTTGTTCTAACATGAACACATGGTTCTTATGCTGTTCTAACATGAACACATGGTTCTTATGTTGTTCTAACATGAACACATGGTTCTTATGCTGTTCTAACATGAACACATGGTTCTTATGTTGTTCTAACATGAACACATGGTTCTTATGCTGTTCTAACATGAACACATGGTTCTGTTCGAACATGAACACATGGTTCTGTTCGAACATGAACACATGGTTCACAGGCTGATACCATGTGGTGCTTTGATCCTGTCAGTCCGTAAAACGAGGCATTACATGTATTTATGTATCATCCTAAATCTTGGACTTCACAAAGTTGTGGATTTACTAACAACAGATCAGAGAATCAAACGTGACCTCAGGACACATACTTTAAAGGTGCCATATTACGCTTTTTGACTTCTCTGGTTGAAACATCATTTCAGTGCTTTTGGCTTCATACACATGCCCAGAGTAGTGTATTCATTGATTCCTTCAAGCTTTAGTTAGAAAGCGATCTCTCTCTTTCACCCTCAAGAGGCAGCAAAACACCCGGCTCCACATCTGTGACGATTTCAGCATTGATGACTTATGGTGCTTTCAGACCGGGACAGTCGTTGCGTCTGCGTTCAATGCAAAGTCAATGGGGAGGCGCGTTTCAGCGTTGCATTGCACGGACCTCTCGGCACACACGCACGGACCGCCCAGTAGAAACGCACGGACTTGGCGGGAAAGTCAAAGGGGAGGAGAAGGAGCGGAAAATGAACGCCCACAGGAGATGGATTCCGCTCAACTTTTCCTCGAGACGTTCGTGCAGCGACCAATCAGAGAGCATGCACACCACTGACGTAATCACGCCACTACACGGCGTATGTTTTCCCCATTGAGAGCCAGGAACCGGTCATTTAAACATGGAGGATCAAGCTGTGGATAGTCTCATTGTCGTTGTTACAAACTTTCCAGAGTTGTGGAAAGTCTGCATTCCGGAATATAGCGACAGAGCAAAGAAAGATACGGCATGGAAGGCCATTGCGCAGCAGCTCAACCTCCCTGGTAAGTTTTTTCAGTATCAGTGTAGTAAGGTGGGCGTGCTTGTGTTCGTGCGTCGTTTGGCAGTGTGCAAGCCTCTGCGTCTGAAAACTAGAGAATGCGCGTCTGGTGAGCTGGGCTGCTGCGTTTCAGCGTTTTCCAACGCTGATCATGCGTTGCGTCTGGTTTCAATGCAAAGTCTATGGTGGCGCGCGTTCGACCGTCACAACGCACGGACCTCTCGGCACGAACGGACTGTTCAATAATGACGCACGGGCTTGGCGAGAAAGTGAAAAGGGAGGAGCAGGAGCGAAAAATCAACGCCCACAGGAGATGGATTCTGCTCATCCTTTCCTTGGGACGTTCGTGCGACAACCAATCAGAGAGCAGCAAAGTGGTCACGGGGACATTAGCGGACTGAGCGAGCAGACTGAAAATACTCAAACAGCAAAAACAGGACCCACACCAGACTTCACCAGAACTCAAACCAGGGTTGACGATGGGAGACTGTGTGCTTGTGAATATATGCGTTGTCATGCTCCCGTGACCTTATGCAACTGCTTCGAGTGTGTTCGCCGATGCGGAAATACTGTTTAATAATATGAAAACACGTATGGCGCACCTCCGTGAACACGTACTGCTGTTATATAAAGCCCGTGGAAGGTCTCTGTTCAAAGACACGCTGCAAAGCTGCATATTGGAGAAGATCTGTATACAAGAAGCCGCTAGCATAGCTCTGTTAGCATTAGAGCCGGCCGGCTACTTCCGGTACTTCCGGCTCGCGTCAGGACGTTCTGGTGTGAAGTACTCTGCGTCTGAAAACTAGAGAATGCGCGTCTGGTGAGCGGGGCTTTCGCGTTTCAGCGTTGGCGGTCTGAAAGCCCCATAAGACCCTGTTTATACTGAGACGCTGCGCAGACGTTTCCAGGCTATTAACAGAAACGACCTGGCTCCTAATGCAAATTTCTCTGCGTTCACATGAGGTTGAAAAACGATGTAGTTCTAGCGCCCGGCCAGTAGTGGGCAGAGAAACTTTACAACACTCACACGACCCCCAGCCCCGTGCCCAGCCCCCCTCTCGGCAGTGTACTCACTTCCTGTGCCAGACCATCAGAACGCACCAACATCATTCTGCATTTTAACAGCAGCTGTGAACATGGGAACTGAACCTAGAGCTTCGCGTGGTCTCGTTTGGACGAACGAAGGAGTAGAATTATCCTCTGTGCAGCGCTGGAAGCCCACGTAGCTAGTTTGTGTGGGCGGCGCCATTTTTGTTTTTGTTTGTTCTCCGCTACTGCGCATGTCCAAATGTACGTGCGGGGAGCAGTGCTGAGGCGGGGGTCAAAGCAGAGGGGGATTTCACACCTTTCTCCCTCTCGCGGGTGTGAAAGAGCCCCCGCTGTGCAGCGTATCTGAGTTGTCCCACTCTGCAGGCTGGATCTGAACACTTACGTTTTCACCCCCCTGGAACACAGTCTTTGTATGAACGGTTGGTAGCAACCGACATCCAACTATACCGTTTTATTGCCACATTGTCTCCGTGTAAACTCAGCCTAATATGATTTTTTAGCAGATTTTTTTTTTTTGCAAGAGCATAATATGAAACCTTTAAATAACACAGCTTTTCAGAGGAAAAAAGATTTGTTGGCAAAATGCTAAAAAAAAACAGATCAACCTCTGATGTGATAATTCTACTGTGACTCCAGTTACAAAGAAAATAGATTTTCATGGCTAACACATCAGTAAATCACTTAAAAGTCATTTTTGAAAAATAACTGATAACATTTTAAATCAACCTTGAAAAATGTGTAACAGATGTCCATCCATCCATTTTCTACCCTTTAATCCATTTCTGGGTCAGGGGGGTGGCAATCAGAGATGCCACCCAAGTCTCATAGCACCAGCCCTGTATACACCAGTGTAACAGATGTATACATACTTATAGTTTAGTTTACTGTATGAAAGTAATAATTTTGTTGCCAAACCTCCGCATCTCATTCAAAAGGATCAGGTCTGTGACACAAACAGCCATCATAGAACATGTGACTCATGTATTAAACAGTTATTTCCACGCAAATGGACAGAAGAGGTATTTGGAATGTAATAGTATTATATTCTGATTATTAAAATAGTTTTTGTTGGCCTTCTGTTCCACTTTTGTACCCTTTAGTGCTCAGGTGAACCTTTTAGCTTTGAGAGCCAAATAAAGTGTACTTTAACATTTATTTCTGTGGGATCATACAATTTTTTGTGAATATGTGCACATTTTTTTTTTATTTTTTATGCTAGATCAACACATTTCGAGTGTAACATCACTTGGAATGTATTTTATTGAATACGATTTTTATACTGAAGAAATTCAATACATTAGTAAACTATGATTTGCCTGAGAGCTATTCACGATCTTCAAAAGAGCCACATCTGGCTCTTGATCCATAGGTTCCTGACCCCTGCTTTAGTTTTGAACAAGCCCATATACACATGGTACACATGGTACCACGAGGTCTCGGCTGAGTTTACAATGTAGAAGTCTTTTAGTTAGTGATGGTATGAAGCCTGTTACACATGGTTCACAGCTTCAATGTGATTCGTTTGCTCTGTCGCCCTCATGTGGACAAATACATGTATAACAGTCTCAGAGCTGTCAGTAAACAGTGGCTCTGAGCCACAGGTCTACAGTACTCATCACACACTCAGCAGTACTTTTAGTTCCACCTTCAAGATGTAGACCCAGGACTGAGGCTGTAGACCCGGGACTCAGGCTGTAGACCCGGAGCTAAGGCTGTAGACCCGGGACTCAGACTGTAGACGCAGGACTCAGGCTGGTACCCGGGACTGAGACTGTTTTGTGTCTTTTATTGAAGATTGTTGAAAGTGATGTTTGTGTCTGTGTGTTTCCAGTGGAGAATCGATGAGAAGCCAGTGAAGATCGACAAATGGGACGGAGCCGCGATCAAGAACTCGCTGGACGACGCGGCCAAAAAGGTGATTCTGTTCAGAGGGTCTTCTGGTCTCTCTCTGGTCTCTCTCTCTGGTCTGTAATGCCTAGTCTCTCTGGTCTTCAGGTCCTGCTGGAGAAGTACCAGTACCAGGAGAACTACTCCCTGGTGGATGGGAGGTTGTTGATCTGCACAGTATCCTGTGTGTTTGCGGTAGTGGCTCTGCTCTGGGACTATCTGCACCCGTTCCCCGAGTCCAGACCAGTGTTGGCGGCCTGCGTCATCTCATATCCTTCTACAGGACCTGCTTTAGTCCTGCTTTAGTCCTGCTTTAGTCCTGCTTTAGTCCTGCTTTAGTCCTGCTTTAGTCCTGCTTTAGTCCTGCTTTAGTCCTGCTCTAGTCCTGCTCTAGTCCTGCTCTAGTCCTGCTCTAGTCCTGCTCTAGTCCTGCTCTAGTCCTGCTCTAGTCCTGCTCTAGTCCTGCTCTAGTCCTGCTCTAGTCCTGCTCTAGTCCTGCTCTAGTCCTGCTCTAGTCCTGCTCTAGTCCTGCTTTTGTCCTGCTTAGACCAGGGTTCAGACCTGGGTTCAGACCTGGTTCAGTCCTTATCAGTCTCACTTACTTCCTGATGATGGGGGTCCTGACTCTCTACACTTCGTACAGAGAGAGGAACATCTTCCTGGTGGCTTTGCAGAAAGACCCAGCGGGTCTGGATCCGGACCACGTCTGGACCCTGTCCTCCTCCCTTAAGAGGTGACTCTGACCCCTGACCTCTGACCCTGACTCAGCACTCTGACTCCTGACCTCTGCCCCCTGTGCAGGTTTGATGACCAGTATTCCCTACGTCTGTCCTTCATGGCTGGGCGCACACGTTTGACCCGGGAGGTGGAGGTGACCCGCTCTGTGGCAGAGTTCTTCGACGACTCTGGGACTTTGGTCATGGATCATTTTGAGAAGTGTGTTTCCAGGATGCACGACTCTCTGAGCAGCGACAAGAAGAGCAAGTAACACCTCAGACATAAACATGTGACATCAGACATAAACATGGATCCTTCTGGGAAGAAGCCTAGGTCCGTGAATTTAAATGTTCCACTTTTCTGTTTGTTCTGAATAAAAGTTGTTGAGAATCCTCTGAGACAGTGTTTTGTACTGAACTTTATCACAAATAAAAGTCAAACTGTGTCTGTGTCCTATCCTTCTCCCGGAGCCCACCAGAGGATGCTGTCGTATAGGACCATACACTATAGACAGAGGGACAGTGCTAACATGCTAGCTCAATGCTAATGTTAGTATTAGATAGCAATATGGCCTACGTGAAGGACTGTACAAGGACTCCATGTTATGACTATGATGTGACTGTCTCTTTGTGACACGTACGTCTTTCCATGTGTGACGTGACAATGACTATATAAACTGTGTACTGCCTTTATTCTGTCTGAGAGAAGGAAACAATGGAAACCAGTGGAACTTGAGAGAAACCTAAATAAACTTCCAGAGTTTGGCACACCACGATCCGTCTCTGTCTGCTTCATCCTGACAGATTTGGTGGAGAATGCGCGGCTCAGTGTGCGCCATTCTCTGGATTGTTTTGAGGGAGTTTGCTTTTTTTCTTTTCCTCTGTGTGAGAGACCGGCATGCTGCGTCTGGGAGTGGAGATTCCAGCAGGCTGGAAGACTGTTCCTGGATGCTTCTTGTCGCTTCTGTCACTTTTGTTTTTTTAAATTGAATATTCCGACGCGGAAAAGAGTTGGCAGACCTCTCGGACAGTCCGTGCATGCACCTGTTTGACAAGAATAAGGTAAGCAGACACCTTTTTAGATGTAAAGTCTGCATAATTGGATACTAGCTAAATTTTGGTCTGTTTTTGAGGTCTGTCGTACTCTCTAAATTGTGTTCAAATAAGTGAGGATCCATAAAGTGTATAGGATCCATAAAGTGTTGGCCATAAAAGTGTAGGATCCAAAAAGTGTTGGCCATAGAGTGTATAGGATCCATAAAGTGAAAAGGCCATAAAGTGTATAGCAGTGTCTCCCAAAGTGGGGTCCGCGGCCCCCTGGTGGGCCGCGAGGGTACTGCAGGGGGGCCGCGGGAGGTCATAAAAAAAATAAAAAAATAATATAATTATTTAATGTTAAATTTATAATGTTTTGTTTGTAATATTAAAATATTTGTGTTCATTATTTGACTTGAATAATCCACTGTAATCATTTTTGTATTACATAATGTTTGTAGCAGAGGCTATTTCCCCAAAATAAAATAACCAGAAGAGCCTATTCTTAATGTTGTCTTCTTGGTTATTATTTTGGGGGGCCACGCAGACCCGTCAGATTTTTAAGGGGGCCTCGGTGTTTCTGAGTTTGGGAACGGCTGGTGTATAGGATCCATAAAGTGTTGGCCATAAGTGAGGATCCATAAGTGAAACCATGGTGTAAAATTAAAAGCAATAAAAAGGGAAACGTGTAAAGGAGGCCTTTTGTCACAAAAAGTTTTGTAATTAACCAATTCCAGGCTTGATAAATGACAAAAGTAAAGAAGCAACATTATTTCAGTGATCACGGTTTAAATTACATACAGAAAAAAGGAATTTTTGTTTTTGGAGTGAACAGAGTTCACCGGAGAATGCAGAGTTTTATCTAAAGTTGAGCTATGAGAGCTTTTGTGAGTTATTTACATTTTTTGCCGAGTTTTATCTACAGTTAAGCTATGAGAGGGTTGTATCCAACAGGTTGTTTTTGTTTTTTAGAAAGAGATTTTGAGTTTAAACTAGTTTGCTACCTCAATAAAATAGAAGCGTAAGGGAAATTAAAGAGTAAAGAGTGCCTTTTTTTACAAGTGTGGAAAGTGATCACTTCTAGACTTGGATGACAAAAGTATAAACTACAAGTTATATTCGCTTTAAAAAGTAATCTTGAAAGTTATTCTTCTTTCTGTTTTTGCATTTTTGCTAAAACACTGCTTTCTGCCTGTGTGTGTGCGCCGCTCTATCTTGCTGCCGTTGTCAGGGAAACGGCCCCCTCCTTCGCTACTCTGGCTCTGAATCAGAGCAAAGCTACTGCTTTTAGGATTTTGGCTTTTCATAGTTGTTATTCCGTTAAATTTGCGAAATTTGCAATTGAACATTGTGTTATGACACAGTTAAACGTTTTAAACACCATTTAGTGAATATAAGTTTTGAATATTATATGTTTTTTGAAACCCAAATATTAGTGCTAACGCTGTGCAATTCTTTTTAGACCTAACATATTTCTAGATTCCATTTTTTTTTAAATCTGCTGCTTATTTCTTAACTTTTTGTGAGTTGTGTTTGTTTTTATGTTTTTATTTTAGTTACAAAAGCCGTTTTTCAAACATTTAAATTAGAATCTGTGTTAAAAGTGATTATTGATCATAGACTTCGTCTAAAAAAGAAAGAGGGAATTAGGATTATTAAGTTGAACTGTACCCAAGTCACCCAATTCACATTCAAGTGGTGACTTTTGTTTTTGTTTTGACTACACGCCTGACCTTCCTCCTGCTGCTGATGCACACAGCAGAGGAGACTGGCTCTAAAATGTGCTCCAATTCATATTGACTTAATTTGAAAATGCTGCAATTATTTTAAATTAGTAGAATAAATGATGAGATAAATGTTCAAGTGTAAAAGGGAAAGTCCATGAAGTGAAACCCAAGGATGTTCAAGATAATTAAACACAGTACAAAAGTACATAATACATATTTTAAAGGTTGAAGATTTTTGAGATTTGAGTCTTGTTTTTTATATTAAGAGTTTCTGGTTTTAAAAAGTTTCACATTAGTAAGATAATAAGTAATCTTTATTTACATAGCGCTTGGAAAGCCAAGAGCGCTCCAAAATTGTTTTGACTTTAGGGAGAACAACAATCTCATTCACAATCTCTGTTGTTTTTAATTTGACTATAAGGTTGTGTTCCAGAACCAAGGGCACACACTGTACAGGGCCACTGGACAGCAGGAGTGGACACTGGACAGCGCAAAGCCCACCCAGCCACAGGTCACAGATCAAAGAGCAAAGGGAAATGCCACCTCCTTGCCCCTCCCCACGCCACTGCAGAACTGAGTGGGAGTGAGAGAGAGTGGAGGTTTCTGGAGACGTGATGGGTGGAGGCCTCAGGTAGAGACCTAGAGGCAGTTGAAAGTGTGTCCAGTTGGTTTACATCACCACAGTGTGACTTTTGAGACCTACAGGTGGTTCGAGGAGTCTGGAGACACAACCCCAAAATTCACACCCTACACACACATACACACACACACACATACATTCATACACTCACACATTCACATTTACATATAGATACATGAAAAAGCATTTTAAAAGTTTACCCCAATGTAAACAAACATTTTTAATTGTCTATCACTTGAATCTTTATTGGAATCAGTATTTTTTTGAGACCAGAAATGTTCATTTGAATTCTATATTGTCATGGACTAATTGACCTCTGTCCTGACACTTTTGATTTGTTGATTTTGTACTGTGTGAAGTAATTACATTGATTACATCTGATAAAAACACAAATTAGAGAAGTAAACTGAATCATTGCGCTTGCTTTTGTCTGAGGGACAGAAGCAACAGCATGAATAGAAATTGTGTTACAGTAGAATCAAAGTGACTAACCATAGAAAGTAACTACTGCATAACAAGCTGTGTACAGGAACTGTGACACTGCACCATTGACCAGAAGTGCATCGCAAATGACCTGATGTGCTTCAAGTGAAAAGACTGTATCTGGAGATCCTGATGTGCATCTGGAGAGACCAAAACCATGGCTTGGACCCTACTGATGTCCAAGATGACATCTCTCGAAATATGACTTGACCTGATGACGACTGAGACCTAACCTCACCCTCAGAGGACCCTGAGGACCTGAGGACCTTGGAGAGAAAAACTGGGGAGTGATGTTTATATTATTGAAATCATACATTGATGAGTGCTAAATGAGAGAGATACTCATGATTCTTTCTTTTGTTTTTGTTTGTCCCTAGCTTCTGGACATCTGATGATCTATTGGACACAGCCATTTGCAGAACAAGAACCAGCCAATGAAAAACGTCTATTGCCGATGCTATTGCTACAACCACAACTGTGACCAAATGCAATATACATGTTAAGTATTCAGACATCTGACAGACAAAAACTTTGACTTTTTTGTCTGGGAGACTGAGCAACTGTTAAAATGTGTTAAAGTGATAAAGTATGAGTATTGTAGCGTTTTAGTAGATGTTAAATTGTAGTAAAAAAGTAGAATTGTCCTTCCTTTGTTTTTCATAAACACATTTCCACATAAGAGTTAAAATAGTACCATACAATGTTATCCTTCTGATAGAGCAGCTATAATATTAGAATCAGAGTTATGTTACAGCCATTAAAAGTGACAGAAGTCACAGATTAGAAATATGCCTTGGCTCAAGCTGCAACCGAGCTTTAGAGTCACAATAGTGTAAAAATAGAGATAGATAAATGCATCAACCATAGATGCTTTCAAAAATAGAGAATATTCTTAGCCAGTGCTAATATCAAATGGTAAAGGGACCATTTCACAAACCTTTACTTCAAAAGTAGATAAAGTTTATTACAGTTTATGTACAGTTTTATTAGATTGTGGACTTCAGGAAGAGCACTGTCCCCCCACCCCCACCCTCCGTGATGGACTCCCCCATCACCTCTGTGGAGTCCTTCCGTTTCCTGGGCACCACCATCACCCAGGACCTCAAGTGGGAGCCGACCATCAGCTCCCTCATCAAGAAGGCCCAGCAGAGGATGTACTTCCTGCGGCAGCTCAGGAAAGCCAAGCTGCCTGCACAGATGTTGGTGCAGTTCTACACGGCCATCATCGAGTCCATCCTCACCTCCTCCGTCACCGTGTGGTTCGCTGGAGCCACAGTCAGGGACAAACAGAGACTACAGCGCATTGTGCGCTCTGCAGAGGAAGTGATCGGCCGCAGCCTTCCATCGCTGCAGGACCTGTACGTCGCCCGAGCTCGAGGCCGGGCTGGTCGTATCACAGCCGACCCCTCTCACCCTGCACATGGACTATTCCAACCACTCCCCTCAGGCAGGAGGCTGCGGTCCATCAGGACTAGAACCTCCCGCCACAAGAACAGTTTCTTCCCCTCTGCTGTTGGACTCTTGAACACTTCTTAACCTGTCCCCCCGCCCTTTATAAAGTCACTTTACTGCCCATCATACGTCACTTTACTTCACTGTACTGCTGTCACCTTACATTGTGTGCACCATGTGCACTTGTATATTGTAAATAGTAACTGTAACTCTATTTTAAATTTAAATTTATTCTTTAGAAGTGTTTTTTATTCTTATTTTTATTATCTCTTTTTGACTGTTGCACTGAGCCAAAGCAATTTCCTAGTCTGTGACCTCCTGTTACTTACGTGGCAATAAAAATGATTCTGATTCTGATTCTGATACTTGCCAAATTCACTTGTTTCAAACATCTGTGAATGTTGACAATACAAAAAGTTCATGAGTGTAGCCTAGATTAATGCCTAGATCAATGAGATAGATTAGAACCAACAGAGATTCAAAAGCATTTTGATGTATTTGTGTATAGCACAAAAACAATAGTATATATTTAGATATTGAGAAGTTTAAAAAGCTGTAGATTCACCAGCACAGATTAGAATCAGAATTCAAACACCATTGTAGAATAACTGACCCCAACCCCAAACCTAATTAGCTACTATTAGGATAATACTAATTTGATTAAAGATGTACATTCATCCCAAATGCCTGACAATAATATCTTTAGATCAGTGTCTCCCAAAGTGGGGTCCGCGGCCCCCTAGTGGGCCGCGAGGGTACTGCAGGGGGGCCGCGGGAGGTCATAAAAAATATATATATATATATTTAATGTTAAATTTATAATGTTTTGTTTGTAATATTAAAATATTTGTGTTCATTATTTGACTTGAATAATCCACTGTAATCATTTTTGTATTACAATGTTTGTAGCAGAGGCTATTTCCCCAAAATAAAATAACCAGAAGAGCCTATTCTTAATGTTGTCTTCTTGGTTATTATTTTGGGGGGCCACGCAGACCCGTCAGATTTTTAAGGGGGCCTCGGTGTTACTGAGTTTGGGAATGGCTGCTTTAGATAATAAAAAGTAATAAATCACTGACCACTATGTGTAAATGTTGACCATTTGTCTTTCTGTGTTCACAGTTTTATTCCTGAGAATGAGAATAGAGATAGAGCAAAATCCCACTAACAATAAGCCACTGATAATGAGAGTGTAATACCACAGAGAGATTTATTAGATTAAAATATATGTTTAAGAATATGGCTCAATAGAAGCAAATATGCAAACATATTTGTAAATAGATTAGAATAGTTTTAAACTATGGTGATAATGAAAGTAAAGTACACAGTCTAAGATTGAAAAGTGAAAATAATACATTGAAATAAGTGAAGTGTATGTAAATAATTAGCATTAGAATGAAAGTATAGAGTAATAAAAGTTAAATTAGCTTCTAATTGAGACTCAGCTCGTTTTTGTCTGTGTTTTGACTGAATCTGCTGAGTTCTTGTGTGTCCAATAGTGTTTGTTTGTTTTTATTTTTGATTTATTTGTTTGTTTATTTTTCCCAGGATAGAGGATAAAATCCACTGATATTGATTTGATGATTATGAGTTTAATGCATACATTTTCTTTGTTTTCAATAATTTTGTAAAGTTTTTTTTTTTAGATTTTTTTTTTCTTTTTCCACTTTATTGATTGATCAAATTGAGTGATCACATGTGATTATGTGATCAAAGGGGAGGGTGTTAGTATTAGATAGCAATATGGCCTAAGTGCAGAACTGTACAAGGACTCTACAAGGACTCCATGTTATGACTATGATGTGACTGTCTCTTTGTGACACGTACGTCTTTCGATGTGTGACGTGACAATGACTATATAAACTGTGTACTGCCTTTATTCTGTCTGAGAGAAAGAAACAAAGTAAACCAGTGGAACTTGAGAGAAACATAAATAAACTTCCAGAGTTTGGCACACCACGATCCGTCTCTGTCTGCTAAATCCTGACACTAACCCACATGCTAAAGCCAACTGCTTGTCACTGTCACTCCCGTATTCGTCCTGAAGTTCAGTTTGATCCAATGAGCATACGCAGCAGAAGATTACGTCACGGAATCTGGACGGAAGCGGAAGTAAATATAAAAAACTACCTCTTAATGTATAAACTTAACCAGCCATTCCTATAAAATAACCCCAACCCAGCCTTAACCCTAAACTTAACCATCTTACTTAGACACCTAAAACTTATCCAGTCACCACTTAAGGACTTATTACACTTTTTGACATGCGCAAACTGAACTTCCGGATGAATCCGGTTTTCGGGACGAATACGGGAGTGACACTGCTCATTCATTTAAACGGGAAGAGTTTATGAATGAAGCTGAGATCAAAGGTTACAGAGGATTAAACTGGTATAATTAGAGGGGGCGGGGCTTAAGAGATTAGGGCCAGGCCTCATGCTATGGTTGGAGCAGAGGGTGGGGGTGGGCGGAGTCTGCTGCTGTAAGGGGCGGGGCTTCACCTGTTCCTTCTGCACGCGCTCAGTAGGACACAGAGACCATGGCAACGTGTCTGATGGCAGCGTGGTCCGTTCACAACGCCACCGTGACCAACTCCATCCTCCTGGTGAGTACCAGTACTACTGTAGTAGAGTGCTGTCGCAGTACTACAGTAATAAGTACTACTGTAGTAAGGTATTACTTTAGAGAGAGATCAGAGATAGCATTGCTGTACAAAAGTACTCTTACAGGTATAGTACTAACCAGTACCATAACTTATAGTTATGATACCATAACTTATAGTTATGGTACTGCTGTAGAGACCAGAGAGAGACCAGAGTTGTAAAAGCTTGGGGTGTTTGGAGGATTGTACAAACACCCCAAGTACTGTACAGTACAGGGACGTGCGGTGAGGTTTGTGATTGGGGAGGCACTGACTTTAAAAGTCAGATTTACAATCATTATTCAAATAAAATAGCATTTAATCACCAATGCAATGACATCCACAAACTTTATATACTGTAAAGATAAGAGAACCAGCTTCTTTTAATAATCTCACAACAAATCTAGCTGCTGACTCTGCTCCGCATCAAACAACATCTTTAAGAAGCGCAGGTGCGAGAGACGCGAGGAGAGAGAGACGCGAGGAGAGAGGAGCAGAGAGAGACAGAGAGGAGCAGAGAGACGGAGACGCGAGGAGCAGAGAGAGACGGAGACGCGAGGAGAGAGAGACGCGAGGAGAGAGAGCAGAGAGAGACAGAGAGGAGCAGAGAGAAACGGAGACGCGAGGAGAGAGAGACGCGAGGAGAGAGAGACGCGAGGAGAGAGAGCAGAGAGAGACAGAGAGGAGCAGAGAGACGGAGACGCGAGGAGAGAGAGAGACGGAGACGCGAGGAGAGAGAGACGCGAGGAGAGAGAGCAGAGAGAGACAGAGAGGAGCAGAGAGAGACGGAGACGCGAGGAGCAGAGAGAGACAGAGAGGAGCAGAGAGAGGAGACGCGAGGAGCAGAGAGAGACGGAGACGCGAGGAGAGAGAGACGCGAGGAGCAGAGAGAGACGGAGACGCGAGGAGAGAGAGACGCGAGGAGAGAGAGACGCGAGGAGAGAGAGACGCGAGGAACATAAACAATAATTTAAACAAGTTGCAGAACTCTTGAGCAGTGTTTGAATCAGTGTTTTTCGGAAAAGCACTACTTTGCCGGTATCTGTCAATGTTCAACATAAAACACAGATTAACAAACTCCTCCCCCGCAGCCGGACTAACCTCGTAAGTCCAGTGGTGGTCTCCCAGTCTATATTAATTCTTTCTTTGTTTGAAAGTCCAATTGAGAAAAAAAAATCTTCATTCAAATCATCCATTTTCCAGCAAAAGAAATAGCATTTTGGGCTGATTGTTTGTTAGCAACTCTGGTATGAACTTTATGCTCACTATCACCCCTAGCGGTGAGGCACAGATACCGCCTGCCTCACGCCAAGCTTTTTCCTTGTGTGTTCATCTACGATCAAAAGACTTAAACTAAAAATATAAATTGTACACACATACGTGCAATACACTACTAAACACTAAGAGGAGTTTAAAACATGTTTTTAAAGCAGGATATTTGAAACAAACGGTGATATATCAACTGCACGAGCTGAGTGCACTCAGACACACACACACACACTGTGAGGGAGCGGTCTGGGGTGAGGCACGCAGGAGCGCTGCCTCACCTCGTCTCTTTGAATAGGAATAACGGGATTTCGGCGATTTTGACTTCAGAAATGATCAAAACTGATGGGAACCGTGCCGAATATACATTAAAAGCATAGGACAGTGGATATAAATTATATATTTAAACTAAAATAATTATTAGTTTCCAATAATGGCAGGTGAGGCTCTGCCTCCCCTGCCTCCCCTGACTGCACGTCCCTGGTACAGTACTGTTTTCTGTACAAGGAAAGCAGTACTTGTACAGAAACAAGTACTGCTGTACTACTACTGTACTAAAGTACAGGGCGACAGTGGCTCAGTTGGTAGAGCATTGACCTTTGAGCCTGAGGGTTGAGGGTTTGAGCCCAACACAAGACTTTCTCCACCAACTCCCACTGATGTCTGCTGTTGTTGTGACAAGATGCTTCATCCCCATTGCCTGGAAGGAGTCTGGTGTGTGAATGGTTGATGGGGGTCGGAGGGGGTCGGAGGGGGTCGGAGGGGCTGATGTCACATAATGGTTGCCTCACTTCTGTTAGTGTGCCCCAGGGCAGCTGTGACTACAGTAGTAATTTATCACCATCGGGTATGAAGTGAAAGAATGACATGTAAAGGACCTTTGAGTGTCCAAAAAAGCGTTCTATACCGATTCATCATTAGTACTACAGAGCTACAGTAAACTGTGGTACTAAAGTACTCCTATAGTAGTAGTACTTAAGTACTACTGTCGTAATAGTACTGCTATAGAGACCAGAGAGAAGTAAATCATCTTTATTTATATAGCGCCTTTCGCAGACCAGAGTCCCAAAGCACTTTACAATTATGGGCCCTTGTCTCTCACTCCACACAGAGAAAGGAGCGAGACAAAGACCAGAGAGAGACCAGGTTGTAAACGCTTGTAAGCTTGTGGTGTTTGTGGTTTGGGGTAGTTTTTCTATCATGTGATTTTCTGCTGTTGAGGTTTAACTGTGATGAACATTACTCCAGCTAGCTTATGTTCAAATCAGCTTCAGGCTAACACTGGTGATGTCACACTCTCCCACAGACATCCCACGGTCCCCCAGACCTAATGTTGGACCCCGACTCTGTCGCTGTGTGTTTGGAGGACTGTAACCGAAGCTCCGCCCAGTGTGACCGAAGCCCCTCCTATTGTGACAGAGGCTCCTCCCACTGTGTCTGTAGCCCCGCCCCCAGCCTCATAGGCCGCGCCCCCTCCATCACCGAGGCCCAGCGTGTCCGCTCGTTACCTCGGCGACCTGCCGTTAACATCCGCTTCATCAGCGTCAGTTACTCTGTCCCAGAGGGCCCCTGGTGGCGGAGCAGAGGTACTACACACAGAGACACAAAGAGAGAGATGGAGCGAAGGAGATCAGAGAGATAAACACAGAAAAAGAGAGGGAGAGACACAGAGAGAAGGAGAAAGAGAGACACACACACAGACACAGAGAGAGGGACGAGAAAGAGAGAGAAATCTCAGAGAGAGACCAAATAGACACACACCCAGAGAGACAGACACACACACACACACAGAGGGAGCGAGACCAGAGAAAGACCAGAGAGACACACATCCAGAGGGAGAGAGACCAGAGCGAGACACACACACAAAGCAGCACAGCGGCGTGTGATAAGGCTGACGTCTAAATCAGTCTCAGATTAGTGTCATTGACCTAAAGTGACCAGAGACAGGATCAGGACCAGAGAGAGACCAGAGAGAGAGACTAGAGCGAGACCAGAGCGTGAGAACAGCCGCTGAACCTGTCATTAGTCCAGTTTCGGTCCTCCTCTGGTCTGAATAGATTCTGTCCAATGGTTTTGTTTAAAGGAAAATGACACCAGGATTATGTGAGACTGAGACTAAACCAGGTGTGGACCAGGACTAAACAGAACTGTGGTAGCTGTGTCCCCCATGGTAGCTGAGTATCAAAGATGGCGCCTCGTACGGTCGACACGGCTCTTTGCTGCTCTCTTTTTCTTTTGTTTTTACTTTTTAACTGTGCATCTGGCTGTTCCTACACCCGTGAGGAACTTATGAACATCCGACCCACCGTTCCCATGGTCATGGACCTATTGCCTGTTTTGGCATCTGCGGCTGATTTAGTTCATGTTCTAGCCAAAAAAATGTGGGCCCGTAAAAGGGGAAAGCGAGGAGGCCTGCTCGTGCGTCTTAGGAGGAGAGGAGCGCGCACGGCTCTCCCCGGCATTTTTCTCACCAACGTACGCTCACTGGGCAATAAGATGGACGAACTCAGCCTGCTCATGAGAAGAAACAAGGACTTCGCCTCATCCTGTGTCCTCTGCTTCACTAGAGACCTGGCTAAATGAGCGGATCCCGGACTGCGCTCTGGAGCTGCAGGGCTTTGGGCTGTTCCGCGCGGATCGCCATTGTGCGCTCTCAGGGAAGAGCAGAGGCGGTGGGCTGTGTTTCTACGTCAATACAAACTGGTGTAACGATGTGACAGTGATCTCCAAGCACTGCTCTCCTGCTCTGGAATATCTTTTCATTCATTGTAAACCATTTTACTCCCCTCGTGAATATGTTTCTTTCATTCTTGCCTCTGTTCACATACCGCCATGCGCGGACGCGCGCGAGGCTCAGCGTGCACTCGCAGAGCAAGTACTGTGTATGGAACGTTTATACCCGGACTCTCTGATTATTACGGCTTTTTAAGTTCTTCTAATAAGACAATTAAAGCAAAAAAAGCTAGTACTGCTTAAATACCTGACATTTCGGCGGTACACTTCCGCCTTCATCAGAGGTGACACGTGACGTGAGTGACCCGTCTCTTATCAGCTGTTGTTGCCGGAAGCAGTCAGTCTGACAGATCTCAATTAAAGCTTATTTTGCTTTAATTGTCTTATTAGAAGAACTTAAAAAGCCGTAAACATAAGAAGACAGAATGAATTTTACACATTCTCTGATTATTATCCTGGGGGATTTTAATAAGGGAAACTTGAGCCAGGAATTACCCAGCTTTTCGCGCTGTTCCCAAGGCAGCCCTCGGCTTCTCAGATCACTCCATGATTCATCTGATCCCTGCTTACAGACAGAGACTAAAGCTCTCGAAACCTGCAGTGAGGAGCTCCAAAGTGTGGTCTGATGAAGCTGTGGAAGAGCTGCGCACATGCATGGAATCTACAGACTGGGACCTTTTCAGAGCTGCCACAGATAGTTTGGATGAATACACGGACACTGTGACGTCATACATTCACTTCTGCGAGGATAGCATCATTCCAACAAGGACCAGGGTCATCTATAACAACGACAAACCCTGGTTCACTGCTAAACTCCGGCAGCTCAGAAAAGCAAAGGAGTCTGCTTTCAGGGAGGGGGACCGCAGCGGCTACAAAGCAGTTCAGGAAAGAACTGAAAACAGCCAAGTCCCGGCACAGAGAACGACTACAGGAGCAGTTTGGTAACAACAATACTGCTTCAGTCTGGAGGGGCCTACGGGAGATCACCAACTACAAGCCCAAAGCCCCCCCCCTGTGCTGACGACCACAAGCTAGCTGACGAACTGAACTTATTTTTCAGTCGCTTTGATGCTGCCCCCGACACCTCCCCCACCCCCCACTACTCTAACGACCCACCCATCAGCCCTGCCCCCAGCCTAACAATAGCCGCTAAAGAGATTAAACAACTCTTCCTGAGGCTGCACCCCCGCAAAGCTCCTGGCCCGGACCACGTGTATCCGGCCACTTTGAGACACTGCGCCAGTGAGCTTACTCCTGTGTTCACTGACATTTTCAACACCTCTCTGCAGTCCTGCCATGTCCCGGCCTGCTTCAAATCCTCCATCATTGTCCCCGTCCCGAAGGATCACAGGACTCAACGACTACGGACCTGTAGCACTTACGTCTGTCGTCATGAAGTCATTTGAACGCCTGGTCCTCTCCCATCTCAAGTCCTTCACCTCCCCCCTCCTGGACCCCCTGCAGTTCGCCTACAGAGCCAACAGATCTGTAGACGACGCCATTAACCCGGCCCTCCACCTCATCCTACAGCACCTGGACTCCCCGGGGACCTACGCCAGGGTCCTGTTCGTGGACTTCAGCTCTGCCTTCAACACAATCCTGCCATCCCTGCTCCAGGACAAGCTCTCCCAGCTCAACGTGCCCGATTCCACCTGCAGGTGGATCACTGACTTCCTGACAGACAGGAAGCAGCGAGTGCGTCTGGGGAAGAATGTCTCGGACTCTCGGATTATAAATACAGGAGCCCCACAGGGCTGTGTTCTTTCTCCCCTGCTCTTCTCCCTGTACACCAACCACTGCACCTCCAGCCACGACTCCGTGAAGCTGCTCAAGTTCGCGGATGACACCACCCTCATTGGACTCATCTCCAACAACGATGAGTCCGCCTACAGGAGGGAGGTGGACCGGCTGGTGTCCTGGTGCAGTGGTAACAACCTGGAGCTGAACGCCCAGAAGACAGTGGAGATGATTGTGGACTTCAGGAAGAGCACTGTCCCCCCACCCCCACCCTCCGTGATGGACTCCCCCATCACCTCTGTGGAGTCCTTCCGTTTCCTGGGCACCACCATCACCCAGGACCTCAAGTGGGAGCCGACCATCAGCTCCCTCATCAAGAAGGCCCAGCAGAGGATGTACTTCCTGCGGCAGCTCAGGAAAGCCAAGCTGCCTGCACAGATGTTGGTGCAGTTCTACACGGCCATCATCGAGTCCATCCTCACCTCCTCCGTCACCGTGTGGTTCGCTGGAGCCACAGTCAGGGACAAACAGAGACTACAGCGCATTGTGCGCTCTGCAGAGGAAGTGATCGGCCGCAGCCTTCCATCGCTGCAGGACCTGTACGTCGCCCGAGCTCGAGGCCGGGCTGGTCGTATCACAGCCGACCCCTCTCACCTGCACATGGACTATTCCAACCACTCCCCTCAGGCAGGAGGCTGCGGTCCATCAGGACCAGAACCTCCCGTCATGAGAACAGTTTCTTCCCCTCTGCTGTTGGACTCATGAACACTTCTTAACCTGTCCCCCCGCCCTTTATAAAGTCACTTTACTGCCCATCATACGTCACTTTACTTCACTGTACTGCTGTCACCTTACATTGTGTGCACCATGTGCACTTGTATATTGTAAATAGTAACTGTAACTCTATTTTAAATTTAAATTTATTTCTTAGAAGTGTTTTTTATTCTATATTTTTATTATCATGGGGCTACAGTAGCTCAGTTGGTAGAGCATTGGCCTTCAGGCCTGAAGGTTGTGGGTTCAATTCCCACCTCGACACCTTCTCCACCGACTCCCACTGATGACTGCTGTCGTTGTGTCCTTGGGCAAGACACTTAACACCACTTTGCCCAAAGCCCCCACTGAAAGATCAAGGCTGTGCTCACACTCAGAGAGCAGCCGTCCTCCTGTGGACTCACCACCTGCAGAGGGTCAGTGAGGGGCTGGTGCTATGAGACTTGGGTGGCATCTCTGACTGCCACCCCCCTGACCCAGAAATGGATTAAAGGGTAGAAAATGGATGGATGGATGGATTTTTATTATCTCTTTCTGACTGTTGCACTGAGCCAAAGCAATTTCCAAGTCTGTGACTTCCTGTTACTTACGTGGCAATAAAAATGATTCTGATTCTGATTCCTCCATGGTAGCTGAGTCCTCCATGGTGCTGTGTCCCCCATGGTAGCTGTGTCCCCCATGGTAGCTGAGTCCTCCATGGTGCTGTGTCCCCCATGGTAGCTGAGTCCTCCATGGTGCCGAGTCCCCCATGGTAGCTGTGTCCTCCATGGTAGCTGTGTCCCCCATGGTAGCTGTGTCGCCCATGGTAGCTGTGTCCTCCATGGTGCTGTGTCCCCCATGCTAGCTGTGTCCCCTACGGTGCCGAGTCTCCCATGGTAGCTGTGTCCCCCATGCTAGCTGTGTCACCTATGGTACTGAGTCTTCCATGGTAGCTGTGTCCCCCATGGTAGCCGTGTCCCCTATGGTACTGAGTCTCCCATGGTAGCCGTGTCCTCCACGGTGCTGTGTCCCCCATGGTAGCTGTGTCCTCCATGGTGATGTGTCCTCCATGGTGATGTGTCCTCCATGGCGCTGTATCCGCCATGGTAGCTGTGTCCCCCATGGTAGCTGTGTCCTCCATGGTGCTGTGTCCCCCATGCTAGCTGTGTCCCCTACGGTGCCGAGTCCCCCATGGTAGCTGTGTCCCCCATGCTAGCTGTGTCACCTATGGTACTGAGTCTTCCATGGTAGCTGTGTCCCCCATGGTAGCCGTGTCCCCTATGGTACTGAGTCTCCCATGGTAGCCGTGTCCCCCACGGTGCTGTGTCCCCCATGGTAGCTGTGTCCCTCATGGTTGCTGTGTCCCCCATGGGTGCTGTGTCCCCCATGGTAGCAGTGTCCCCCATGGTGCCGAGTGCCCCATGGTAGCTGTGTACCCTACGGTGCCGTGTACCCCATAGTAGCTGTGTCCCCCATGGTAGCTGTGTCCCCCATGGTAGCTGTGTCCCCCATGCTAGCTGTGTCCCCCATGGTAGCTGTGTCCCCCACGGTGCTGTGTCCCCCATGCTAGCTGTGTCCCCCATGGTAGCTATGTCCCCCATGGTAGTTGTGTCCCCATATGACAGCAGGACTTCCAGATTCTTGGGGCACAAGTCTTTCTGACCAGTGCTCTCCTTGTTCCATCTGTTGGTGAAGGTTGACGGCCGTGTCTTGGTAAGTTTGCAGTGGTGTGTGTCTAACAGATGTCTCTTTCTGGTCTCTCTGTCTGGTCTCTCTCTCAGGTTCTAAGCAGCTGCTGCATTCCGTCTCTGGCAGCTTCCACAGTGGGGACCTTGTCGCCATCATGGGGCCCTCAGGAGCCGGCAAGTCCACCCTCATGAACATCCTGGCTGGGTACAGGTCAGTCTCTCTCTGGTCTCTTTCTGGTCTCTCGCTAGTCTCTCTCTAGTCTCTCTCTAGTCTCTCTCTAGTCTCTCTCTCTGGTCTCTCTCTGGTCTCAGTGTCTTTCTGGTCTCTTTCTGGTCTCTTTCTGGTCTCTCTCTGGTCTCTCTCTGGTCTCAGTGTCTCTCTCTGGTCTCAGTCTCTCTCTGGTCTCAGTCTCTCTCTGGTCTCAGTGTCTCTCTGGTCTCAGTCTCTCTCTGGTCTCAGTCTCTCTCTGGTCTCAGTCTCTCTCTGGTCTCAGTGTCTCTCTGGTCTCAGTCTCTCTCTGGTCTCAGTCTCTCTCTGGTCTCAGTCTCTCTCTGGTCTCTCTCTGGTCTCAGTCTCTCTCTGGTCTCAGTCTCTCTCTGGTCTCAGTCTCTCTCTGGTCTCAGTGTCTCTCTAGTCTCAGTGTCTCTCTGGTCTCAGTGTCTCTCTAGTCTCAGTGTCTCTCTGGTCTCAGTGTCTCTCTGGTCTCAGTGTCTCTCTGGTCTCAGTCTCTCTCTGGTCTCAGTGTCTCTCTGGTCTCAGTCTCTCTCTGGTCTCAGTCTCTCTCTGGTCTCAGTTCTCTCTGTCTCAGTGTCTCTCTGTCTCAGTGTCTCTCTGTCTCAGTGTCTCTCTGTCTCAGTGTCTCTCTGGTCTCAGTGTCTCTCTGGTCTCAGTCTCTCTCTGGTCTCAGTGTCTCTCTGGTCTCAGTGTCTCTCTGGTCTCAGTCTCTCTCTGGTCTCAGTGTCTCTCTGGTCTCAGTCTCTCTCTGGTCTCAGTGTCTCTCTAGTCTCAGTGTCTCTCTGGTCTCAGTGTCTCTCTGGTCTCAGTCTCTTTCTGGTCTCAGTGTCTCTCTAGTCTCAGTGTCTCTCTGGTCTCTGTTGCCAGGGAGACTGGTATGACGGGTCAGGTCCTCATAAACGGACACCCGCGGGTTCTGCGCTCCTTCCGTAAGGTGTCGTGTTACATCATGCAGGAGGATAAGCTCCTCCCACATCTGAGCGTTACCGAGGCAATGATGGTGTCCGCCGCCCTGAAGCTGAACGAGGAAGAGGAGGGACGAAGAGCCAAGGTATGAGCTGACACTAGAGCTGACACTAGAGCTGACACTAGAGCTGGGTAGAGCTGACACTAGAGCTGATACTAGAGCTGTTTAGAGCTGACACTAGAGCTGACACTAGAGCTGTTTAGAGCTGACTCTGCAGTGCTTTGTGGGTATTGTTTGCAGGTGAAGGAGGTGTTGCTGGCCCTCGGTCTTCTTGAATGCGCGGACACTCGGACGTCGCGCCTGTCTGGGGGGCAGAGGAAGAGACTCGCCATCGCACTGGAGCTGGTCAACAACCCTCCAGTCATGTTCTTCGACGAGCCAACCAGGTCAGTCTGCCTCAGGGCAGGTGTAGCAGCTCCAGGGCGGGTGTGGCAGCTCCAGGGTGGGTGTGGCAGCTCCAGGGCAGCAGTGACAGTTGTGTATCACAAAGTTACAAAGTTGTGGATTCACCAACGGCAGATCAGAAAATCAAACACAGTCATTTGTCCAGTCACAGGTCAGAGGTCAGAGGTCACTGTAAATTATGACATTTATATAAAAACATGTATCAACTTGTTAGTATTAGATAGCAATATGGCCTACGTGCAGGACTGTACAAGGACTCTGATTATTTTGACTATGATGTGACTGTCTCTTTGTGACACGTACGTCTTTCGTGTGACGTGACAATGACTATATAAACTGTGTACTGCCCAATGGTGTAGGTTTGGTTCCAATCTTGGTGGGGACATTCACTACGACCTGAGTCTACACCCATTGACACGGGGTCCAGAGTTTCTCCCCCAGAATTTGTTGTGTAATCACACACTATATTTGCAATAGTGTGTTGCCTTCTATACTAAACTCAGCTGTAGACTGAATGAGAAGCAGTTATCTATGTTAACAGAAGATTAATCATCACAATTCATAATTTGCTATTACTTGTGCTTTCTCTTACTTACTTTCCAACTGTTAAAAAAGCTCCTGATATCTTTTATCTTATTTGTGGAGGTGGCATTTTTTCTAAATTATATAAGAAGGTATAGACAATCAAAAACAGACATTCATATACATGAACTGCAGAATAATTTATATAACTTGGCCAATGTCAAAAGTTACATAGTATTTCTCAATACAATGAGTTAACAAGAGTTTGGCAATAAGTAACAGTGTGGATTTTTCTATATTTTCTTTTTTTTATTCTACTCTCTACCCAAAAAGGCAAGTAATGACTCACAGGGCTCTCAAGTATGCAAAATAAAAACTTAAATGACCTGTTGTGGTGTGTTTTGCGCACAACCAGCATGCATCGTTAACGCAATGGAAAATTTACGTATCCGAGCTTTAATTTCGGGAGCGCTGGTTGCGCTTTGGGAAGAGTCAGGGGAGAGACATGTCAGAGACACAGGGGAGAAACGGGGGAGATACGAGGGAGACCCGCACTTGCAACATGGTTCTGTCTGCATATGGTCCGAGCTCGGTACCATGTTAGAGCTGTGCTTTCACTGAGCGCCGCGGCTGTCATTACAAAGCGGCAGCAGCTGCACCAGGACGTGCACATTCAAGTGCATCTCTTGAATGTGCTTAGAGCAAATAACAGCAAGTGCCCGCTGTCACACATTTCACAGAAATTACATTATCAGCAGATAAAGGTTGTAAATCGTGGATCCGTGGAATATTTTCATCCCTAGTTTATCCTGATTCACACAACACACCCACTTATACATTTTGGATAGTAAGAGCACAATAAGTATTTTTTCAGCCTTTCAACCAACCTGTTTCTTTATTGGAGCCAGTTCTGTTCTGTCTCTGTGCCGTGTGAGCTCCTCGGAACATTAAACAGTGCGCTGACAGATTAGAAATAACGTAAGTACTTTGAATGGTAATAGATCTACAGTACTTTCCTCTGATTACTCACGTGCTACAACGCTCAGGGAACGAAAAAAAACACTTGCTTCACGCTGGCTAACTTTAAAAATTAAACAGTTGCTCAGTGCTTCAGTTTGGCGCTGAAGAAGACAGCCAATCACTGCAGAGAACGGAACGGGTCACGTGCTGCTGCTGCTGCTGTTGCTCTGGAGGCGAGGAGGAGGCGCGACGTATGCACAAACGGAAGACATGTGTCCCGGACCGTCCGGGTCACGGGACATCATGTCATTTTGGTGGGGACTTATTAGTCCTCACCAAATATTGGTGGGGACATGTCCCCATGGTCCCCACGCAAACCTACGCCCTTGGTACTGCCTTTATTCTGTCTGAGAGAAGGAAGCAAAGGAAACCACTGGAACTTGAAAGAAACTTAAATAAACTTCCAGAGTTTGGCGCACCACGATCCGTCTCTGTCTGCTTCATCCCTGACAAACTTTTAAGGCAACATTGTGTAAAATACATTTTAGTCCTAGTTCAGACCTGGTTCTGACCTAGTTCAGACCTGGTTCTGACCTGGTTCAGACCTGGTTCTGACCTGGTTTAGACCTGGTCCTGGTCTCTCTCCCAGTGGTCTCGACAGCTCATCGTGTTTCCAGTTGGTCTCGCTGCTGAAGGCTTTAGCTCGCGGCGGTCGCACCATCGTCTGCACCATCCACCAGCCCAGCGCCAAACTCTTCGAGCTCTTTGACAAGGTACAGGTCTCACCTGGTCTTTGGTTTCACCTGGTCTCTGGTCTTACCTGGTCTCTGGTTTCACTTGGTCTCTGGTCTGTCCACAGCTCTACGTCCTCTCTCAGGGACAGTGCATCTACAGAGGAGCCTTGAGCCAACTGGTCCCAGATCTGAGAGACCTGGGTCTGAACTGTCCGACCTATCACAACCCAGCGGACTATGGTAAGAGACCAGAGAGCAGGTGAGACCAGTGAGATCAAAGACCAGGTGAAACCAGAGACCAAGTAAGACCAGGGACCAGAGAGACCATAGAGACCAGGAACCAGAGACCAGAAGTAAGACCAGAGACTTGAGACATCAGAGACCAGGGACCAGAGAGACCACAGGCCAGAGACCAGAGACAGACAGGGACCAGAGAGACCAGAGACACACAGGGACCAGAGAGACCACAGGCCAGAGACCAGAGATAGACAGGGGCCAGAGAGACCAGAGACAGACAGAGACTAGAGACAGACAGGGACCAGAGAGACCAGAAACCAGGGACCAGAGAGACCACAGGCCAGAGACCAGAGACAGACAGGGATCAGGAACCAGAGATACCAGGGACCAGAGACCAGAGACCAGGGACTAGGGACCTTACACCAGAGACCAGTGCCCAGACCAGAGAGACCAAAGACCAGGGACCCAAGACACCAGAAACCAGAGAAACCAGATATCAGAGATCAGAATGTCACATGACCAAATCTGGCAGTAATGGAGGTGGCGTCCGGCGAGCACGGGGACCAGACGCTGCGATTGATTCGAGCCGTTCGGGATTCAGACCCTGGTGATCTCCCTGACAATGGGACAGACTTGCTGCTATGGCAACAGTCTCAGGAGGTATTTGTCTCCCCGGCAACAGATGGTAGTGACCTTTTAGGGTCAGAAGTTTTGTTCCTGTTGTTAATGTTGTTGTTGTTGACAGGACTCGTGCTCCTGCCACAATTTCTCCGCCTCCTGTTTCACTCAGTTTCGTGTTTTATTCAAAAGAACTTTTCTCAACATCATGAGAGACTCAGTAAGTCCAGACCAGACCAGAGATCAGACCAGAAACTAGACTAGACCAGAATGGGTTCCTGTGACTTGGTTCTTGTGACTGGATTCCGGTTGTCTCCCTCAGGTCCTCACCCATCTGCGCCTCCTCTCCCACCTGGTTGTGGGCCTCCTGATCGGTCTCCTGTACCTGGGGATTGGGAACGAGGCCAAGAAGGTCCTTAGTAACTCGGGATTCCTCTTCTTCTCCATGCTGTTCCTGATGTTCGCTGCACTGATGCCCACAGTGCTGACGTGTAAGCCCCACCCACTCCGCACAAAGCCCTGCCCCCTCTCTGCACTAAGCCCCGCCCCCTCTATCTTTACTAAGCCCCGCCCACTGCACAGTCCTCATGGCTCCAGGCTGAAGACCATAAAATAAGCATAAAATCGCTCACCCAGCCTCCTGTTCTTGTATTTGATCCAAATCTTTAGTCACTTCCTGTATCCTGATGATTCACATATTTATGTTTAGAGATGATGTTATATATTATTTATAAGATAATATCTATGTGCTCTATATTCTTACTCCTGGAGCGAGCAACACTGGATTTTCCCACTGTGGCACAAATAAAGGCTATCACTTGTCTGTCTGCATCTCCATGGTAACCCACACCCTATGCGTTTCCATGGTAACGGTTCTCATGCTTCTCCATGGTAACAATTCTCATGCTTCTCCATGGTAACGGTTGTCATGTGTCTCCAAGGTATCAAGTCTCATGCGTCTCCATAGTAACTGGTTTAATCTGTCTTCATGGTAACAAGTCTCATCCGTCTCCATGGAGACAGCTCTTATGCGTCTGATCTGTCCTCAGTTCCTCTGGAGATGGGAGTGTTCCTCAGAGAACATCTGAACTACTGGTACAGTCTGAAGGCCTACTACATCGCCAAGACAACAGCCGACATCCCATTCCAGGTTCAGACCAGAGACTAGACCAGGCCACACCAAAGACCAAACCAGAGACCAGACCGGAAACCAGACCAGAAACCAGACCAGAGACTAGACAAGACTAGACCAGAGAAGACCATGTGTGTGGCTGCAGGTGCTATTCCCGGCTCTCTACTGCCTCCTGGTGTACTGGATGACCTCGCAGCCCGCAGACCTGACTCGGTTCCTGCTTTTCGTGAGTCTGGGAGTTCTGACCTCACTGGTGGCTCAGAGTCTGGGCCTTCTGATCGGAGCGGCCTCCACCTCCCTGCAGGTCTGACCTCTGATAGACCCTAATCTCTGGTGTTTCTCTCTGGGCTCTCTCTGATCCTGACTCTGGTCTCAGGTGGCTACCTTCGTGGGTCCGGTCACTGCAATCCCAGTTCTGCTGTTCTCTGGTTTCTTCGTGAGTTTTGACACCATCCCCTGGTACCTGCAATGGATGTCCTACTGCTCCTACGTCAGGTCAGAGCACAGAGCACATTACTTGCACAATGCTCATGTGCTAGCTCTATGCTAATGCAACAAAGCCCAATAGTTCTCTTGCATTGAGGGTGTAGTTCCCTCACACTCCTGCAGATGGCAATGTTCCCTCTGTCTCAGGTATGGCTTTGAGGGTGTGGTCTTGTCCATATATGGTCTTGGGCGGGACAACTTGCACTGCGACCCAGGGGAGACGTGTCACTTCCTGAAGGCGGCAGCCATCTTGGAAGAACTGGACATGGGCGGAGCCAAGCTATACCTGGACTTTCTGGTTCTGAGCGGCTTCTTTGTGTGTTTGAGGCTAATGGCGTACGTCATCCTGCGCTACAAGATCAGAGCGCAGAGATAACTTCCTCTCTGGTTTATTTCTCTTGTCTCTCTCTGGTTTCTCTCTAGTCTAGCTCTCTGGTCCCTTTCTGGTCTCTTTCCCCAGTCGAGCTACACAAATAATTGAAATCACCAGTTTTGTATTTTACCAAAGACTGTAAATATTTATGTTTTTAAAATAAAAAATGAAACCAGTTCGAGTGTGTTTTAAATGCAGTCAGACTAATGTACAGTTTTGTATAATTTACTCACTGCAGGAGGTGGTCCTCTCTGATCCTCCTGCAGGAGGTGGTCCACTCTGATCCTCCTGCAGGAGGTGGTCCACTCTGATCCTCCTGCAGGAGGTGGTCCTCTCTGATCCTCCTGCAGGAGGTGGTCCTCTCTGATCCTCCTGCAGGAGGTGGTCCTCTCTGATCCTCCTGCAGGAGGTGGTCCTCTCTGATCCTCCTGCAGGAGGTGGTCCTCTCTGATCCTCCTGCAGGAGGTGGTCCTCACTGATCCTCCTGCAGGAGGTGGTCCTCACTGATCCTCCTGCAGGAGGTGGTCCTCACTGATCCTCCTACAGGAGGTGGTCCTCACTGATCCTCCTGCAGGAGGTGGTCCTCACTGATCCTCCTGCAGGGGGTGGTCTTCTTTGATCCTCCTGCAGGAGGTGGTCCTCTCTGATCCTCCTGCAGGAGGTGGTCCTCTTTGATCCTCCTGCAGGAGGTGGTCCTCTTTGATCCTCCTGCAGGAGGTGGTCCTCTCTGATCCTCCTGCAGGAGGTGGTCCTCTCTGATCCTCCTGCAGGAGGTGGTCCTCGCTGATCCTCCTACAGGAGGTGGTCCTCGCTGATCCTCCTACAGGAGGTGGTCCTCACTGATCCTCCTACAGGAGGTGGTCCTCTTTGATCCTCCTGCAGGAGGTGGTCCTCACTGATCCTCCTACAGGAGGTGGTTCTCACTGATTCTCCTACAGGAGGTGGTCCTCACTGATCCTCCTGCAGGAGGTGGTCCTCACTGATCCTCCTGCAGGAGGTGGTCCTCACTGATCCTCCTGCAGGAGGTGGTCCTCTGTGATCCTCCTGCAGGAGGTGGTCCTCTGTGATCTTCATCCATCCTGACTGATGTGGAGATAAGATGTCATTTAGATAGTTGTAAAGTTGAATATTTTCAAATATTGTCGTGAATCGGAGTCTCCACCGTTAAAGGTGGGAGTAACTCTTGCAGTTTTGCCGGTGAGAGGGACGGTTAACGGATAAATGAATACACTGGATCCCAATTTAAGGTATCTTACTTTTAAGCCGTCTGGACCAGCCACACTGTTAGTTTTAAGCTTGTTTATAGATTGTAGTACATCTGTAGTGGTCCAACATAAATTAGTGGTTTAGGTGAGTGTGGATGACCAGAGTGCAGTGCACTACTTATGGAGGAGGAATATTCATGAAAGCTTTGAGATTAGGTGAGGATCATCAATTGTATTAAAATTAACAGTCACTTCTGTACATAAAAGGATTCTGCCTACCTACAAATGTCATGAGCCTCACTCACTCACTCACTCACTCACTCACTCACTCACTCACTCGCGTACGTGCAACAATTGCTTCTCTCTCTTGATGTCACTGTCCTCTCTCTCCCCTCTTTGTATAGATCTTCCACTTACATTGTAAATATCACTGAAACTGATCACCTATGTGAATATTCACTTTGTTGTCTGTGTTTGCTTCTTGTTTGTCGTATTTGTTTTGTATGTCTATTCTCCACAAAAAATAATAATACTAAAGCTACTTATAGCAATCACATGGTGTCTTAAGATAAGTAACTTATGCAGTTTAAACAATTGCAAGTGTGGAAATACAATTCATTGAAGCTGGTTGATTTTTCCAAGTTGAATCAGTTTCATATGCAATAAAACAACAAATACACCATCACAGAAATGGTAACGTTTATATTGTATTATTATCAAAAACTAGGCATAAAGCTGGGGTTAAAATATAAGTGTCTAAACCATCAGCGAACCTCCATGGAATATTGTCCTCCAGACCCTTAAGCCAAAAGCATCCATCATGATCTGAGAGTAAAATCCTATCTAAATAGAGGGACAGAACAGAATTCAACATACTGTACGAGTACTTTTTTTTTCTATATAGTTATAAGTATAAGTTAGTGAAGAAAAGCCGATGGTAATCGTAAATAAGCTTCTACTATAAACTCTGCATGCACCACATCAGCTGCACGCTTGGTTTTGTAACTGTGTCCGACTGTAATGTACCTGTCAAATAAATAAATGTATGAGATCCAAAAAAATAAAAAGGATGATACAGGATTTGTAAAGCGTTTTGTTACTCTGGTCTGTGACAGGTGCTATATAAACTAAGATTACTTACTTACTTAAAAAAATAACAACAATGATCAGTCACATGATTGGTTGAGGTTTTTTTTTGGACCTACCCAGAAGCTGGTCCACGTGGTTCCAAAGTTGGTGAGGATTATTAGAGTTCTGACTGAGGGCTTCCGTGAAGTAATTGGACTTGGCATTCCTAGTTTGAATTTTGGATTGATTCCTGAGTTGTGAAACCATCTCCCAGTCGGCGGGGTCCTTAGACTCTCTGTTTAGTCCAAGCTTGTTCTCAACGTTTAAAAAGATTAATTAAAGGTAGGAGTATTTTCCCAAATTTTAGGAAAGAACCGCCCTCTCCACTTTTAGAACAAAACTCTCTGGTCTTATTTGACGAGCACGGTTCTTGACTAGAAAATCCTCCTATACACCTTTAAGTCAGAGCTAATCCATGGAAGATGTCGTTCTTATAGTCTGACAGACTCTCGCCAGACCCTTGTAGTTCGCTGAGCTTTACACAAGTGTTCAGCAAAACGCCTCTGGTGGACCATCACGGAACTACAAGGCTAGTCCTTTTACACCCATAGTTTTAAATGGGGAACGTTCTTAAATTACTTTAAGGACTTCAGAATGGAAATATTCCCATGCATCCGTAGCATAGGGGATCAGCTGGAGTTAATATTAGAGATATCAAATAAGAAATGTTCGAGATTGATGTGTTTATAGTTTCCATTTTGTATCTTGGTGGGAGTTTAGCCAGTTTGATTTTCCAAACACAAAACAATATTTAGTGGTTAAGCGGTCAGGCATCACACCAGATGTAACTACTCTATCCGGGTTAGTAACAAGAATCCAGTCGATCAGAGTCGAGGAACGCTGGTCAACCCTAGTTCGTTCTTTTATCAGAGATAAGATTTGCGCTGGCGACTTGGCTTTTGTCATTGGATGAGGACATGGAGCCAGTTACTATTGAAGTCTCCTAGTATAAAATTGAACTATTAATTTGGAGAGAGTTTATAGTTGACATAATGCTTTTCATTGAGTCTGATGGAGTAGAAGGAGGTCTATAAATGTTATTAATTATTTTTTATTGTTATTGAAGTCATGTATATTATGTCATCATCATGTATACTGTAAAGCTGTGTTCAGACCTCTGATGGATGGACGTGCGTAGATGGAGGTATGGAGGTTAGCAGCTCTTGTTTACAGCTACAGCATATTGTCAACTCAAGGTGAAGACATAAGGGCTGTGTCTTCCATCCTCAATCCTGGTTTAATCCTGGTTTCGCTCCTGTTTTGGATTTGTCTTCATTTTCCTGTTTTGGACCCCATGAGCACTTTTCTGCTCTCTGATTGTTTGCTGCATGTGTGTGAGCGATAATGTTCATCTCCTGCTTTCGCTGCATGTATCTGTAACCAATGCCTCTTCTGCGCCGCAATAAGATGTCAGTCATGCAGGATAAACGTGTGTGGATAAACTTCCAAGCCCCGGCTATCCAAGATGGCGCCGTATTCAAATGAATGGTTTGTGTCATTCCCGTATTCGTCCCGGAAACCAGATTCGTCCGGAAGTTCAGTTTGCGCATGTCAAAAAGTTTAATATGTCCTTAAGTGGTGACTGGTTAAGTTTAGGCGTCTGATTAAGATGGTTAAGTTTAGGGTTATTTTATGGGAATGGCTGGTTAAGTTTAGGCATGAATAGATAGTTTTTTTTATATTTACTTCCGCTTCCGTCCAGATTCCGTGACGTAATCTACTCTTGCGTATGATCATTGGATCAAACTGAACTTCCGGACGAATCTTGTTTCCGGGACGAATACGGGAGTGACAGTTTGTGCTCAGTGGCGCATGTGCCGGCACGGTCGCTGACATATTAGCGGAACTCGCCATATCACTCGCCTGTATTTGGGCATCGTCTGGTCCTCCCAGTTCTGCGCAGTGGATGATCTCCCATGATGCGTTGCGCCAAATATTTGTGTGTGGGTCTCATGCACGTGCACAGAGAAGCTCGGCCACGCTCTGACCAATCAGAGCTGTTGATCAGAGCGGGAGCCAGACAGGCAGAGTTTGTGGCACTAAACTGTGGATTTAAAGAAAACCGAAGGATTTAAGAAGAAAAAAAGTTCCGACCTTTATGAAAGCTGTCAGGTTCTCTGTCAGCTGAGGTTGCGCTGTTTTACTTTACATTGAGTTCTATGGGGAAAATTTCTGGGTAGCCCACGTGAATTTAGTCTGGTTTAGTCTGCAGTACCGCGAGAATCCCCCGAGCACATGGGTTTTTCAGCTCCAAGCTGTAATACTCTATCCAGTTATAACAGATCCATGATAAACATCCATGCAATTCCTCACATGGACAGACGTCACCATTGACTTTGCATTGAAACTCGCTGCAGCGCATATGGGGTAAGGTTACTGTCAATAAAGACGTGCATGTCTAAAAAAAATGCGTGCATATTTATTGGTATTTGTGCAGAAAAATATTTTATTAATTCATGATTAAGATAATACAAACTAAAAAGACATGGAATTTCGTAATTAAGAATAAAAAAATATAAAACTGTATGTGTGATTTTGTACTTGTGAATGCGATTTTTTTTGTGTGCTTGCATTTTCTTTTTGAGAATACGAATTTCAGCAGTGAGCAAACTGTCAATATGACGTCACTGCTCACAGACATTAACAATCGAGCCTGCGCAGAGTTGATCAACTTCATTGCCTAAAAACTAAACATGGCAGAAGGACACAACATAAATAAAGTGGCTCAAAATCAGGTATATAACTATATTTTATCATTTTGGTTGTAAATGAATGTGTAAGAAATATTAATTCCATAAATGTGATCATAAGATGTTTCTTGTCCATCTAAAAGGTTTTTTGGCAGTGTTGTTAGCTCCAATGCTAGTTTTATTTTCTTGCCCTTATATTGTTTTATTCTACAGAAAATAATGCATTTATTTTAGTCTAAACAACAGACTAACTAGCGTTACTGAACTAGTGAGTAAAAGTAATGTGTCAAATGTACTCACAAATATAAGATTGAGGCCCACAGGGACAGGGTCTGCTACGTCTAACAACCAAGGAGGTGAACTTCATATTGCTCAGGGGCAGTAACAGCGCGAACTATGAATAATCTGGAGGGTTGGGACTGGTATCAACACTTTAACCACATTGATTCGGGGCAAAGGCTTCATAAAATGTAACTGCTAAGAATGTAAAAATGTTGGTTTTAAAATAACATGGTAAGCTGTAAAACTAGCCTTGAAGCTAGTGTTAACTAAACACTGCCCAAAAAAACGTTTCTAGAGAGGGTCAAGAAACATCTTATGAACACATTTTATGAAAATTTTAAGAACGAAATCACACATACAGCTATTTTTTGTATTCTTAATTACGAAATTCCATGTCTTTTTAGTTTGTAATATCTTAATCATGAATTAATAAAAATAAATTATGCACAAATACCAATTAATATGCACGCATTTTTTTTAGACATGCACGTCTTTATTGACAGTAACCTTACCCCATAGCTCCTTATGTTCAGGTGGATAATATTCAAACCTTTAAATTACTCTATTCTTTAGAGAAAAGAAGGACGTGGAGCAAATCCACAGACGAACAAACACATTGGCACACAGATACATAAAGTAAGATATCATGAACGTCACTGCTTTTTCAGTTTCATCTTAACTGCATCAAAGTGTAGTAGCGCCAATGATAAGAGCTGAGCCAGGGCTTTGTGCAATCATTTATCCAAACATTTACCAATTTAAGTAAATAAAACATAATAGTCATATTATCTCCCTCATTGCCAAATACAATAGAAATAATTGTACACTGTAACAAAACAAAAAAATTCCAAGCATTGGTAAAGCAGTCGGGGTGTCTTTGCCACATCCAGCTCTCGAATCACGTCAAACAGGAACACAAGCGTAGAAACGCACACCGTGAACAATAACAAAAAGAGATGCTTGCATTATTCTCAAAGATGAGAGTTTAGAGTCGACTTTTGACGACAATGGTTCAGTGGCTCGAAGGCTTACAGGAGAGTTGTTCCCGTTGCCTCCTGTAAAGAGGTAGCCACTATTCATTGCAACTTACTAATTGCTCCAGCTCAGTGATTTGATCATTTAAGGATGAGAGGGATTTTTGTCTCTCTCATCCTTAACTGTTAGAGCTATCTGAACTCATGGTATTTCTTCATACTCAGTCATTTCAATTTTGCTTTGTTGAATTGCCTACCAGATTGTTTGGAGGGAGACCTCACGCTAGGGGTTGAACGACTTCATATTTTTAAAAGTCGACTTTATATGCATACTAGTTGAGTCGCCGTCGACTAGTCGATGACGTCATCGCAAATAAAGAGGACGTTTTAAACTTTGCATTTTATTTGGCAAAACTGCACATTTTTACATCCAACTTCCAAAACAGCAATGTTTACAGAGAACATTTATCATTTAAACTTCCTATTTAACTTTAGGCTAAAATGTTTTTAGCTCAAACAGTCGTTAATGACTAGACTGGTTTTAAATCACTCGCTGTCTCGCTCTTCCTCCTCAGTCACCTTTTTTGTTTTGGACTTGGTATTTTCACGAAGAAAAATTAACTCATCTACGTGTGCAGGATGGAGACTGGCGCGCTGTCTTGTTATTGTGTTTCCAGCTAGAGAAAAAATTCTCTCGCTGGGGGTACTGGTTACTGGTATGGCCAGATATGTCTTTGAGAGCCTTGCCAAGCGCGGGAAGCGCCTTTCGTTTCGGGCCCACCACTGCAACGGGTTGTCCAGAGTTGGGATTTGGGGCAAGAGAAAATATTGTCTGGCCTCTTCAGTTGCTGTGGAGCCGCGGGCCTTATTCTGCCCGCTTTCGAAATGCGTCCCAAACAGCTCCGCAAAGTCCAGCTCAAGACGCGCCTTCTTCCCTATGTCCTTCCCCGTCTGCTCAGTTTCACAGGTTTCCACACCGACATCTAACAAACACGTAGAACATTAGCGACACAATCCATACAATATTGTCCCCTTGTTAAATGTATAGTAATATACCATGCGTAAATGTCTCAGCGCTTACACCGCGCGCATTTTACGCACTTAATAGAAGCAAAAATTGAAGCAGATTTAATTATTTTTGTTGGACATAATGCGTTGTCTGTAATCTATGCGTTTTTTTGTCAGATATCAGTATTGTTGAATGAGCAATATATCTTTGCTTTTTAAATGAATAGAGACACACGCACCTGTTACGCTCAGCGTCTCACTCTCATCCAGAAGCAGGGTGTCCAGGTGGCTGTATGCGCTCTCTCTTTTGCTGTCTGGGATGAACTTCAGGTGCTTGAAGCGAGGATCTAACATGCAGGCCACAACTGGGATAGACGAGGGCAGATCATCAGAGTCCAGTTTGAATCGTGTTTCTAGCTGTTGTCGGACTGTGTTCTTAAATGCGCGCACCGCAGACAGATAAGAGCCCTCAACGCGCAGCGTGGTGTTGACCATGTTCAGGATCACGGGGTAAATAAAGGAAAGTCCTACGTGCAGTTCACCGCACAATATCTCGGTGGCTTTGGCCAAAGGCTGCAGGACTGGAACAAGTTGTTCAAGAAGTTCCCACTGCGAAGCTCTCATTGCCAGTTTCTTTTGGACTGCTGGTTTTGTAACTGCGTCATCCGAAAGTACAGACTGCACTGCGATCCTTTGCTCAAAAAGCCGCTGGAGCATTGTAAAGGTAGAATTCCAGCGGACAGGACAATCAGTCTGGAGTTTATTTGTTTTCATGCCGAGTTGTTCCTGACGCGTTTTGAGAGAACACGTAGCAAGGGCGGAGTGGCGAAAGTGGCTGACAACTCTCCTCGCTGCATCTAACGCCTTTGCCACATCAGGTAAGACCAAACCGGACTTTATAGCTAACTGTAGAGTGTGTCCGCTGCATCCCAAATCTTTTAGACCAGCCATTCCCAAACTCAGTAACACCGAGGCCCCCTTAAAAATCTGACGGGTCTGCGTGGCCCCCCAAAATAATAACCAAGAAGACAACATTAAGAATAGGCTCTTCTGGTTATTTTATTTTGGGGAAATAGCCTCTGCTACAAACATTGTAATACAAAAATGATTACAGTGGATTATTCAAGTCAAATAATGAACACAAATATTTTAATATTACAAACAAAACATTATAAATTTAACATTAAATATATATATATTTTTTTTTATGACCTCCCGCGGCCCCCCTGCAGTACCCTCGCGGCCCACTAGGGGGCCGCGGACCCCACTTTGGGAGACACTGTTTTAGACACATTTGGCAGAGCTCCAGTGCTAAATTCATGTTACTGGCATTGTCATGAACGGTGCAAAACGCGCTTATCCCCCAATTTTCAATAATTTCACTTAAGCGACCAGCAATGTTAATGGCAGTGTGTCTCTCAGTCATCAATGTTGTACACAAGACCCTGGCTTTTAGTTCCCATGTGTTGGTAATATAATGTGCCGTTACTGTAATATACGGCTCCATATTTGGTGAAGTCCATAGATCTGTCGTTAGAGACACGCTTTTTCCTCTCATCTCATTCGCCATTTCTTCGTGAACACCGTTGTACTCGTGTTTTATAGTATTCCATATTGTGCGGTAAGAGGGGATAACGTAATGCGGTTCAAAAAAGTTGACTAGTTCTCGGAAGCCTTCACCATGCACTGCGCTGAGTGGCCTGATGTCTTTAACAATGAAATTCACAAGCAGCTTGGTGATTTGTTGTCTTCGTTTGTCTGGCAGCACAGTCCGTTTAGTGAAGCTGCTGATTGACTGTTGTTGAGAAGGTTGCTTCTGGGCTAGCATTAGCGTCGGATGCTTTTTCAGATGAGAGTGCAGCGCGCTTGTACTTTTGTTGTACTTTAGAGTACCTTTGCATAAGCTACACGTCACCTGTGTACCGGTTTCATCTTTAGTAAAATATGTCCAAACGCTTGATGTAGTGCTGCCTTGGCGTGATGATTGGTGAGAGGTACTAGGACCCTCGTTTGGCATGTCGCTGTCCTGCGCCGCCATGTTGTGCCAAAGTCACGTGCAGTACTGCGCCGCCGACTAGTCGATGTCACATGAACAAAGTCGCGAGACAACCGTAAAGTCGACTAGTCTGTTCAACCCCTACCTCACGCTGAGACTTCTTGTGATTGTTTGTTTTGCAAAACTGGTCCAAAACTGGAAAAACCGTTTGATTGCTCCCGAACTGAGAATGGAAAAGTTGTAGATATGCTGAGTATCAAAAGTTGTTAGATAAATGCACAGCAAGTTCAGACCTTGTAGAATGCACTCGGTCAGCAGTGGGAATCGGTGGAGAAGGTCTTGTGGAGGCATCGAACCCGCAACCATTAGGCTCAAAGGCCAAAGCTCTACCAACTGGGCCACTGTCGCCCCCTGCTAGTAGAACGAGTGTTTTTTCAAGGATGTGTTTCTTACATAAAGCATCAAATGTCATTGGGTTAGATTTCTCACAGTGATGTCACATTCAGACGCAGTCCACAGTGATGTCACATGCATGTAGCATCATGAGGTGAAACTCAAAGTCAGAGGTCATCTGAGTCTGACCTCCTCCTGAATCTGCAGAATCTTTACTTCAGATTCCCGTATTTCTTACAAGTACGGCAACCGTACAACTTTGTAGGACATCAGTGTAGGACACAGCCTGCCTTCCCCTCCTTCACCTTCCCCATGTTCTCCTGTCACACTAGCAGCAGTATAAATTGAACAAAAGAGGTCCCAGAATTGACCCCTGTGGGTTCCCACAGGTCAGGGACAAATGATCTGATACACAGAGTTCTGTCTTCAAGGTAAGACTTAAGCCTGGTTCACACGTCAGGATAATTAGGCCGTTTTTGGACCCGATTTACCTCTACGACAATCGTAACAACAAATCTGGTGGATTTTCCTGCCGTGTGTGGCGACGGAAGTCCCGAAGTCCTTCCGAGCGACGGAAGGACTTCGGGACTGCTCCGATCCCAAATCGGGGATATCCAACATGTTGGATTGTTTTGGCCCGATTTCTCTTCGTGTGTGGCGTCCCCCGGGGACAGACTAGCGCGTTGCTATGACTGCGGCGTGTAGCCAATCAGAAGACGAGGTGACAAGCCGGTGAGGAAACGCCGTTAAAAAAAAAAAAAAACAGTCAGCGGCATGGCGCACCAGAAAGTTCGGTGGACATCAGAGATGGAGGAACAACTAGTTGACCTCTGGCAACACCGTGAATGTATGTATGACGTGTTGTGTAAAGAATATCATCACCGAAATGACAAGGAGAGGAATTGGGCAGAAATTGCTGCTGCACAGGTAGTGTTGGCATAAGCCCTATTCGGACAGGATTAGTACACTAAATGATCAGACGGATGGTTGTGTTTGTACGTTTACTTTGCACTCTGTCCTAATACAGTACAGACGTGTTGGTGCAGCCGTTACCGCAGCCGTGCTTGTTGGTTTGCGCGTATGTAAAGTTTCATGTCTAGCAGTGTGTGTGATGCGTTCACAGGTAGTCCGTACAAACTGTATTGTTGAACAGCACAGACAGCACGGGCCAGAGAACTGTAGAGCAGTAAAATCCACATGTATGTGTTTGTCCTCACGGTGTCTGTGGCTGCTGTGGTCAGACGAGAGTCTCTATAGGCTGCGTGAAACGGAGAGGCCCGCACACTCTGTTTACTCTGAAGTCACGCTTGATCTCGAGAGATGTTGTGAGATTTCCGTCTGACCTGTGAATGCTCGGGGGTGAAATCGGTTCTTGTGTGAGGTTTGCGTGATTTTGCCATGTGGCTGCGCACCACACACTGTACGAGCAAAGTTGTTTGACCCGTGATTTTTTATTAAAAAAAATCGGCCGACAATTTTAAAATCGTCTCGTGTGAACCAGGCTTTAAACCAACATAAGGCGGAGCCACCGACTCTCAACCACCCTGACACAGCTCCCTCGAACATACCCCTCTCTCACCCCCTCACGCTCCCTCTCAGCGCCCTCACACACCCCTATCTCACCCCCTCACACACCCCTATCTCACCCCCTCACACACCCCTCTCTCACCCGCTCCCTCTCAGCGCCCTCACACACCCCTATCTCACCCCCTCACACACCCCTATCTCACCCCCTCACACACCCCTCTCTCACCCGCTCCCTCTCAGCGCCCTCACACACCCCTATCTCACCCCCTTACACACCCCTCTCTCACCCACTCACACACCCCTCTCTCTCACCCGCTCCCTCTCAGTGCCCTCAGAGCCCCTACACACCCCTCCCTTACTCTCCGCAGGGCCAGCCCGTACAGGAGGGGGTTGAACAGGGGTTGGAATGTGAGGAAGTAGAGAGAGAGAAAGACCCTCAGTGTTGAGGGTGCGGCGCTCATGTCCAGGGGGCTCTGTACAATCTCCAGGAAAGTGCCCAGAGCAAAGTTGAACAGCGAGGCCAGGTGCGGCACACAGGTGCTCAGTGCCTTCTTGCGGCTGTGCAGCTGCAGGAAGCACAGGCGCAGGATGCGGCTGTAGCAGATGAGGATGAGGGTGAGGCCCAGCAGCACGATGATGGTGTAGAGCAGACCATACACGTTGTTCACCACCGTGTCAGAGCATGCCAGCTTCACTAGAGAGTAGTTATCGCAGTACTGCCGCTGGATCACGTGACCACAGTATGTGAGCGTGGCCGACAGCGTCGTCATGGTGACAATGGCGGCCACAGGAAACAGCTAGGCGGCGGCTAACAACAAGGCCACACGGTGGCGTTTCATGAGGGCACCGTAGTGCAGTGAGCAGCAGATGGCCACGTACCTGTCGTACGACATGACAGCCAGGTTATAGAACTGTACGTTCACGTAGAGCAGGGGTCGGCAACCCGCGGCTCCGGAGCCGCATGCGGCTCTTGAGTGCTCCTGGAGTGGCTCCTGGAGCCTTTTCAAAAATGTCTGAAAATGGAGTGTGAGGGCTATATTTTATTTCTAGTTTGAATGTGGTTTCTGTAGAAGGAAAAAACAATCTTTACGTTTTTAAATGCTGTAAAAATATGTATAAGTAATATCTAATTTCAACATTTCTGTCAACGTAGTGCGTCATATCCTATGACGCGCGGTCACGCGGCTCCGCCCCATGCGGCCGCTGCTGTAAACAAACTGGCGTGTGTGCATGATAGACTGTAAGTGCGCATGGATCCCAAAGCTAAAACGAGAAAGAGTCGATAACAAGACTGGACTAAGAATGAGAATGAACAATTTCTTTCAGTCAATGAGGAAGGACTGCTTCATGTTTGTAATGAAAAGTTTTGTTGCAACACGAGGAACAATGACGCACAAAACGACGTAAACTGTGATTACGTGAAGGATTCTTTCATCAAAAATTCAGAGCACCTATTTTCAGACTTCAAAACCTTCTCAAAGACGGTGAAAGAAAAGGCCATTAAGGATTTTGATTCAGCTCCAGCAAACTTCAGCCTGTGACGTGATGGATATGAGCAGACAGTGATGCAGGTATGTGA